AAATCTGCCCATCTGCTAGCGGCATTGGAACGTCTCGCTACTGAACGGGCGGGTTGCCGGCGCACAGACTAGCATCAAGCTTCGCTGCACGTTGCAAGTCCAGGAGAAGAAAAAAAAAGGAGATGGTGGGGGTCGCAGCCGCCGTCAAATCGAGCTAGTCTTCACCAAGTCACCGTTTGTAATTCTCGTTGCCCTTGTCTGCTTGTCTGAATCAACCGGACGAGACCTTGAGTCTTGACCGAACTCGCGGCCAGGGGTCCGCCACACGCTATACACGTGTACTACTGAGTTTTAATTAGGAGATTCGTCGTTATGAAAGCACACTTCGCAACTCACATAGGCTATAGCCATGTGACTGACCTTGGGGCAGCATCTATTGGCAATATAAAATGAAATAATTACATTACCAAGCAACTCCCTACTCGCCGCTGTATATTTTCGGGGCTTTTTGAGGAGTGGACGGACTTCCCGACTCCCGACAAGCAAGCAAACTTCAGAAATGAGGGTTTCCCCTTTTCTTTCGCTTTGCTGGCCGTACGATGTAGAACAGAGAAGGTTCTACTCATCACTCAGTGGGTCGCGATATAAAGCTGGATGTCCTTGAGATACCCGTCTTAAATTTTCTGTGTATCAAGAACTTCTCGTACGGGTAGTTCGATTTGCTTACGTTGTATTTGCCTTCGAGTCGTTCAATGCTATTTTTGTTGGCTTATGTACAGTGTAGGATGACTTGCCGCGACTCAGCCCAGCGAAACGGCGTCGGACTGTACCCACCTTTATCCCCACGTTCGTGATACGGATACGGTGGTAAGACGGTGATTCCCACCGTTGTACGGACTAAAAAGTACGAGCACCGGATTGCCATGTTTAGCTACCATGCTTGGATAGGAGGCACCAGCCCTGCACATAGTAATAGCTTAGCGTATTGCATTGTACACGTAGTGTAAGAGCATCGGCCTAGGTCGGGGCCAGTCTCAATGGCCCGCTGGGTCGGTCACCCGTTCGCCTCTTCCAGGGTCTTCCCCTAATCATCCCCGTTGCCTTCTCTTCTCACCCCCAGCCGTCTCCTTTCGCCGTGTCCTCCCTTCGCGACGGTAGCTTGAACAAGCAACAGGGTAGGGCCACGACGCGCTAGGAGCTAGCAGACACGGATCCTAATTACATTGCGGAGTACTATGATATTATGATGGAAGGTACGAACGGAATAGGAGGGTATATAAGATACAACTGGCGTTCCTGCCTCGATCTGTTGTTCTGATCCGACTATCTATTTCTCTGCTTTCCCCTTCCCGAATATCAAAAAACGACGCCCACCCGCATTTCCTTGCTCCTTGCCTTAAAATATTTTCCTCCTTTGACGCCCGTTAGACTTTTCTACGCCACTGTCGAGTTGTTGCCACTTCGGAACACACATTGCCTATTTCATACATAAGCCGTGATAATTAGGGGAAGCCCTCATACCTCGCGTTGAGTCAACTGCAACCGGTAACCGGGTCGCTCTTACCTGCTCTTTCGCATTCCAATTCAACGACTACCTGCCTTCCACACAATTCAACGACACAAAAACTCTTCCTCCGGAATCAGACGACTCGGTAGCTGGCAGGTCTTTGCCCTAAAAAAGCGAGGCCATCCTGATTCTACAGAACCATTACAACACACAACACACCATCTTGCCATCCTAGGCTCTGATCACCACCTTCATCTCAGCATCTTGGGCGTATCGTAAGAAGCAGCAGCAGTGTTTTCGCTATTGAGGGTCTTCGTGTCTTGTCTGTGAAAGACAGAACTGCCAAACAGTACGGTGGCGCGCAACTGGAGACATTAGATCCCTAAGTTGCCCTGCACACGAATCATTGACCGGTCACATCACGGGATTCCACGCGTATATTTTTTTCCCGCGCTTGACCCAGTTTTTACGCGTTGAGAGAAGATTTCTTCTTTTTGTTCACCAACCATTGGGAATTCGGCTTTGCCTGTTGCTCTGTCATTTCCCTTTGATCATCTCACCCCTTTTCATTCACCGCCACTCGGTCGGCTGTCGGGAAGCAAACAACTTTATTCACATCCCTTCATTCTACACCTCTCCGAACCAACACAATCGCAATGGCTACCATTCGCTCGGCTGTTCGCGCTGCGACGCGCGCCTCCGTGGCCCCTCGCTTTGCCACCAACATCGGCTCTGTTCAGGCTGTTCGAGCCTTCAGCTCCTCCACTGCCAGACTCAGTGTCCGCGAGAAGGAGGTCCCGGTCACCACTTGGCCAGCTACCAAGGATGGCCCATCTTCTATCCCCGTCATTCCTAAGAAGCAGTCAGAGTTCGAGGTTGATGCCGCAGAGAATGAGGAGGTCCACCCCCTGACCCAGGAGGCCTATAACAAGATGTCTCCCACCATGCAGAAGATGTCCGTTCATGGCAAGACCATCATCATCACTGGCGGTGCTCGGGGTCTCGGAAACCACATGGCTCGTGCCTGCGTCGAAGCCGGCGCCGCCAATCTCGTCATCTTCGATGCGAACCAGGAGCTCGGAGAGGCAGCTGTTCGTGAGCTCTATGAGAAGACGGGTCTGCCTGTCACCTTCTTCAAAGTCGATGTCCGTGACGAAGATGCTATCAACGCCGCTGTCGACCGCGCCGTCGAGATGTACGGTATTCCCGATGTTCTGGTGAACGCCGCTGGCATAGCTGAGTATGTTTTATCTCCTCCCCCCTCTTTCCCAATTCTCAACATAAAAACTAACACCCATCTCTAGCTCCAACATCAAGGCAGAGGAGTATGACAGCAAGATGTTCCGTCGTCTGATTGACATCAACCTCAACGGAACCTTCCTCGTGTCCCAGGCCGTGGGCCGCCGTATGATTGCGGCCGGCAAGCCCGGCTCCATCATTCTTGTGGCCTCCATGTCCGGCAGCATTGTCAACTACCCGCAGGAGCAGTCGTGCTACAACGCTTCCAAGGCAGGCGTCATTCAGTTCGGCAAGTCCATCGCCTCCGAATGGGCCAAGTACAACATCCGCGTCAACTGCATCTCTCCTGGCTACATGGACACCGCCCTCAACCGCGTTCCCGCCCTTGAGGCTCAGAAGAAGATCTGGCGCAGCCTGACGCCCCAGAACCGTCTCGGCGCCGTCGACGACCTCAACGGTCTCTGCGTCTTTCTCGCCTCCGACGCTTCTGGTTTCATGACTGGCTCTAACATCCTCATTGACGGCGGTTACTCCTGCTACTAGATGCTGAAGGCTGGCGTGCCTTTCTTCTTAGACCTTTTTAATTGTTCTCCCTCTTGTTTTGGCATGGTATGCAACATTGGGCGAGATAGCTATCTATACCCGATACACACGGCTTGGCGTTAAAGGGGCGATTATCCACCATGGGATCAGGTTAGACCATCCTAGAGGCCATTCTAGAGGATAGAGATTCTGAAAATTCATTTGTCTTTGCTATTCTATCTCATGCACGCTACTTATTTTTAAATCCTGCGACCTTCGCGATGACTGGTTCGTCGCGTCGTTGTGGCTGTTCTCGAAACATGGGACCGCCATCACTATCAACGAACGCAGAGCGACTCGCAATGCTCGAATAAGTGACAGGAGGGCGAGCGGTTAGCGTTCCTTATTTGTCAGCGGACGGCGTGATTCGAGGCCATCTGAACAAGAGCCCGCAGACAACAACCGCTGGGAGTGCGTGGATCTCCATGTTCAAGCCTAATAAACGGTTTGGTAAACGGCGGCTGGCTTGTGGTTGGCTTATGGTTGGCTCACAGAGCCGCGGAAAGGTGCTCGAAGATGCTCTGTGCTCAGTTCTCCATCTATGCCTCAACCGCTACACCTACTGCAGTGTAGCTTACTACTTTTTACCCAGACGAGACTACACCGGGTCTTTGCCTCCTACCTTAGCCTTAGGCGACGTGTTGGATACTCTCATCAAAGGGGGTATAGGTATCACATTGCGTGTCTAGGACCTACGGGGGATTTACAACAGCACGAAGCTTTTTCCAACCCGCGTGTATGACTGTTACACCAACATGGGCGCGATATATTGACCTTCGAGACAGTTCCAAATATTCCGATCCCGAGCTGCTGGTATGATGTATAGCGTATGCTTATACGTTTTACGCCGTACTATCGAAGGCATGGGTATTGAAACGAATCAGCCACGGGGTATCCATTGGTCGTCATGACAGCAATTTCCAGCCAATTAAGGCTTCTGCAAGAGAAGGGTTGGATATTGGGAAAATCGTTGGCTCTGGTGACTTGTCCTGCAGTTGTCCGCCCCCATGGAGTAAGAGATCACACATGTAATTACTCCCTTGCATGAGGCGCTTCCTTTGTGCATCTTTTGAAGAGCCTATGGCTTGCTCCGCGGTTTGGGACGGAGGAAAGCAAAGGGACCACCTAGTCCAGTCTCGTTACCATCCACTAGCAGATATCATCGCCTAATCGGCGGCCGTTCGACACTACCAACGCAAAACGTCTGAACTAGAAGGGTCCGAAGCGGTGAGGATTCAGTCCGTGATGCGCATCTTCCCCAGATGGCCTAGTGCCGCCTGTTACTTCGAATCGGGACAAGCCCGGCGGTCAGGTACCTTTCCACAGAGCCTTGGCGGAAAGAACGAAACGTCCATTTGGCTGGATGAGAATGAGAACACGACCCTCGGAGGAAGAAAGAAATAAAGAAGAAAACAACATCTGAAAAGCTGATGAACCCTCTAGGTTGGAGTAGGGTTGGCTGGTAAGACTGAGTACACTCGCCAAGACGCTACGTATAATATTGGGATATATGGTAACTCAGGCATGGGAGCAAGTCATACACTATCCGTATAACAAAATGCGCTGGTAAAGTAGGTATGATTGCCATCCGCGATATAACCGGGGTGGTTTGCGTCGTTGACCTAACTCCATAGAGTCCCAAATCTCGCGAGGGTGCGTGGCAAAGAGGCAAGTAATGTCCAGCCGACTGGAGGCCTTCTCAAGTCGAACCAGAGGACCAGCGTATCAATGGCAATAACAGCGTCTACTACGCTGTACCGTTCGACCCTTGGTTGAGGTTTACGTGTGGGTATGAACGGAGGGGTTCGCCGAGACACAACACACGGTTGTAAGGCTGAAGCAAAGCACCTACGGGTAAGACGTGGGCAAGACAGCGGGGCGGGCCACCCACTTGTGGTTGGGCAGGGCTTTCTCAGTTCCTTGGCGAAAGCTTAGTCAGTCTGGAAGCAAAGCCTCTGCTTCAATACGACCTTGAGTTGCACAACTCTGTCCATCCACCAAGGATTTCAAGCACCTACGGATACAATGTACGTCCGTAGGCATTCATTTTTCGTGCGCCATAATCGCAGATCATGTCCTGGATAAACCTTTTCATGATAGCTGTCAAAAATACTACCATGGACAATACTTAACTTCAGGTGGCAGATGATGCTGGAAAGATGAGGCGGGCCATATGAAGTTTTCCAGGTCCAAGGTGGGGAGCCATGAGATTTCTCATACCTAAGGTACGTACCTACATACGTTACATGCCTCAGTACTAGGTACTCCGTGCGATGCCAAATTCTGAACTACTTTGCTGGGTGAGGTGCTCGCGGGGTCTATCAATTCATGCGGATAGTTGATCTGGATAACCAGTTTCGTCTCTAACGAATTTCTCTTACCTCTCTGGTTACTTGCAGAACTCAGGACACCTTACAAAATACGTTACCTAGGTCCCTAGGTACCTCAGGTAATTAACGTAAGGTCCGGATACAGTAGGTTCAGGGTACGTATCTCATGATAATGAACCAGCCTCTTTCACTTCCAGCTGCGCCACAATGTTTAGCATCAGGCCTCATCGGCGGACAACGGACCAGACATCTTCTAGACCAGACACTAATAATCAGGGCCAGTCTGTCTTATTCAACCGAACAGCTATGCCCACTCCACTTTTCCCCTCCACCAGGTCCTCATACGAATAAGAACCAGTACGGTTCAGAGAGCGGGGAGCCATCAACCCTTTTCGAGATACTATCATCTCGTCTCCGCCTTTATCCGAATCTATCTGGCTGCAACACAAAGAGAGAGCGCCATAATATTATCGTTGAGACTTCTTGTGTTTGATTTATCCCAGGTGGCTAAAATAAGGCATAACGTGAGTGTGCTGGCTTGATAACTCTATTTCCTAACCGTTTAAGACTATTCTCATATATAAGCACCCTGCAGAGATAGGTACATCATCCTATAGGTTGCTCTTTTTTTAAAGTCATCGCAGTCATTACGTGGGTACACCTTTAGCGTATCTACCAGGTAGGTACCTTGATTAATTAAAGCCTTAGAAGGCACGAATACAGACGACGAACAAGGGCAACACAACAACCAACCGGCTCTCACACGTGATCGATTACGAGGATAATAAACAAGGATAAAAACCAGCACTTACCACAAACAAAGAAGGTACTGATGCGCCCATCCACTTAATGCGTTAGGTTTGGAGACAAGTCTACCTTATGGTACCTCCAGTGTTTATGTACCAAGTACTCCCGTACTGACCTTCAGTCGCACAAGCCGCACAACCAGCACAGACCACGAGTCCACAAAGGCAAGCAACGTGATTGCTCAACTCCGCCTCCATCGAAGTACCTTAGCAAGGGGTCATACCTAATCACCTTTGCACGGTCCCTACCGATTTTTTTCTCCCACCTCACACTGCACACCCCTGCGGGCTTTGGCTCTCTTTGTTTGATGATATTTGCGCGCAAGACTTCCGGGTCGTAACATGGACAGCCAGAGTTCTCTCTCCAACGGGATCTCACAGCGTCGCAGGCTCACCAAGAAACCACCGTCTACTCACTACCATCAGTACACCCGCTCGTCCGGTGGCCTCGATGGTGGCATCGACGCCCAATCCCTCCAGAGCGAGCGTAGTTCCACGAGTCTGAAGCGAACACCGAGCGCGCCGCCCGTCAGAAGCAGCCTTTCTACCCCCCACGACGACCAATTTCTTCGTTACCTCCCCTCCAGTCAACCCTCTTTCCCTTCACCGAATCCGGCCCAGGGCCAGTTCGCCCCGTCCTCATATCGCAGCCCCGCCATCGCCATCTCCCCAGACCTCGACAGTCGGTCTCCGCAAGGGACGGACGGATTCATCGGTGCCCCCTTTGACGGCGCCGCCATCCTCGACCGCATCGAGCAGACAAAGTCGCCGACACTTCAGCAGTCGACCTTCCTCCACCAAGACCCCGCTCCGACCACACCCAAACCATTCTCCCACACGGCCCAGACCATGTCGCCGGGACTCCGCCGCTCCGTGAGCTTCACTTCGGCCGCACCCGTCATGAGGGATAAGTCGCAGGCGAACCCGACAATGGAGAATCAGTTGCTGAGCCCGAAAAGGTACTCGGACGAGGGCAAAGACTCGAAGCCAGGCAACATTCGCAAAAAGTCCGGATTCTCGGGTTTTGTGAACAGTCTCGTCGGGTCTCAGAAGAAGCCAGTCATCTCGGCTCCCGAGAACCCAGTCCATGTTACCCATGTCGGATATGACAGCACTACGGGCCAATTTACGGTTAGGCTTTTTCTTCCTTTCGTCTTTCCCCTTCCTACCGGTTCCTACCCTTCTCCATCCCTCACGTTGTCCTTGCTCAGACCCATCGATGCCATAAATACATTCTTGCTGACTACAGGCGTACAGGGCCTGCCAAAAGAATGGCAACGTCTCATTAACGAGAGCGGTATATCAGAGAAGGAGCGGAGGGAACACCCCCAGACCATGGTTGACATCCTCACATTCTACAAGGAGACCACGGAGAAGCCGCCCGAAGATCAATTCTTAGAAAAGTTCCATGATGCTCGCGCGCCAGAGTATCGGCAATATGTGAACACTCCTGGAGGGGCCATGTCCCCAGGTATGTATCCGCCAACAAGTTATATGGGTATGTCACCACTCCCAAGTCCATCCATGAGTGTCGTCTCTGGCGTGTCCACGTTGCCAACTGTCGATAATGAAGGATCGTTCGAAAATCCTCGACAACCGCCTCCGGTTCCCGGCCAGAACCGAGGCCTGGGTCTGGCAAAGGACACCAATCTCACGCCGAGTCGCCCTGCTCCGAGACCCCCCATCAATCTACCGGCAAGAACTGCGCCACCCGCACCGTACGTCACGAAGGACTCGGGCATCGGCATGTCACAGCCCAGCGAGGACCTGCCCGCCACGGCCTACGCGCCGCCCAAGGATAGCATTCCCATGCTTCCCGAGGAGCACCGGTCGCGGTCCAATTCCCGTGTCAATGGGCCGGCGCCTTATGCACCAGCCAGCCCCCAGCCCCTGACTCATCAGCACCAGCCTCAAGTTCTTTCACCGGCCGGTCCGCCTCCTGCCCTCTCGCCGTCGCAAGCCGCCGCATCATATCAGCAGCAGCTTCTCCAGCAACAGCAAGAACAAGCTTTGGCTCAGGCCCAAGCTGCCATGTCCGGGCAGATCGGTCGGGCTCCCAGCAAGAGGCAGCCGGCACCTCATCCCCATCAGCCACAACCATCCGTGACGTCGCCAAGCCCGGCCCAACAGCCGTATTCTCAAGGAGGAAGTACTGCCAGCACGAACCCGTCTCATAGGCCCCAAATTGGTGTGCCCGGCCAACCGGGCTCCCGGCCTAGGCACCGGGCACGCCAGAGCAATAACGTCGACGTGGTTGCGGCACTCAAGCGTATTTGTTCCGAGGGCGATCCCCGGGAGATATACCGCGGGTTTAACAAGATCGGTCAGGGGGCCTCCGGCGGGGTCTTTACTGGGCATGAGCGCGGGACGAATCGTCTTGTGGCCATCAAGCAGATGAACCTCGAACAACAACCGAAAAAGGATCTCATCATTAACGAGATCCTCGTCATGAAGGAGAGCTCTCACCCGAATATTGTCAACTTCATTGACAGCTACTTATGTGGTGGTGAGCTCTGGGTCGTCATGGAGTTCATGGAGGGCGGCAGTCTCACCGACGTGGTCACCTTCAACATGATGACCGAGGGCCAAATAGCGTCGGTATGCCGCGAGACTCTGAAGGGCCTTCAGCACCTTCACTCAAAGGGCGTCATCCACCGTGACATCAAGTCGGACAATATCCTTTTGTCTCTTGATGGAAACATCAAGCTCAGTACGTTTCTTTCTTTCTCTCTTCTTTCTTGGTCAGCGGCCCCAGACGATGGGATGACATGTCGAGGCTAATTTCGAGTTCTCCAGCCGATTTTGGCTTCTGTGCCACCATCAACGAAGCCCAGAATAAGCGCACAACGATGGTCGGAACCCCCTACTGGATGGCACCGGAAGTTGTCACGAGGAAAGAATACGGCCGGAAGGTCGATATTTGGTCCCTCGGGATTATGGCGATTGAAATGATCGAGGGAGAGCCGCCGTATCTGACCGAGTCGCCTCTGCGCGCACTGTGGCTGATCGCGACTAATGGCACTCCCGCGATCAAGGACGAACGGGATCTCTCGCCCGTTTTCCGGGATTTCCTCTACTTTGCTTTGAAGGTGGACCCTGAAAAACGTGCCAGCGCGCATGATCTTCTTCGGGTACGTCGTGAACCATTGATGGATCCTCCTACACCTTGCTTTGTGGCCTTTTTCTTCTTCTTCTTCTTCTTTTTTTTTTGTTGATCAACCGACTGACATGGACGTTCCCCACAGCATGATTTCATGAAACTATGTGTCGACCTTTCTCAGTTGTCACCACTCGTTCGCGCGGCTCGAGAAGCGCGACTCCAGGAAAAGGCGCGCAAAGGCCAGTAGGAGTGGTTCTTCGCACACTAAGTTCAGTTCTGGTCCCGCTTGAAGCCGTTGACAGGCTACGAGCTCAGCCCATTTACGTGGCAGGTCTTTCATTTCTACGGAGTACGACAAATTCAAGCATCTTTCAGAAACTATTATTCCCTATTCCCTATTCCCTTTCCGGCTTCAAAACTCCGGGATATGCTGAGCACCTATTCAAGCAGATACTCGGGGTTCTGCATATACTTCGATTAAGGGACACTCGAGCCCCGGCTCAGCTTCTTCGATCCCGCCGTCTCTACGGATACGGAACGCTGTCTACTGCACCTCATCGGAGGCGGCCTCATTTCATGGCAGCATGAGCCACACTGTGCGGGCAACAGGCTTCGGCCCGAACGAGTCCTATGCCTCCCAAATAACTAAGCAGCACACCACTACTAGCTTGACATTGGCTTTTGTGGCTTTTTTCTTCTTTTTTTTTTTGCTTTTCCTTTTCCAATTTTTGATAATGCCACCATGGGTGTGAAGGTGCCTGGTTGTCGATACATCGACGCAGACACGACTGCATATCACGACCAACTCCTCCACTCTGTGTCACAGCCTCGACCGCCCGTTTGCGTTGTATATGAGCGATCTCGATCGCTCGAGAAAGAATTGGTCATCCGGTGTCAGATGATACCAATATGGAGCAACTCCCGCAGCAGCCACTGGCGAGGGAGGGATGCTGTGAGACTACGGGAAGACCAGCCGATGAAGGGTACCCGAAGACTTTGGGATGAGGGCAACAGGGACTTTGGGGTTGCTATCACCCCTCTCTTTGCGTTACTTGGCTTCCATACGTTCTCCAAAATGGGACGCTGCGGAAAGTCCCTACGAAGTAGATCTGCGACTCGGAGCTTTTCTATTTTATTTATTTATTTTGTACGAATGACGGCGGCAAATGAAAGAGATTCCCATGGACCCAGTTTTCACCAAATGGGATAAGTTTGGATGAGAAAAGAATAGACATTTTCCATCGACACAGAAAGTTGACTTCTGACTATTTCATATCAGCAACCTGTGTTGCTTTGCCTTCCGAAGCATCGTATCGTATCGTCTTCGGGAATTACACATGGAATACGGAGTGTGGAGTACGGGGTAAGGTAGTACGGTGTAACACACTACGTGTCCTTTCACGTGACTCGATTCACTTCTCACGAATTTGGTTATGGATAATGTTTCAGAACAGGCCACTTATATCACTTATTACATAGCATGTGGATGTGGCGCCTAACCCTGTGGCGTGCTGAGGCGATGAGGCGTCGCAGAAGTAGCTTAACCAGGAATGGTTAAGTGGCCAATGTTTCCCGCCAAAAACACATGGGGAATGTGGCCAGGATTTGTAGGGGGGACGTGTCCGACTCTTCTGGAAGGAAGGACTCCCTGCTCGCTGTCTCGCCTAGATTTTCGATCTGGACATCGTGGAGCATCCGACACAGGGCTGCTGCGTTCCTCACCCTGTTCCCCCTGACCCTCCCTTCTCGCCGCCTTCTTCAATTTAACCAATTCACTCTCCTCCGTCACCTAATCACGAATAACAGCGCCAGGCTACCTCCTGCGTTGCAGTTCTTCTTCTTACCGTCCTCGGACGTCGCTGGATTCCGCCCCCTTTTTCTCCGCCTTCTACGCTTACAATTGCGCGATGTGCTAGGAAAGGCTTTAGAACCTTCCTCCAAGCGCAATTCCTTTCTCAATCCATCGCCATTCGGAACTCAGACCAGAAAGAAAGCTTCCGTTTCTTTTCTTACGCCTCAATTCACTTCGGTAAGCCGTTGCAACTCATATGGACTCGGGTTATGCCCATTGTCTCTGATGACATACGTAGTTGGCATTAACACATTTGTTCTTCCTCCCCTAGTCAGGTCCCGCCGTTTTTCCTTTCCAGGCCTCGACCAAGTAGCCTGAAAATACTCTTCAAAAGACATTGGCCCTTTTAATTTCGACATGGCGTCTTCCGCAAACAACACCAATGGTTCTGAGCTTTCCGCTGCTCAGCGACTGCTCCAGACGCACGCCGAAGCTCCCCACCATGTGACAGTGGAGGAGGTACCGGACGAAGACCTCTCCACCACCAGCTTCCATGGCGGCAGCTCCCAGACTCCGTCTTCGGAAGAGATTGTCTCCGCTAAGGCTGCTGGAAAGCAAAAGGAGAGCCAGGCTCCCACGCGGGCTCTGGACACGCAGTCCCACGAGCTCTTCCCCGAGCTCGGTGCTTCAAAACCCAAGGGTGGTGCCAACGTGGCCCCTGTTTGGGGTGCGAAAAGCAATTCCTCCGCTCCGGCAAACGGAATCTCTCGATCCTCGACCCCGGGGTCGGGCGTCGCAACGCCCACGGGGGGTGTCCCTTCCATGGTCATTCCCGGCCGCAATGTCGAAACCGTGGTCCTGGAACCCCAGTACGTTTTGCCACGCACCGAGCTGCGCCGGCCGATCCCCGATATCATCAAGGAGATCAACCGCAAGTCGCGCGCCAACATTACCATGTCGACGTCGGGCAATGGTCGTCTCAAGTTTGACGCCACTGGCCAGCAAGACGTTGCTCAACAAGCTTTGAAGGATCTTGTCGAGCAAATCGGCACCAAGGTGGGCATCTCCTGACCTCATCACGAAGAAGGAAAAAGAAGAAAAAAAGAAAAAAAGAAAAAACTTTGTCCCTATTACTCGTTGAGCTGACATAATCGTCCCTCCGTACCGCTCCCCATAGACGACCATTCGCGTTCCCATTCCTCAGGTCGCACGAGCACATATTATCGGCAAACAAGGTTCGACGATCAAGGCACTCCAGGAGAAGTCGGGCGCCCGCATCAAGCTGCCCAAGGCCGAGGAGCTCGGTGCGGCGCAGGATGACGACGATGATGCCACAATTGATGTCCTTGTCGAAGGCAATGCTCTGTCGGCGGCTTCGGCCCGAAACGAAATCCTGAAGATTGCCGGAGAGCGTGCTGCCAACATCAACGTTAAGCTGCGCGACGTCCCCGCTCAGTTCTATCCCTTTTTGGTGGGCCCAGACAGGAGCGGCATTGGAGGGCTCGAGAAAGAGGGTGTCCACATCCGCGTCCCTCCTTATCAGGTATGGGCGTCCGAGCCCCTTCCTGAGGTTCCGCCATCCGGGGACCGCCCACAGTTTTCCCCTGCGGCCCAGGAGAACCTCATTCACCTCGCCGGACAGCGCGAGGCGGTTCATGCTGCGCGTGCCGAGATTCAGCGCCGGGTCGCGGAGCTGAGGGACCAGCTATTGATGCAGCAGTTCGCCATCCAGCCCGGCCGCCATCAGTTCATTATCGGCTCCCGTGGCGTCTCGCCCGACGAGTTCTTTTCTCAGACCGGCTGCACCATCTTCTTGCCCACGGATGATGACAGCGACATGATCACCGTCATCGGCCCCAAGCAGCGAATCGAGCAGGGCATGGAGCATGCCATGGAGCTTGCCATGAACATGCAGAGCTCCCAGGTCGACATCTCCCGTTTCCACAGGAATGCACCTGACGGTGCCAGGATGCATGCTCGTCATATCACCCGCTTCCTTCGCCAGCGCGACATCATTTCCGAGTTGGAGCGTGCGCACAACACTCACATCACCACGCCTCGTAACCCCGACGGCACTGCTATGCCCTGGGAAGTGTACGCTCGAGACGGTAAGAATGCCATTAAAGCGCAGTCTGCCATCTCAGGTGTCATCCATGCCCTGCCGCCCTCCAGGATCACGACGGTGCCGGTGGATCCGTTCTTCCATGCTTACCTCCGCAAAGAGGTGAGCCCACGGATGACGCAGTCCCATGGCGTTCACGTCGTACTTCCTGGAGCCGAAGATGCTGGCGCTCCTGTCCTTCTGGTCTTCGAGGGCCCTTCTGCTGCGGAGCCCCAGCATCAAATCAAGACTGGGGCTCCCAGCCGAGAGGAGGAGGAGACGTTCAGGAAGAGCCTAGAGGACGCCAGGACGCATATTTTGGACATTATCAACAAGCAGGAGAGCATCGTCTCCACTTCCATCGACGTTCCCCAGATGTAAGTGCCCCCTATTCGCTGACCCTTAGGTGGGCTGTTTATGTTTTGTGACATGATCATTAACGACTGGGTTTAGCTTCCACGAGCGCCTGCGACGATTCATCAAGAAGGAACAGGAAAAACGGTCTGCGGACCAGATTCCAATCAGAGTCTCTTCGGCCAAGACGATCGTCACTCTCCGGGGGCCCGCTTCGGCTGTCGAGTCACTTGAGAACAAGATTGCCGCTTTTGTAGCGCAAGAAATCGAAGACGAGAAAGAACGCGGCCTTGTCACGACGTTCGACTTCCCGCAGAAGTTTGCCAATCACCTGATCGGTAAGAACGGCAGCCATATCGGCGAGCTTCGCGAGAGGTTCGACGTCGAGATTCAGGTACATGACGGCAAGGTCGAGCTCAAGGGACCGAAGGCCAAGGCCGAAGCCGCCAAGAGTCACATCAACTCGCTGGCTCGTACTTGGGCCGATGAGACCACGCACATTTTCAAGGTCGAGCCCAAATTCCACAGGGAGCTCATTGGTGTCGGCGGCAGTCTCATCAACCGTCTCCAGAACAAGTACAAGGTTCACATCTTCTTCCCCAAGCCTGCTAAGAGCGGCAAAGATGACGAGTCCAACGCCGACACGGCGAGCGACGCTGGCAAACCGCGGCGGCAGCAAGCCCCTGATGAGGTTATTGTCCGCGGGCCTAAGAAGGGCGCCGATGAGGCCCGCGATGAGATCTTGTCACTGGTCCAGTACTACAGGGACAACTCGTTCACGGCCACTGTCACCGTCCAACAGAAACAGGTCCCTTCCCTTATCGGCCAGGGAGGTGCCGCTCTTGATGAGTTGCGCCAGTCCACCGGAGCCAAGATTGACATTCCCGGTACTCGGGACACAGAGACGATTGATATCCAAATCAAGGGAGGCAAGGCCGAAGTGGCCGCGGCGAAGAAGGCTCTCGAAGAGAAGAAGGCAATTTTCGAGGACACCGTTGTCAAGACGATTGAAGTCGACAAGAAGTTCCACAAGGACTTGATCGGTCCGGGAGGTAAGGGAATCCGCCTGCCTGTGCTTGTTTTTTTTTTTTTTTTTTTTTTCGTCTCTACGTCCATCCCTACTGACATGGGGGGGTTTTTTACTTTTGAAGGCGCCATTCTCCGGGACATTGTCGTCAACGCTGGTGGGTCAGGCGACCGCCGTGAACTCGCTCGCACCATCCAGTTCCCGAAGCAGGATGCCGACGGCAATGCTATCAAGATCGAAGGCCGCTCCCAAGTCGTCGATAAGATCTGCGCCAGAATCCAGGAAATCGTAGCGGAACGGCAAAGCCAGGTCACCGAGATTCTGGATGTGCCCATCGAGAAGCACAGGAGCCTGATCGGCCGTGGCGGAGAAACGAAGCGACAGCTGGAGGCGCAGCTGGGCGTCTCCATTGACATCCCGCGTCAGGGTGACGGTAAGACGGGCATCAAGCTCACCGGTGTCCCCGATAAGCTGGCCAAGGCCAAGGAGCACATCTCGTCCCTGGTCAAGGAGCAGGAGGGCGAGACAATAATGGTGCCCCGGAACCTGCACCACGCTGTCTCCAACAACGGCCAGATCTTCCGCCAGCTCCGCAACAACCACCAGGTGACCGTTAGCCACGACGGCCACTCGGTGCCGCCCAAGTCCACGGCCACCCGTGCCAACGGGGGCTCTCTTCCGCTCATCACCGACGACGAAGCGACCACGGCCGAGGCCCATTCGTGGAAGGTGGAGAGCCTGGCCTCTACCGAAGATGGCGACATCCCCTGGGTGCTCCGCGGGTCTCCCGAGAACGTGGAGAAGGCCAAGGCGGCCATTGCGAACGCCCTCTCTCAGGCTCGTAAGAACACCACGATCGGACTCCTCGTGCTGCCGGACCCCACGACCTACCGCTACGTCATTGGCCAAGGCGGCAGCAAGGTCAACTCGATCCGTAAGCAGACGGGCTGCAAGATCAATGTGCCTCGCAACGACGCCAAGGAGGACGCCATTGAGATTACGGGTAGCCCCGAAGGGGTGGAGAAGGCCAAAGACCTGATCTTGGAGGCGGTTCGGGAAGGCATTAGCTCCCGCTCTCGGGACTAAGCAGACAAGAGCCTGAATGACCCGACAAATGTTCATTGGTCTGTCTCTTGGGAATGCCGTTAGAAGGGGTGCTTCCTGTCTCTGGTGGGCCTACTGTACCATACAAGGGAAAAGGGAGGCCGCTTTTACATCTTTTACATGTGTCTTTGTTGGATTTTTTCTTTTTCTTCTTTTTTTTATTTTTTTTTTATTTCTAGGATTTCCCACCGTCTTGGAAAAAATATCTGCATTATATAGGATATGAAAAGTGCAATGGAGAGTAGACTGGGGCCTATAAGAATGGAACAGCGGTTGCAGCAGTAGGGGCTGACGGTGCCCAACCCTCCTTACACTCGCCTGCAGCCAGGTGACGCTGGAAGGGGGGTTTCCTGTGTCAACAAATTCCTTCATATATGCCTTTGCTCCTCTATGTTTCTGGCATACCATGTTTGTTGCTTGGATGAGGAAGATGACTTGTGAATGGGGACGAAAATAAACTGGGGGGTCTTTGCAGGTCGTCGAGGAAAAAGCAAAACTGGAAGCCAGAGGGAAGATCTAAACTCAAACAAACATGAAAAAAATCAAACAATATACACAATGCTCGACCCATTTCCCAAGGTAGATAGAAATTGCTAACGGATGTCATGAAAAAAAACACGACTACAGTGAGTTCCATCCTGGTTGCCTTGCCTGTCCTGTAGACCCCCAAACATGCCTGAACCCAGACGCTGCTTGTTATTAACGAGTGGTCACCAAGAAAGTCAAGCAGGGAAAACTCATTTGGTTCGGAAAATATGAGTTGCTTCTTGAAAGGCCATCATACCAAACACAACAAATGACAAACAAATCATGGGGGCTTCTTCCTGCTGAAGAGACCATGCTGGCTGGGTGAAGATCCTCGAACATAATCACATGCGGACATACATGCGGTCTCGGTCGCGTACAACAGCATTCAAGATCACTCAGGTAGAGGGTCAGTTCCCCAAGCTGTCATTCAAATTCCTTTACCCTAACCATCCATGAACAAACATATCACCACCATCATTGTTCCCTCCGCTTCAAGGCTATATCACATATGGCATCGCACAACGCTTCAACATGCGAGTCTCACCGCCTCTTGAAGGCGTTTGCGATTTGTTCCTTATAATGCTCAGTGAGAACCCGGCGGTTCACCTTCTGTGTGGCAGTGACGAACCCCTGAGAGAAGTCAGCATCGGTTGTTCTGAGTATTGGGGAGAGGTGTCTCTGTTTATGCGTGTTGCGCGGTGGCATGGGTGCATGGGTAATGGGAGAACATCAGGGATGAGACAAATCCAACTTACACTCGCGGGGGTCCACTCCTCCTCAGCCAGCACCACGGCCGACACGATCTCCAAGGGGCTCAGGCCAGCCTTCTTGCCGATAGCGACGAGGTCCTTGAGGACGGCGCTCTTGACCTTGGCATCCGAGTGCATCTGGGTTTCACTCACACCCTGGCGCTGGGCCTCCTCAGCCAGGACCTTCTCGTTGGGTGCAATGACGGCGATGGGCCTTGACTGTTCGGGGTCGGCATGCACCATGATATTATTCACAAATTGGCTGCCCCGGTAGGCGGTCTCCAGCTTCTCCAAAGCAATATACTCGCCCCCCTGCAGCTTGACGAGATTCTTGAGACGGTCGATGACGCGCAAATGGCCGTCGGAATCGAACTCGCCAATGTCGCCTGTCTTGAACCAACCATCCGGGGTGATGGCCTTTTTCGTCTCCTCCTCGTTCTTAAAGTAACCATGGAAGACGGCAGGGCCCTTCATCCAGATCTCACCCTGCGCCGTCCCCGCGTCGGCAGAGTAGTTGAGCTCAGGAACGGAAACGAGCTTGATGTCGATCGCCGCGGGCACGGGGCCTATAGAACTCGCCGTGTACGAGAGGGGATTTCCCAGGGCACCATTTCCACCCGTTTCCGTCAAGCCGTAGCCAACGACCATGGGCGCCAAAGTTATGGAAAGGAAATGCCTTGTACCCTCAGCCAGGCCGCTGGCACCATTGAAAATGAAGCGAAGACGACCCCCGGTCAGTTCGCGGACCTTGCCAAAAACAATAGGGTCCAAGACCTTGGCAAAGGGGAGATGGTTCCTAGTCATAAAGGACTTGTAGTTGAAGGCACCCCAGAAGAGTGACCTGGTCAGGACACCGGATTTGTTTACCTTGCTCTCCACGCCTTTCCTGATCGTCTCCCAAATCTGCGGCACGCCGACGAGAACGGTCGGGCGGAATTCGCGCATATCACCAGCACAGTTCCTGACCGAAGTATCAGATAGTGTACGCGGATTCCCGTAACCTATCGTGCCGCCAATGAAGAGGACGATGTTCTCTAGGACAAGCTCGAGAATGTGCGCTAGAGGCAGATATGCCAAGCAAAAATCTCGAGGGCTGACAATGTCTTCGACGTTGAGATAGAGACCGGTGACTGCGTTTGAGAAGATCAGCATCGCGGCACAAGCTGGCTGAGCCCGAGAGGGGACTGTGGCTTCCACAGAAAAAGAAGAGACGTTCATACCGGCAGCCAGCATATTCTCATGCGTCATGGGAACGCCCTTGGGCAGACCTGTAGAGCCAGAGGTGTACATGATGCAGAAGAGGCTTTCGGGTGTAGGCTCGACAGGATCAACCGGATTTTGCTCGCCCAGCTTACGGACTTCTTCTACGCTGTAAATGGGCACGTCAGGGTTGGATTGCTTGAAGGCGTCGACCTCAGTGCCGTCTGCGAAGTGAGAGGAGTCGTTGTAGATGATGAATTTGATGCCCTTGGCTTTCTTCAGCGGCCCGCTGGCCGTCTTGAGGAGGTTTGGTTCAATGTACATGGCCTCGGCGTCGGACTGGAGAAGGGAGTGTTCGAGGCCCGCAGCACCAAGACTGTCATAGGCCGTAACGATAGACATGGATTGCGACCCGCAGGCGTGAGCCAAGGAAAACCAGTTCAGGCTAGACAATGGAATAGGTTAGAGAACGGAGCTAGAAAGGGAGAGCGATGGCGGCCCTCGAGGGGAATATTGAGCTTACTGCGTGGGTGCGAACAGGTGCAGACGGCTTCCCTTGGACAGACCGAGGCTGCGCAAGCCGTATGCGAGCTGGAGGATGTACTGGTGAAACTCGGTGTAGGTGAGAAACGAGTAGCCGGTGAGCTCAAACAACTGCCACTCCTTTTCGGCCTCGGTGCCATCGCCTTTCGGGACCATCTTCTTCTCGGTGTGGACCTTGACGAGGTTCCTGCTCCCGACGGCGGGCTCATTGGGGTAGAGACGGACGCTGCGCTTGATGATGTCGTAGAGAGTATGGACATCGCTGGACGGTTCCTTGTGTAGGCCATCCTTGGACTTGGGGTTTCGGCGGGGGATGGTCTCGCCAGGGACCTTCTCGTAGCCCGGAGCTTCGATGGTATACGGCGGCTTATAGATTGGGTGCAGGGGCAGGCTGCCCGTCTGGTGGTTGGGCATGATGTCGCGCGGGCCCAGGGCGGTGGGTGAAAGGACGAGGGCGAGGATGAGGGCGAATGTCGCAAATAAGAAGACGAGCCCGCTTGGGCGACTCGTCAAGGAAGCGATTTTGGCTGGGTGACCAAAGTCGTGGGAAGCGGGGTTGGAGGGTGTTGTTACGAAGCTTTGGAGATGGTGAAGGTGAAGAAAGTCACGATACGTGGTTGGAAGTCAAGGCAAGTCGGGGTATAGGAATACTACACGTACTTCGTAAAGCCTAACAAGGTGAAATGTGAAGGAAGGAGCTGACGACGAAGGGAGTGCGTATCCGTGCTGCTGTCATACAAGATATATGTACCGTACCTCCTGTGGACACGGCCCCTCTATGGGCATAGGTGCTGCAGCTGCTGTGGGGCAGCGCACAGCTTACGCAGGCGGCATGCCAAGACAAGCATCCGTACTTGACGTAATGGTGGTAGGACCTCGGAACACTTTTACAGTGGGGTGGGGCTTCTCAGGTACCTTACCCAGCTGTGCGATTCCTACCTTACTAATCTCTCGAGTCCTACACTAGAACTCACGGATTCCATACCAACCAAGCTACCTAGGTAGACCTTTCAAGGCTGTAACATGCTACTGGATAGAGACTTCCGATGATTTTGTATGCAGAGAAATAGAAGTATATCTAGTATATCCGTACCGGTATGGTATCTGAGAGACCTAGGTGCTGCCTGACCATCTACACGTGTACACCAAAGCCGATCAATTCATCATCATTTTCACTGACGCCCATCTTGCCTGAATTAGTGCTTGGTCGGTGCACACCTACGTTGTAATAAGGAGACAGACTGCGGTGACGGCATTGCTTACGAAAGGCACTGAAATTTGGGGGTTCTCCCAAGTTCTTATCGCATTGGCGCATGCAACATCACAACATCATGTTGGCCAGACCTGAGGCAATCGGCGGTAGAATTAAGTAATCATGTATCTCTACGGGAGCGTCTCGTCAACCAAGTGCAGCCTGCCGGCCATAATCTATATGGTACATGGTATATATAGTACAGAGGTAGAGCCTTGCACCGGGTCTCGTTTATCGGCCCCGCCGCGAAACTTTACGCTGTCTCTTGCACATAGCAGCGACTTCGCTGCCTTTTGGCGATCGAGGGTGAAGAGTAGGTAAGGTAACGTGTAGACGCGTCAAGAGGACGCGACGACTCACCAATGACTCGGCCGGCGACTACTTCGTACTCCGCACGCGTTGATTGCCTACTCTGGCGTTTGTTCCACTTGTTCGCGGCGAACCGCTCTAGCACAACGGCATGTCACCGCACAACTCGTCCCATTTCCGTGTAAATTTACATTCTCACTGCTAGTGGAACGGACGGACGGCCACGGGTCGGAGTAAAGAAAAGGGACAAGATGAATGGACGCAGACGAATCGCACCGGGGTCTGTCACCAAATCCAGTACCGCCGAGCCCACTCGCGCGGGGCCCTAGCTCCGAACCTTCACCCTCCAGCCGAGACCGGGAGAAAACCCGTTCCCCGGAAGGGTCATACCAAGTCCTGCAATGGGTGCTACAACTGCAAGCGGCGCAAAGTCAAGCGTACAGGGGATGTCGCCGTCTGCCTTCACTTCAATTGTATCAGTCTTGTTTCGAGTATCCGTCCGTACCCCTCGTCTAGTGCTCACACTCACACGCTCGACGGATCTGCCTCTCGCTCTGTCGGATCTCTCGTCGCCCGGTCTCCGTCTCCCCCCAATGTCTTTACTACTATACCAACCTCGTTCTGCATGGACGATAGATACGCGGGGTCGGTCATCTCCGGCGTTCCTGTCTATGGAGAAGACATGGGACTGCCCGAGAGTGCAAGAAAAAGGAGACCTCCAAGGCAGGCTGGCGCGTACCAGAATGGTGAGGTAGGTTTACTTTGGGTCAAGTACAATCTCAGAGTGTAGCCGGCTACCTCAATAATCGCACCAGCCACGACACAACTCAGGTCCCTTCGAATTGAGGGCAGCGTCATGGGCCGAGACAAAATCCCCGGTTGCAAAAATGGCGAGCCATCATGTCCTGAAGAACAGTAACAGTTCCAAGGGTTAAGAGAGACAAAAGAGAAACGGCCCGACAGTAAGCTTCTAGACGACCAGGACCTCCATGACAAAGGAACCTGTTTTGGAGGCAGCCCTGTACAAAGGCCGTACCTATTATTCTTTGTACGACCAAGAAAACGAATGCGGACGCTAAAGTAGACAAATGAAAGATTCAATACCCCAAAGAGTTATTTCGAAGAGAACACGCGATACTCGAGCCGTTGGCGTCGTGTTGGACCGTAAAGAGACCCAGAAACCAGTGAGAGCAAGGAGCAATTGACAAGGTCATGCATATCGCTAAGCATTCCACTAACATGCGATGATGATGATATATGCTATCCCTGAGTGGGTGGGCAACTAATTATGTCACTTTCTTTGTACGGAGTCGGCGCTCCAAGCCACGTCGTCTAAAAATATCGACATCCCTAACCCGCCTCCAACGACCAGTCCCAGGAAGCTGTTTGCTGTGGAACGCCACGCTCGGGGCATCAAAGAGAAAGGAAAGAGGAGGACGGAAGGACGCAGGGTATGGAGAAAAAACAGTCGCCAGATGGAAGAAGAAGAAAAAATCAAGAAACAAAAAAAACAAAAAAGAACAAAGAAACCAAAAAAGAAATTAAAAAAAAAAGAGGCCATGTGTATCTCTATAGCTGTAAGGGTAGCGAAACCGGCAAAGCTGCTTTAAGTAGGTATCCAACGAGAACATGATCATGAGTGGTCATTAACTCATCCGCTCTCCCTCCCCCCTGTCCTGCAATCCTTTCAATCCGACCCGATGCCCCAGACTCCTCTTCCCTACTTTCAGCTTCCCGAGGATCCTGGCTGTTTCCTCCTGAAGAAAGCAAGATAGGGCACGGCGTCGCCATACCCGTAGATTCTCGGACTGGGCCCGCCAGCAAGCTTCTTCACCACGGAATCGTTCAGATGATACCAGTCGGGGCTGTTGGGCGCTCGCACATAGGTGTAGTAATGTCCCGAATGCAGCGTCGCGCCGGCGTGTGTCACCACCGCGTAGCATTCGTACGCGAAGGGCGCCTGGAAGGCCGGTCCCGTCTCCATCCCGGCCGGCAGCTTGCGATCCTCGCGCGGGATGAAGAAGGGCTCCATGTTGAGGCTGTTGAAATCCCAGGTGACCTTGCTGCAGTTCTTCTGCACCCCGCCGCCGCCGTACGTGAACCGGTTGAGGTGGATGCAGAGAAGCTCCGGCAGCCGGGCAAGCTTGCGCTCCAGCCTCGCCTCGTGCTTGCCCTTGCATTTGTCGCACTGGTAGTCGTCCAAGACCTCGGGTGCCATGGAGGTCGACAAGCAAGTCTCCAAGGTGGACGTCGACTTGGCGCTGATCGTGGCAACGACCATTTCGGCGGGCGCCCACCGATAGGATCTGCTTGAGCACCTCGTGCATGTGGTGATCTGGACCTCGAGGTTGCGCCAGTAGCGGTCGACGATCGAGCGATTGGTCTTGGAATGGTTCTCCCACCACTCGTGTGCGCCCTGCAGAAGCGACTTGGAATTCATGCCGGATATGTTGTTGTTCATGTTGTCGTCGTTCACAGTCTGGTCTCTCCTTGTGTTCGTCTCCTCATGAAGAGCGTCCATGAGAAATGAGATAAACTCCTGGGCATCCTGCTGCTGGTTGCCTCCGAACTGCTGTTGGCCTGCCGACCCGTTCGGAGTTTTGCACAGTGAGAGTGAGTAGTCCTAAACAAGATGGTCAACATCTGCTGCTCATTTTTTTGGACGGAAGAAGACGAAGCTTCACCTACCATCAATGTTTGCGCTTTCATCACAGGAAAGCTACCCTCCGCCATCCAATGGAACAAATTTGCGACGATTCGCACCATCAGTCGAGGGCTGTCTGACTTTTCGTCTTTCCGTCTCGGAATCTGATACAACGTCTCCCATTCCCTGGTCGCAAGCTCCCTGCCGAATCCGGGCGATATCCTCAGAGACTGGATGGTGCTATTTGCGTAGCACCAGTTGTGAGGGTTGTACAGCCCGGTAATGCGCCGCTCGCTAGCCTTGGTGCCCGGTAGCTTGGTCGATTTCGACGTGGTTCCGAAGCTTGACCCGTCGTTCCCATCGTACAGCCCGCTTACCGTGGTCTTCGGCACGGCTGGCTTGGGCAGCGTTGGCTGAGTAGGCAGCGGGGGAACTAGAGGAGGGCTTACCCCCTTCCCGGGTGGAGCAACCGAAGGTTGGTCCTTTTTAGGAGGTTCGGGAGGTGCTGGTGGGGATACCATGGACTGAGGCTCTGCCGGTGGGAACTTCTTGTGGAATTCTTGCAGGTTATGCACGTAGCCAGCATCTTCGGCGTCTGGTTTCTGACTCCCAAGCTTGACCTTGTCCTCCCAATCATGCAACTGATCTGGATCGAGGTTCGAAGGCTTGTACTTGACAATGGGTCGCAATCCCGACTTCTTAGATGACACCGGGGAGTGGGACACCTCGTGTCCTGGAGACGGCTGCAGGCAATGCGGCCCCAGGACATCAAGCCATGCCTTTAGGCCCCCTTTGAGAAATCTGGGGTGTCCCTGAAGCTCTTTTCCAAAGCTCAACGTGGTCAGAGCACGCTGGAGTGACAACAGGGCGCTGTTACCCGACTGGCCAATGTATTGAGGCAAGGCCGTAGAATCCCAATCGTAAAAAACAATGAGATCGAACTTGTCCCGCCGGTCAAAATACTCCTTTTCTTGGCGGGGCGCAATAATCATGCTCTCTTCGATGCTGTCAGAAGTAACACCATCGCGGAGGAGTATTGGAGGTTCGATGCAGATGACCGTCTGCCAATTGATGTGCCCTTTATTGAACTCCTCCCGGTCACGTATATCGATCAGTAGTATCCTTGCGTGCTTCTGCATTACCTCGATGAGATCCTCAGGAGTGATCCCGTCACCATCTGGGATCTCGAAAGACGGCCTACTGGAGCCCGATGGCGCGGTGAAGTAGTCTTCATAAGTTGACCTAGAATTTGGTGACATCGGTATCGCGGGCGTTGACGACGGGGTCCGTGTGAAAAGGCCACCACGCGTGCTTGTCGGGAGCGATGCTGCTGTCTCAGTAAGCGTCCCTCTTGCCGGGCTGTAAATGGCATCGGGAGCTTTCGGCAGCCCTGGTATGCTTGTGGGAATGCTCGCGTCGGTGGAGGGCCGGTTTGCAGAGGTGGTCTTCGGGGGGTGAGTCCGAATACGTGGATCCTGCCCGGGAAATGCAGCAGGACCTCGCAGGTTGGAGAAGCGCGCAATCAGGTCGTCGCCGTTCTTGTGAGCAGGCAGTCCAGATGCCGAGCCGGGGCGAATAGCGCTACCGTGTAGAGCGCGAGGCTTTGGGTGGACCGTGGGTTTCGACTTGAGATTCCCTGTCGCCGTGGGCGGACGATGTGCCATGGATTGCTCCTTATCTGCATGGCCCGGCCAATGCTGCTTCCTCACGGTAGGCTGGACTCCCGTTCTTTCATTATCCGCTTTGATCTTCGCCTTGAACCTCTCAAAGCTATCATACTGATCTCCGATTCGTTTATTAATGCTCGAATATAGGCGCTTTAGGTCGGACCGTTCTAGTTGTAGCGAGACGTATTCCGGATGAGTGGGAATCATTCGGATGGCAATCACGGATGCTTCTATATATCCTCTCAGCGCACGGTCGGGTCGGCCAAAGTCGCGATCGGCTTCGGCTTGCCGAAGGAGAGTATCCACGCGTTCTAGAATCTTGCGCATGGGAAGACTCATGTCGATGTCGACCGAAGGTGAGGTGAGGTCGTCTATGTGCGGCAGTGGTGTCTGGCCGGCGCCGGCGCCATTGGGACCACCACCACCACCAGCCCTGGTATTTGCCATGGAGATGACAGCGTGACGGTGTGCAGACTGGTCACGAATCGCGGGGATCGTGCTAGCAGTTGAAGTTGTGAGGATGCTCATATCAGCGAGTGTTCGGTTTTCAAAGTCGTTTGAAGATAGTCAGACATGTCGCTGTACAACGGAGTAGCGCGAGAGTGCAAATCGAGCTAGCAAGGACAGGAGTCGCGAAACTGAAATCGTTGGAAGGACGTAATAGGTATGTGCGGATGGATATATTTAACGAAAGAGACGTCCCAATGACAACGCCGAGTAGTTCTCTGGAATGAACATCATTCTCGAGGAATAAGGCGTAGTGTATGTCTTTGTCCCGCGGACTCAGCGACGTTGCGTACGGGTGTTTGTTGGAGGGTTGGTCACAGTGGTGTCGTCAAAGGACCTTTGTCTGTTAATTAATTATAAGTTAAGCGCCACGAGGTCTGAACAATGGAATCACTGCCACGGAAGACGCTTTGAGATGCCTAAATTCTCCGTCACGTGCACTTTCATAGACCTATGGATACCTATAATTACTTCGGTAATAGCCCCTACACACTCACCCCACTCCGATCATATGGACAAGGTAGCTATTATTATCCAAACCTTGGAGGCACCCAGCACTTACACTATCTCGTATTCTACTTTCGTTACGGGAATAAATAATTACAAGAGGGTAGGGTATATCTTCATCGAGGAACACCCAGCTGCTCAGTCGTCTTGCGCCACACTTTGTATTTATTTTGTCTTAACGGAGGACAAATGGAGGTGAACATCGCCACCTCGCTGTCGTCATGGTCTTGGCAGAAGGAATTAGGGGGGACCGTGCTACTTTACTTAGTCAGCGCTGTCCGTGATACCGGGTACGGGGTAATTATTACGGATACCTTATCTCACATGGTGCTGAGCAATCACATCAGGGCAGGGCGGGCGGCGTACAACGTACTACCTAAGGTAGGTATCCCTAGTACTGTCCCAGCAGGCAGCCTTGCATCACAAGCTCCCATCAACAACCAAGTGATTATCACCGCATCATCGTCTCGATCTGATCCACGACACAATTCGTCCGACCACCTTACTTTCAGGCTTCTATCGCAATTCTGTTGGAATCCGAAGCGTAGCCCACGATAGAGTGAAGACTCCTGCAATCCTATTCTATTGCCCGCGCTCTCTGAAATCGACGTCTGCTCCACCATGATGGGCTGGTGGACTTCTTCGGCCAACACGGCCCTGGACGAACAGATTGAGAAGGCGACGAGCAGCAGCCTGTAAGCTGTTGTACCCTTTGGATCAAACCGTCTGTGTGTTACGAAGTCCAGCTGACCAGATGGTACAGAGAGGACATCGCTCTCAACCTAGAGATCTCCGACATCATTCGATCTAAGACAGTTCAGCCCAAGGAGGCTATGCGTTCCTTGAAGAAGCGAATCGGCAATCGAAATCCCAATACCCAACTCAGCGCCCTTAATGCACGTCACACCACAGGCACATATTTCACGGGCATGGGGCTAACTTCAGTTATTCTAGCTTACTGATACATGCGTTAAGAACGGTGGCTCACATTTCCTCGCCGAGATCGCGTCGAGAGAATTCATGGATAATCTCGTGTCGCTGCTTCACGCAGTCGGACCCGCAGCCGTCAACCCACAAGTGAAGTCGAAAATCCTCGAACTAATACAGTCATGGGCAGTGGCTACTGAAAGTCGCTACGATCTGGGTTACATCGGCGATGTATACAAGAAGCTACAGCACGAGGGTCACCGCTTCCCGCCCAAAGTTAGCGTCACAAGCAGCATGATCGACAGCAGCGCGGTGAGTTGCGTCTCAACCGTCTAAACCTATCTGCTTTGCTAACATATTCCTGGCCTAAGCCTCCCGAATGGATAGACTCGGACGTCTGCATGCGGTGCCGGACCCCTTTCACGTTTACGAACCGAAAACATCATTGTCGAAACTGCGGGAATTGCTTTGACCAGCAGTGCTCGAGCAAATCTCTCCCTCTGCCTCATCTAGGCATCATGCAAGCCGTTCGTGTTGATGATGGGTGCTATGCGAAACTCATGGACAAGAGTGGGAAAGGGGGCCACGGTGCGGCATCGTTGGACAAGTCACCTACCTACCCTCATAAGAGCCGCAGCACCTCCGCCATGCAGCCACGCAGTGCCCGAGTCGAGGACGGATTTGACGAAGACCTCAAAAAGGCATTGGCTCTGAGCTTGGAGGAATCTAAAGCCTACACTGAGCCCAGATCGAAACCTCATCACCAACGCGCCACTATCAACGGCAAGTCTTCGGCAGGGCCGCAAGCCGATGAAGAAGACGATGACCTGAAGGCGGCCATAGCGGCGTCCTTGGCAGATATGGAGGAGCAGAAGAAGCGTCACGCGGCCGCCTTAAAGGAGCAGACGGAGCAAAGTTCCGGGACGGGTCCTTCAACAAGCACCGCATTTGCCGTGCCAAAGAACGACTACGAGCTAACGCCAGTAGAGGCCGAAAACATCAATCTCTTTGCCACTTTAGTGGATCGCCTCCAGTCGCAACCTCCTGGGACTATCTTGCGTGAGCCTCAAATTCAGGAACTCTACGACAGCATTGGTGCATTGCGGCCAAAGCTTGCGAGGACTTATGGAGAAACGATGAGCAAACACGGTAAGTCAACATATTGCATAGACCACTGGGCTCTTTTGCTCTAACGGGAAATTCTAGATACTCTCTTAGACCTTCACGCGAAACTCTCTACTGTCGTACGATACTACGATAGGATGTTGGAGGAGCGACTTTCAAAAGCTTACAGCCAGCACACTCTCGGCGGTTACGCACTTCCTCCGGCGCGACAAGCTTCTGGGTCATACCCGTCACTCCAAGCCAGCGCCCCGGGACCCGGGGTTGGCCCGGCAGAGAATTTCTATACTGGAGGCGATCAGAGGCCAGAATATGGACGGGCTCCACAGCAGGGTTATCCTACGCCACCCCAGCACAGTCTCCAGACATACGATAGGACTGGTGGTTCCGTATCCGGACCTCCTTCAGCTCATTATTCCGCTCAAAACGTCCCGGGGCCGGAAAGCTGGAGGGGTAGCACGGGACCCCAATCTGACCCCAGTTACCCGCAACATGTGGGATATCCACCCAGCGAGGCTCCAGGCCCTCAGACTGATCACCGCAGCCAAACCCATCCCGGGGAACCAGGAGTTGATCCAAGCTCAACGGCCGCGTATTATTACAACTCCCAGCAACCGAGCCAGCAGCCATCGGCGCCTTCTGCTACGGAGCCAGCCGCGTCACCCTACCCTAACCTTCACCACCCACCGCAATATCACCGACCATCCATCTCACAACAGACACCGGGTCAGACACCGGCACAATCAGCACAACCGACACAGCCGACTCAGTCGGCGCAATCCACACAACCTGCGCCGCCCCATCAAGCGCATGTTCCAGCTCCCCAGCAGCAGAACTATTGGCAGCCGTCAATGCCTCAACAAGCGACCCAGCCCAACCAAGGCTGGCACGGGCAACAATACAGCGGGTATGCTCAAGAAACATTTCCTTCGGCGCCCCGGCATGCTCCAAAACAGCCGGCCGTCGAAGAGAGCTTGATCGAACTCTAAATTGAATTGAGGCATCGGCTGCGACTTGTGAAGGTTGACAAGGACGGGTGACGTTCAGGATCCAAGCAGGGAGAAGGGGGGGGGAGATCGACGAAGATTGTCACGCGTGGTCCGGGAGGGCGGCATTGGTCTCAATTTAACTGATTTGTATTTGGATTTCACGGAAGTGCTGGCGCAGCGTCTGCCTAGATTCAGTCACCCTTGCTTCTTCTTCTCTCTTGCCGCGCATCCTTCGCAACTGCAAGGTTGGCCACCGCCCGTGTCTATAGGAACGGCCTAGCAAATATGACATCAGTCCAGCCCTACAAGGCCACAACTAGCATGACTTATACCTACCTTATGCAAAGGGGAGAATGGAAGGATGTTGCGGGTATTTCCCATGCGTTGCGGCAGCTTTACCATATATTACCCTACTTCCATGATACCGTCACGAGATGGCCCTTGAGGTCGACTTCGTCCTTGATCGAGGAGACCCCACGTAACAAGGGATAACAGGGGTAGGGGAAGAGATAAAGGCCGAAGGGTCTCAGCTTAGCTAGTTCCTGTATCGTACAAATGAGCTGTCCGAAATTAGGTAAGATCCCGTCCCTTAGTCAGCGTATTTCGGCGGGAGCCGCAAGCTAGTGTCTTTTGTGGGTCCGGTCCGCCTGTGATCTGAAATCAGTGCTCGCGTAATAAAAAGTCGGAACATGTTGGCGATGGGCATGGTCATGATTGATTGGATTTCCTATATGGCGATTTCGAGCCCCTGAACGAGTGTGAAAACGGTCCTCAATTCTAACGGTTCTTCTCGTGCTCATAACTCCGGATGGGCTTCTCATCTCGCCTGGAGACTGCGTTTGAAGAAGTTAGCAAATCCCGTCACCCGTCTCTTGTCTGCGATTAGTCAGTCAACATTTCACTCCCTTATAATCACGTGATGTGGCGATCTGACCGTTAAGGTACTGCCCAAGGATACCGCTTCAATCCCCCTATCTATACCGACCAACTAAGGTACCTAGGTATTGAAGATGACCCTCGGTCGGTCAAAAGAGTATATCGTTTTTATTCTTAGAACATTTTCTTCTGTGTTTCATCTGCCCAAGCAACATCTAAACAGGACGGAATGTATTCATCCAAGCCGATGGCTATGGCGACATAATCTCAAGCTACGATTTCGGGGAGAACAGTGGTCCAATAGTCTAATGGTTAGGACATGGGATTCTGATTCCCAGGGTCCAGGTTCGATTCCTGGTTGGACCTTGTGATTATCTTTTTTGCCAAAGAAAAATTCACCACGTTTATGCTGAAGACGTTACGAAGCAGGTTGAAAACGACGCTTTTTTTCCCCCCGTACCATAGCCACGGGTTTGCATGCCATAAGCAAGCACATCATATCATGGACTGGAGCGAATTATATCATTTGCAGTGAAAGTAATTATTTTGTGATGCAAAATCAGTTGAATCAAAGTGCGGCCCAGCCTTTGCACCTTTGCAAAGCTCCACCAAAACCATTCCCGTCAAGATCTCAGGCCTGGTCGAAATACCAATTACTTCCGCGTCTGATGAATTTTTGCGCCTCCTTAGGTAATTAGGTACTTACCCATCTACCTTTGTGAATCATCGGGCACCAGTGTGCTTTTGGCAGACTCCCGTTGTGAGATGCCTGGGCTTCTGTCCATGTCAACAACATTCAATATATGACCATGATCGTATCCAATGTGATGGATCCTGGACATCGAAAACAAGGGCCTATTTTTTCCCACATACTCCCACAACAAATGACTTCAACAGCACTGAAGATCGCACATGGCAAATGCCTTGTACGGTTCCAGAATTGGATGGCGGCCACTGGCTCAGTTCATGCACGCAATCCAAATTTGGGGAACATTCGCTCGTCTGGAGCCCCCAGGGCCCCGTCTCAAAATGTGCCTCCACGGAAATTACCGCTGTCGGCCAATAAAAAGGCACGGACCGACGTCCGTCTAACTGACCAGTTAGCATCCAGTTGGCCTTCCTCTTCGGTCACCCCACAAATCGTCATTTTACGGCTTTGTGTGTGGAGGATTATGGTACCTATCTCCGCTGTTGAACTATATAAGACACCAAGAAGTACCTACACATTAGAGGATTCTCTTTTGGTGTAGTAGTACGTTTTTGAGTATGACATCCGCGGTAGTTATTCTGTGTTCTGGTTGAAGAATACGACCTCAAGGAGTAACAGAAAAACATCTGGCGTTCGAGAATCTCCCGGTAGGCACATATAGCCTCAGTATTAGTATTATTTTCCGGTCTTTATTATGTCTACCGAGTGCATTATTAGCAGCCTAGCATGTGACTACCAAGTGCCGCGCGACCTTTAGCTCTACCTACTTCGTGCTAAAAATTCGTGGGCAGAAGTTAAAACGCCGCTGTGGTAACCGCCTTCCAGGCCACGATGGACGTGCTAATTCAAAAGGCAAATGTTCAGCGCAAAGTCTTTATTAGCCAAGTTGCTCTCAAGCTGGTAATCATTATGACGAATTTGGACCCTTGGGGGGAGGGGAACCGCCGCACCGAAAATCGAGTTGGTGGGCAGGTATCGAACTTCCACTTCCCCGTTGACATTGCTTTGACATTGCCTTCTCTCATTCCTCGAAGCCTCTCTCCAAGTCTTGTCGACTTAATGATGGTCCCTGCGTACATCGAAATTGTAGGAGCTCTCTTCACCACCGAGCCTGATGGACTACTCACTACTACATCTGAACGACCAGTCGACTCCCTTTCCCCGCTCCTCTCGCCACTCATCGTTATCGTCGAATTCTTAACGCCGTCTCCTTCCTCCTGCGGAAACCCCACGCTTCGCCTTATGCAATGCGCACCCGGAAGCCAGGTGTACAGATCCTATTTCCAGTCGTCCGCGGTCCTCCCTTCTAGCCCAGCCTTCTAGATCTCTTCCCTCCAACTCTGGGCAAGAACAACTTGCAAGGCACTGGCGCAAACTGCGCGATCTCCTGCCATGTCTTTTTACAGGACTATCCGTCCCTCGACGTCCGAAACTTGGATGCGCAGCGATCAACAAGACCGCCCATCAGGAAAACGCTCTCGTAACTCGCAACAGGTAGCCCAGGCATGCCCAGCATGCCGGCAATCCAAGGCTAAGGTGAGATGATAGACCTCCCCCACTATTACCGAGTTCGTGTTGATGATCGCCGCAACATCTTGGCGCAAAAGGTCTACTTTTCTAACCATGCCGCCCCCTTGGTGCTGTCTAGTGCGATGGCGCCCGCCCGCGGTGTTCCAACTGCGTGACCAAGGACAAACCATGCGGCTACATCGGGGAGGTGGGACAATCTAGACAAGCCGCCATGATGGTCCGCCTCGATTCTTTGGAGTCCTTGTTCCAGTCCCTGCAGACACGCCCCCAGGCCGAGGTCGACCAAATCCTCCAGCTCATCCGATCCTCCGAAGACCTGACCTCCATAACCAAGTCCCTAACATCTGGGACAGACCAGGACATGTCGAGTCCCGCGTTCTCGACCTGCATGGGCCCCGTCCAAGAAAGTCTACATACGCCCCCAGCTCCGATGTCGCCGCCAAATTCGACTTCAGATCACGTCCATACGCCTGGTTCGACGCCTAGCAACACATCCATGCATAACAGTTCCCACTTGGCCGGGCTGGGTCGTCGTCTGTCTATCGTGAAATCTACTGCCGCGCTTGTCCAGATGAGCCTGCCGGACGCGTTCGTAACCACCATGGTCGTCAACGCGTTTTTCAACTCGGCCTGCCAGCTGTTCCATGTCTTTACCCAGGATCAAGTACTCAGATTTCGAAACGAAGTATACAGCGACAAAGACTGTGCCAGTCGCGAGAAAAAAATTGCCGTGGCCTGCTTGGCGGCCACTGCTGCCGCCGGCGCTCAATATCTACACACGTCCCTGGACGAGGGAGTGCTGAGTTCGTTTTACGACCTATCCAGGCACCACCTCGAGCTGGTGATACAGGACAGACCGCTGGATGCCATCAAGGTGTGTAATCTGTTAGCCATGTATAACATCCTCGAAAAGGCTCCTGTGGCCCTGGTTTACGTCGGTGCGTCATCTTCCGAATCATCATCAGCCGCCTCCCTTGCGATAAATGCATGGTTTTGACAAGACATCTAGAAATGGGCCTCAGCATGTCAATGCGATATCACTTGTACGCCAAAAACCCCGTCGACCCTGCCATCTCGAGGGAGGAATGGATAGGATATCGGAGAGCGTGGCGAGCTCTCATGTTCTTGTCGAGGTAAGACCTTAGACCTCCGGCGTTGTTCCATTGTCAATCGTAACTGGATACAGCTAACCTTTTGCTCTTCCACGAAGCTGGCTCTCCTTTACCTTAGGTTTCGTCAACGCGAACGATGCCCTGTTTCAGCGAGTCCCGGTTGGTTTTTCCCCTTTCCATTTCTAGCAGAAAAAAAAGAAGAAAGAAGAAGAAGAAGAAAAGAAAAATCGAATCATCAACTAAGACTTCCTTCCCAAGCTGTCCGAAATGGAAATTGAAGACGAATCAGAGATTGCAAACGGTTAGTATAACTCTGACTAGGACTCTGTAACTTTTCCCTATTGGCCTTGGTCTTTTCCTTGTTCTGGTATCTAACCCCAATGAAAATACCAGTGGTGCAATCGGAGATGACCAAAATCTCCCTTCTCCAAGCAGATATTTTTCGGGTACACTTGGCGGCCAAGGAACTCGATGTTTTCACGATCGAGACAATCATGAAGCTCCTCCAAGACTGGTACAGCAACCTTCCACCGGAGATGTACCTGATCAACGTGGAGCAACAGGGACTCGCCGAACCGATCCGGGTGGCGATCTGCCACGCCCATCTACTCCACCTCGGCGCTATTATGCTCCTATATGGGAAAATGGCTGCACAATTCGTCCGCATGCATGGACTCACTGACAAGCAGAACATCATGTGGTCGCCCCTAGAGAAGGCCATGGCCGTTTATGCTGGCGAAGGCATGACTGCAGCCAGAACGTCCGTGAGGATTCTGAGGCTGCTGTACGAGAGTAACAGGATCTACAAGCGGTGTTGGCTCATCATGTCCGTCCCCTTCTTCTTTCTGTTACTGTTCGTGTATAGGGGTTGCGTCGAACTGACGTTGCCGACAGATGTCAAGCATACACGTCTTGCGTCGCGATCATGCAATCGGTTGCACAACAACAGCTCCACCACTTCCCTCAGAATGTATGGCGGGAGGATATGAAGCTGGCCGAGACGTGTCTTTCGATTATCGAATTCTGCGGAACCGTTGACATTGTGGCGTCGACATTCCACGAAATGCTGGCGCCACTATACGAGGAGATGGCCAGCCGTTTTCGGGGAGACAGATACACCCGTCTACCGCCAGTCATGCCTACTATCGGAGGCACTTACACCTATCTTCTCACCATACCTCAAGACGCCGACCATGATCGTCATGTCACATCAGTCACGCTGTTCGCCATGCTCTGCCGGCCGTTTGGGGATGACCTTGACAGGACAGAGTGCGAGAGACAGAGACAGAACGGGGTCAAAGTCGAGGCCAGAAGAAGCTTTCTCGAAAATGTGCCGCCCTGGTTGACCAAACAGTTTGGCGGTTGGTTTTCCGAGAACAAGATGCCCTTGGGTTGGGATTCGGACCGTCTCGTTGCTTCGGACTTTCCGCGAGACGGACGCGAGCGGGCGGCGGAATATGGGTCCTTGGAGGCCGACCCACGGTTCAGGGTCCTCATCACCAAACGGATGCGATCCGATGAGAAGATTGAATAATCTTGCATCGGACATGGCACTGGTATCAGGAAAAATTTGAAATAATTCGCCCATGAGTGGCGGGTAGAATGAATCCATCAGAGGTCTGAGTGATAAGGGGTAATTAATGCTCCGTACTACCATATAACCCCTGTTTAAACGTACAAAGTGGTACTTCGTGAACTACCCTTTTAGGAAGTTTAGAAAGGTTCGAGGTACGTACCTGCACTAGTAGTACTAAGTCCCCCTGTTTTAGTATATCTGAACCTCTGTATTTTGCATAGAAAGTTCCTACCTCGTAATATATCTAGTTGTACTCATTGTCGTGATACCATTAGTTTATTCAGGCCCCGTAAGTATACATTGTACGTTTTTTCAGGGGTTATATGGTATATTGTTCGGATGTGGCCGTACTGGTGGGTACACCTTTCTAGAGATGGTCGCCCCATCCAAACGAAGATCCACTCCCTGTCTTCCAAGTTCCACTCACCAAATGGCGCCGAATCACCCAGAAATAGGAGCCGTCCGCTCTTCGGTCTCCATCACAACATGTTTCCGAACTGGTGTAACGGTTAACATTTGTCGCTCTCAAGCTATGAGCTGTAGCGCCGACAGGCCCAGGGTTCGACTCCCTGGTTCGGAATATTTTTTATTCCTTTCTTCTTCATCTTTTCAGTATTGTCATTACCCCTTCATTATTACCTTTTGTTTCCTTCTCTTGTTTTGGTTCTTTTGTTTGCCCCCTGAGGTTCTAAGTGAAGTGTGTGTATGAGTCGAGAGTTAACTACTCTTAGGAAGTCCGGGAAAGTTAGAGCAAAATTGCGGCGGTGAACCTGAGCGTAACTTATTCTGGAGAATCTTTTACCTCGGAAGCTTTCGGCTTGAGCCTTGCGTTCACTATGATAAGTGTCAGAACTAGCAGCTGCTCAACTTGGCGTTCAGAGAACATCAAAATTCGACGCATCAGCCGACAAGTCTCCGTGTAGACTATAGGACTAAGAAGCACATCAACCAATGTTTAAAAGATCCTCGAAACTCGGAACTGCGCACTTCAACATTCATTGCCCAGTAATGTGTAATGTAACATGTCCCAAAGGAGAGAGAGGGGAGCCTCCAGTTGCTTGCATTAGATAAAATTTGAACTAGCAGAAGCCTCATAGTTCTACAAATATTCACTCATATCGCTCGCAACTCGTAAACTTATAGAATATGCACATCATGAATCAGGGGCAAGTATCTTAAGAGCATAATTGCACTACTTACATGTCCCTGTTAACTCTGGATACCAAGAGAGAAGAGTGAACACACGCACCTGGGGCTATTGGCAGGTCGTGCTGTATCTCCCTCGCTTGCATCGTATGAATGCACGAGACGGGCATGACAACTGCGCGTAATGACCGTCTAAGCTGGATCTGACATCATGCCCTTCGGCCTTTAATTGGAGTCTTGTATCCGCATTTCTACCTTAACGTTGCCTTCATACAGAAGTTCGAAAGAGCCCGCATTCACTCGGGATCCGCATCACACTCGACCGCGTAGTCAGCCCCTAAAGTTTAGTTTATAGAGAGGAACCAACAAGCGACAAGGCCTCACCTATGGGTACTATGCCATTCGGAGGTTTCATAATTTGTGTAGAAACAAAAGGGCATTTCTTGGTCGTCCCAAGTCGTGGCGGTTGACACGGTGGACTACCTACAATAAAGTCTAAGAGCCTAGTACGATTCTACGAAGTTGTTTCGACCTGAATAACGCTACCGAGGTGATCAAATTCGGGGAAAACTTGACTAATACTGCGTAGATTCCCATCCTTATTTGAACGGGCCTGTTCGAAAGCTACCAGTCGGACGCTCCTGATGAGGTGAATGCGACGACGTCATCCCCGTCAAACCTCCTCCGGCCTTACCGCGACATCGGTCGTTCACCCTGGACCCAACCAATAGGGCAGATCCAACACACAACGATTGGAGGCACCTGGGACCGTTGATCCCGTATTCGCCGGTGTTGGTGGGGCTTCGAATGCAGCAGCGAGTTGGCACCACGGGTAAAGCGACAGGACTGGTTGAGTTGACTCATCCAGGACTCGAGTCTCGGAAAAAACCAGAGGGCGAATACTACCTACTTACCTTGGGTATCATCTTACGGGGATAAGGAATACCTGCACGACATGTACCTTCGGAGCCAAGCCTATAGCTTACGGCCACTTACGGCCACCATGACTCGGCCCTGTTAAGTGGGGTGGGAACGTAGCTAAGAAGTTTCATCTAGCAAGTCTCGCCGTCGTCACCCATCGTCAGAATGCTTCTGGGTGGGATCTCCTTCGTACCTAGTAAGCGGTCATAAATCGACGCGGTCACTTGTATTCTGTCGCTATAAGAAAGGAGCTTCATCCGTAAGTTAAATGTGCTGGCTGGTATCTTACCATCGTTAAATTGAAACCCCCCTTTTCTCGCCCTTGCCCCATATTGCTGCCATCATGAACGTCACAATTCACCTCGTCCGCCACGCGCAAGGCTTCCACAACCTCTCATATGAAAACGAATCCATCCCCGACCCTCTCCTCACCGATTTCGGCAAGAAACAATGCGCCAACGTCCGCAACAACTTCCATAGCCATGAGAAGCTCACCTGCCTCGTCTCCTCACCCATGCGCCGGACCATCTATACCGGTCTCTATTCTTTCGGACCCTATGATCCCGCGTCTGCCATGCCGGTAGAGGACGATAAGGGCGACGGCCTGCTCCCCGTCATCGCGATCCCGGAACTGCAGGAAGTCTCGGATTCCCCCTGCGACACGGGCAGCGCGGTCCCCGTCCTAGCCAAAGAATTCGGGTCTCGGGTCGATTTCTCGCGTGTCCCCGACGGTTGGACGGACAAGGTCTCGTCCGAATCGCCCTGGGAGCCCAGGGTCGGGAAGCTAGAGGCCCGAGCGAGGACCGCTCGCCTATTCCTTCGCGAGCTGGCGGCCAAGAGTGGGAAAGAGGAAGTCCACATCGCTGCTGTTACCCACGGCGGCTTCTTGCACTTCTTGACGGATGATTGGCATGGAATCGAGCCTAATCGAGGTATGAACAACTACATGGCCGCCTCCCTTCCCCCCTTCTTCTGCCTCGTCGACGGTCGTTCAGGTTTTCTGTCGAGACGTATCCAGCGTTGGGTCTTTGGAAAGAACGGCAAAACGTGTCCTTTCTCCTTACCACGGTGTCCGGGGTCCCTGCATTGCCCTCCCTTCGAAAGTGACCAGCACAAGGAGCATGGAGCGATCGGGAGAAGCTGAGTTGTGAGGAAGGACTGTTCATGCTGACTGATATTGATAGCAACGGGGTGGGAAAACTGCGAATACCGCTCCTATCGCTTTGTGGACCCTTCGGGGCAAGATCCTGGAGCTCTGCTCCAGGAGACAGAGGAGAGCTGGAAGGCACGTCTCGGCGACAAGAGACGTCTCGGCGAGGAAGAGCAGGCAGAGCTGCGCCGCATGCACCAGCGTGAGCTGGCTAGATGAACATAGGCGCACCATCTCCAACGCTAAGTGAAATCAGATGAAGTACGAGGCTGGCGCGAGGTTGGGCCAGTTTGGTGATAGACGAATCTTTGGATTTGGGTTTGCGTAGAAGACAGGGACATAATCATGGATTGTGCATAGAATTTCAACAAATAGACAAAGAACGTAAAGACGGGGGCCTCGATTTGATAGACAGAAGCCCCAGATGAATGTAATAGAAGATGGTGTTTTGAGACCTGTTTTGAGACCTGTTTTGAGAGCCTGTTTTCTGAGCGTTTTTTAGAGCAAGAACACGTCCATCAGAAAAAACAACGCCACAGTACGGGCCCAGTCTGAGATGCACACCTCGATGACTCAAAATTTTATATGCGAGTCTTGTCTATCCGCATTACACATCATGGTATCGATTCCCACTTCCTCCTCGGAAGGACCTCCCGTGTTCAGAAATCATCCTCACCGGACCCGGAGATAATCACGTTGTTCACCTTCAGCACCATCCGGCAAAGCTGCGTCGCCAATTGCAACTGCTGCTTCTTGCCAATCAGTGGATCGATCACAAAGGCCTCCTTCATGTCGTTGCTGCCAGCACCCATGCAGTCTACTCCCAACCTGCCCCGTGTTTCGGGCGACTTGGCCTGTTGGCTCTTCACCTCGGCCAGCGTCGAAATGGGATTCAGGCCAGAGTTCTCTGCTAGTGCCATGGGAATCGCGTCCAGAGCTTCGGCAAAGGCCCGCATCGCGTACTGTTCTAGGCCAGGCGTCTTCCTGGCTTCATCCTCAACGGCCATGGAGCAGGCGATCTCGGCGGCGCCGCCTCCATAGACCACGCGGTTATCTCGGACCAAGTTTCTCACGACGCAGAGGGCGTCATGTAGTGATCGCTTCGCTTCGTCGATGATCTGCGCACAATTTTCATTAGCAGCGGGGCCTCTTTGTCAATCGTTGGACTGTTACCATACCATCTTGTTGCTGCCCCTGATGAAGACAGTGACCGCCCGGGTGTTGGCGCACTCTTCAATGACTAGCATCTTCTCCCTCGTCGTACCAAACGACATCTCCCTGACGATGCCAGCAGTTCCCAGCTTCTCGGGTGTCAAGTCCTCGAATCGAGGCACTATCCGGCCGTTGGTTGCGATGGCCACCAGCTCGATCTCAGGTCCACCCACCCACCGCACGGCGGGGAGATTGTTCTGGAGCAGCAGGTGATTCGCCTCGTCATCGAAGCCCCACTGGCAGAGGGCCATATTGGCTCCCGTATCCTTGATCTGCTGGATCATCTCGACGAACTTGTCATGTTCGTAGGTCTGCAGTTTCTTAAACTCCTCCACCGACGTGATGTCAAGCTTATGTTTGGTCTTGGGCTTGGGCGGCTCGAACGCGCAGGTGAGGATGGCAATCTTGGCGTCCCGCACCTCCGACGGCATTTGGGGGTGGGAGAAGTCCTTGTCGATGATGACGCCCTTGACCAAAACCGTGTCCTCGAGAGATCCGCCGACCTTGCCGTCCACCTTGATGAGCTCGAAGTCGACGTCTTTCCTCTCCAGATCTGCCACAGACAGGACAGCATCCACTGCGATATTAGCGAACTGGTCGTGCGACTTGGACACGATTTTGCTACCCAAGCTCGTCCGAGCCACTTTGAAGAGGTTATTCTTGTCTTCTTTGCTGAACTCGATCACATCTGAGATCCTATCCAGCTCTGCTACTGCGATGTCGCAAGCCTGGTCAAATCCGTCCGCAATGCGGATGGGATGAATGCCCTTGTCGATCAGCTCGGCTGCCTGCTCCAGCAGTGCGCCAGCCAGGACTACCACGCCGGTTGTGCCGTCGCCAATTTCATCGTCTTGGGACTTGGAAAGCTCGACTAGTAGTTTGGCAACATGGTTGGAAATCTCCATTTGCTGCAGAATCGTGGCACCATCGTTGGTGATTGTGATGTCGCCATCGGGAGAGATGAGAATCTTGTCGAGTCCACGTGGACCTAGAGACGTCTTTACTATATTCGCAACCGTTCGGGCAGCAAGGATGTGGTTCTTGACAGCTTCGTTGCCATGCTGGCGCTTCTTCTTGCCCTGGCTGTTCAGGAGGGTTAGCTGTCCGCTTGTGTGGGAAAATACTGAAATGTTCGGATGGAAGCATACTCTCTGACGATGATGAACGGCCGGCCTTGCTCATCTTTCATCACCGTTGCTGTGCAATGCCTTTGTCAGTATCTAAAATCTGCCGAGGTGCCTTGTCGCCTGCATACCGTTGGAAACATCGAGATCTGCTCATTCTGTTAGTGGAAGGACTCCTCTGAATGCTGGCCATGGACTTACTTAACGCCATCTTGGAAGTTAACTGTATTCGACAGGCTCAGCTGATGATATAACTGAGAGACCTGGAGAACACGATGGTGGTTACGATATATCAGCTCCGAAATGTCCCTGTAGTTGGCTTGCCCAAAATTTGTGCATACCCCTTGGTACCTGCCTACAATAGCACAGTCAGCACCTGCAAACAAAGATTGGAGCTTGACAAGTTTCGGTGGGCCGGCCCCTCAATATTCCGAAACTACTCACCGCCTGCCCTTCCAGAACTACCCCGCCATCAACTGAGATAAGGCAATTACGCAGTACAACTGAAAGATACCTGACGATACACGGTATTACGGCCCAGTACGGAGTACCTACACCACTCACGTAGCAACGTCGGGTATCCACCACAGTCATCCCCCCGCCGAATTGCCAACTCTAATCGTGAAGCTTCCAACTTCTGAACGTGCAACCTGAACGAACCCGATCTTGGATTTTCCTTCCTCGCTCTTCATTACTTCAACATAAATTGCTCAACGAAGCTCACCGGGTATAGGGCTATTAACCCATCCTCTCTACCGGGCCCAAACCTTCAGTCTGCCGCTTTTTCGCCCGGAAGCACGCATAGTGTCGGTCCTCTTACTTTCGCCCTCCGTGTATGCGACCAGCCCTAGCAGCTGTAACCAGTCCTCGGATTATCATTCAAAAACTCCCAACTATTTTGCCTATTAACGGTCACCTATATTCGGCGGATATTTGGCGGGTATAACTGAGAATGTCTCGTCACCAGGCGGTGCGTAACTTGGATTACGAGGATGTCCTCGACGAGTACGATGCAAATGACGCAGACATCGACGATGAGGGCGATCAGCTCACCGCCGAGGACCGAGAGGCTTTGTCAAAAGGCACAACAGACGTTCAAGATGCCCTAGGCGAGGATGCGCGGAAGGTTTCCACAGAACAAATTGAGGAGGCCCTGTGGCACTATTATTACGATGTCGATAAGACTGTCGGCTACTTGCGGAAAACAATCATCGCACCACCCCCGAAGACCGAGCTCAAGAAGCCCAAAGAGAGTAAGTCACTTTCAGTTTGCTCGGTTGATAATTTATCGTCGGCCCAGGGCAAGGAGAGAGCACATGTTGAGCGTTTGGCAGACGGGAAGGTGCACGGTACCGACAGTTCCAATTTGTCCAGATTCCCGGCTACCTCAGTTCTGGCAGAAGTCCTACCCCCTTCCTGGTATTTTCGGGATGTGCAATGGTCAAACATTCCCAAGCACCGGGAGGCCACCTTCATTCCTCCTGTCCCTCTTCTTCGAGGGGGTTTACTGGGAGGCAGTGATCGTCCCAAGGTGTCTAAGCTCCAGGCACTTGCCGCCGCACGAAAGAAGAAGAGCGAGGCCAATAAGAATCCGGAAGAGCTGGACGAGCGAGCACAAGCACAGAAGAGGCTCTCGACCCTCACCATAAGCGATGAGTCCGTGCCCGAGAACTCCGCAGGCCCAGACACTGTCCCCAAAAGACAGAAGACGTTGGCAGGATCCTCAACCCCCAAGAACCTGTCGATGTCTTTTGTGCAGAGGAAAAAGGAACGGACCAGAGAAGTCGCCTCGGGACTTGAACAGACAATACAGGACTCCACATCAGTGGATACGGGCCAACCTCGAGACGACAAACATCACGCTCCCGAAACGCCCGAGGAGGAGAGTGTGGTGGCCCGCCCCCTTCAGCCATCTGCCTTCGCTCAAGTGCTCTGTGGTCTATCTGCTAGCCCTCCACCCGCGCCGGCTCATACCTATGAGATTCCTTACACTTCATCGTCTTTCTTCAATCCCGCGGTGTTTGATCAGCCCAGCCCAGACGACATTGTGCTCGCAGCGCAGGCCAAAGGTTCGCGATTTGCGAAGAGCCAATAGAGAGCTAACTCTGATTTCCTCGATAGCTTCCAACAGATTTGATGCAGCAGCAGCGAAAAGTGCCGCTATAGCCAAAATGTCAACCAAGACCTCCCCAAAGCAAAGGCCTAATGGGACTGCTCCTGCAGAGAAAATCAACGCCCTCTCGCTTGATGAGCCGCCTCCAGCCAAGAGCAAGAAAATAGACGTCATCCATGAGTTCACGAAAGGCCAAAATAAGCGCAGCGCCAGCTTTGTGGTTGTTGGTAAGCCCCATTGCCAGTCCTCCCCTTAGGCCACGACCCCACAGCTAAACGTCACAGGCCATGTCGATGCTGGGAAGAGCACGCTTATGGGCAGGCTTCTGCTGGAGTTGAAGTTTGTCGAACAGCACCTCGTCGACAGGTATCAACGCCAAGCGGACAAGATTGGCAAGGGATCGTTCGCACTTGCCTGGGTCATGGACCAGCGAGACGAAGAGCGTGAGCGTGGAGTCACCATCGACATCGCCACGAATCAATTCGAGACAGATAAGACTCGATTTACCATTCTAGATGCCCCTGGACACCGGGACTTCGTCCCTAATATGATTGCCGGCGCAAGTCAGGCAGACTTTGCCGTGCTGGTCATTGACGCCAATACCGGGGCCTTTGAGAAAGGTCTAAAGGGCCAAACGCGGGAACATGCACTGCTCCTTAGAAGTTTAGGGGTGCAGCGCGTTATTGTGGCGGTGAATAAGCTGGATATGGTTGGCTGGTCGCAGGACCGGTTCAACGAGATATCCGAACAAGTAACTGGCTTCATGAAGGGCAACGGATTTCAACTCAAGAACGTCACGTTCATCCCTATCTCTGGCCTTAGCGGCGAAAACCTTGTTCGGAAACCCGAAAATCCAGCACTTTCATGGTACACGGGCACTACATTGCTTCAGGCACTAGAAGAGTCGGAGCCATTGACCCGGGCCCTCCAGAGGCCATTCAGGATGTCGATATCTGAAATCTTCAGGTCTCAACACAGCCAAATGACGGTTTCAGGTCGCATCGAATCGGGAACTGTCCAAACAGGCGAGACCCTTGTGGTCCAGCCGAGTGGTGAGTCGGCTCATGTCAGATGCATCGAGGTCGACGCGGATTTGCAGGACTGGGCTGTTGCCGGACAAAATGTCTCGATCGGCCTTTATGGAATTGACCCCATCCATATTCGAGTTGGCGACATCATCAGCAGTAAAACAGAGCCTATACACACGAACGACGAGCTTGTCATGAAGGTGTTTGCGTTTGATCATCTGATGCCCATGCCGGTGGATGTCCATCGTGGTCGTCTACATGCTGCAGGACGCATTCAAGAGATCCGCGCGGTGTTGAACAAGACGACAGGAGCTGTGGAGAAGAAAAAGCCCAGGCTCGTTCAACCGGGGAAGGTGGCACGTGTGGTAGTCAAGCTAGAGTCCAAGGTGCCCCTCGAGGCGGGGCAAAGGGTTGTGCTTCGCATGGGCGGCGAAACTATCGCCGCGGGCTTGATAGAGTAGTATATGGTGTGTGGCAGAAGCTTCTGGCAGCATGAATGCATATGTCCATTGGAGCATGAAAATACTAAATCACAACCATGACTCACAGCTGTGCCTTATAACACCCATGACGTCCTAATAGAATTGATGCACGATTCATGAAATGTGTCCGGGGAGGGCGAAGCGGGTACGTGGATCGCCTTCGCCTTTCCCCTCGCATTCGCGCTTGCCATCATGTCGGTTTGGGAAGGCTGTAAGGATACCTTAGTAACTGTTGAACGGGGCCGCGTCCTCGTGACTGCTGCCCATGATGTTGATAATCAGAATCAGGAGGAGTTTGGTGGTCTACCAAAGGTAGGTACCTTAATGCGTCTCCTTCTACGGAGTACCTTGAGGTAGATACCTTAGAGTAGCCAGCAAATCGCAATTCTGCTACGTGTTCATTATACTTCGCACCACACGCGGCCGAGTCTGTCATAAGTCAGATATTTCGAGACATTGGAGGGGTTATTTCGAACCAAAATTGGCCAAAATCGGAGACAGATGCCGGAGTCGAAAAGGACACTTTCCTGAAGAGGGAAGCGTGGAAGTCTCTGGAATACGGCATTCCACGACTCCATGCCCACCATGCATTGTACGGAGTATACGGTACCTACCTATGTAGAATAAGGTAGGTACCTACCTACCTAGGGAAAGAGCCAAGATTGTGGCTCCCATGACAGTATGCTGTGAAGTATTACAGACTGTGCTGGTACCTCTTGTACCTAATCTCATGGCTAGTTTACTAAGTCTTCTATACAGTGTACAAAGCTATACATGCACACATGATGGCAACTTGGGGAAAGAACAGGTCTTGGCCGCATGTGGCGCAAAGCCAAGGTGAGATCTGGCCTTTTTGTGCAGTGGACAGCTTGACATTTTGGCGTTTTATTGGCAAGAAGCTATTCTTAAAGCCTCCTACTCTTTCTCCCCCCCAACTTCTTCCACTTTCAACCTCTTAACTCTCTTCCCCCATACCACACAATCCCATAGCTGGAGGAGATCGTTGCCTCGCAGTGCGAACACGTTCCCTTCTTCTTTTATTTTTGCACTTTCTTCAGCACCACCGTTTATTGTGTTCTGGCGCGCGCAAATACGAGAGAAGAGATACCCCTCCGACCAACCTCACATCATCGCCATGGCGAAATCAAGGAGCTCAATGGCCTTGGGCTTCGGCCTCTTGGCCTGGATCTGTCTCCTTTTCTCTCCCCTCGCCTTTGTTCAGACTGCCCAGGCACAGGATGCCGACTACGGCACTGTCATTGGTATTGTACGTTCTTCCCATCTTCCCTCTGACAGAAGCCACCTGTCACCCTTGTTGACCGTGGAACGGTTGACTGGTGTGCCATTGGGGGGCAAGACTTCTATCTTTTGCTCCTCATAAAACCGTCTGCGATATCTAATCATTGGTTATACAGGATCTGGGTACCACCTACTCGTGTGTCGGCGCCATGATCAAGGGCAAGGTCGAGATCTTTGTCAACGACCAGGGTTCGTACTTGCCAATTCGGTCTTTCTAACACTTGGATCATGAAATCGTGTGCTAACATGGAGCCTGAACAGGTAACCGTATCACACCGTCCTATGTCGCCTTTACTGAGGATGAGCGTCTGGTCGGTGACGCCGCAAAGAACCAGGCTGCGGCGAACCCTTACAACACCATCTTCGATATCAAGTATGCATACACTCGTTTCTCTTCTTCCTGGCCCCGACAACTGCTAACAACTACAGGCGTCTGATTGGTCGCAAGTTCTCCGAGGCGGATGTCCAATCCGACATTAAGCACTTCCCCTTCAAGGTCATCTCTCGGGAAGACCGGCCGGTGGTTCAGGTTCAGACCGGTAACGAGGAGAAGACTCTCACTCCCGAGGAGGTTTCGGCCATGATCCTCGGCAAGATGAAGGAGGTTGCCGAGGCTTATCTGGGCAAGAAGATTACCCACGCCGTCGTTACCGTCCCCGCCTACTTCAACGACAACCAGCGCCAGGCCACCAAGGACGCCGGCATTATTGCAGGTCTCAATGTCCTCCGCATTGTTAACGAGCCCACAGCCGCCGCCATTGCCTACGGTCTTGACAAGACCGATGGTGAGCGTCAGATCATCGTCTACGACCTTGGTGGTGGTACCTTCGATGTCTCGCTGCTCTCCATAGACGACGGCGTCTTCGAGGTTCTCGCCACGGCTGGTGACACCCACCTGGGTGGTGAAGATTTCGATCAGCGTATCATCAACCACTTCGCCAAGGCGTACAACAAGAAGAACAACGTCGATGTCACCAAGGACGCTAAGGCCATGGGCAAGCTGAAGCGTGAGGCCGAGAAGGCCAAGCGGACGCTCTCTTCCCAGATGTCTGCTCGTATTGAGATTGAGGCCTTCCACCAGGGCAACGACTTCTCCGAGACTCTGACCCGCGCCAAGTTCGAGGAACTCAACATGGACCTCTTCAAGCGGACCCTGAAGCCCGTTGAGCAGGTTCTTAAGGACGCCAAGGTGTCCAAGAGCGAGGTGGACGATATTGTCCTCGTCGGTGGTTCTACCCGCATCCCCAAGGTCGTCTCCCTCATTGAGGAGTTTTTCGGCGGCAAGAAGGCCTCCAAGGGCATCAACCCCGATGAGGCCGTTGCCTTCGGCGCCGCTGTTCAGGGCGGTGTTCTATCCGGCGAGGAGGCCGCCTCTGAGATTGTCCTCATGGACGTCAACCCGCTTACCCTCGGTATCGAAACCACTGGTGGTATCATGACGAAGCTGATCCCCCGGAACACCCCTATCCCTACTCGCAAGTCCCAGATCTTCTCGACCGCCGTCGACAACCAGCCGGTCGTTTTGATCCAGGTCTTCGAGGGTGAGCGTCCTATGACTAAGGACAACAACATCCTCGGCAAGTTTGAGCTCACCGGCATTCCTCCTGCACCCCGTGGCGTTCCCCAGATCGAGGTTTCCTTCGAGCTCGATGCCAACGGTATCCTCAAGGTCTCCGCTCACGACAAGGCCACCGGCAAGGGCGAGAGCATTACTATCACGAATGACAAGGGCCGCCTTACCCAGGAGGAGATCGACCGCATGGTCGCCGAGGCGGAGATGTACGCTGAGGAGGACAAGGCCACCCGTGAGCGTGTTGAGGCTCGTAACAACCTCGAGAACTACGCTTTCAGCCTGAAGAACCAGGTCAACGATGAGGAGGGCATGGGTGGCAAGATTGACGAAGAGGACAAGGAAGCTGTAAGTTTTCTTTTTCCGAACCTAACATGCCCGACCCACAGTGCAGTGCTAACAAGCGGAAAACAGCTCCTCGAGGCTATCAAGGAGGCCACCGACTGGCTTGAGGAGAACGGCGCCGAGGCGACCGCGGAGGACTTCGAGGAGCAGAAGGAGAAGCTCTCGAACGTCGCGTACCCCATCACCTCCAAGTTGTACCAGGGCGCTGGTGGCGCGGGCGGTGACGATGAGCCCAATGTTCACGATGAACTGTAATCGGGCAGATGGGTCGTTGTGCAGTTGATACAGGCAGGCGTCGGAGAAGGAAAAAAAAACCATTCAAGTACCATAATGAAGTGGCCTACTCTCTGCGGGAGGCTTCACCTACATCGTGTACTCCTACCTATTCCCGGGATTCTGGGCGATTTGTTTCGTTGGCGCAGGGAGCATGAAAGAGGGATGTCCCATGGACCACCCCTCCCATACATATATGTAAAGTACGTCGAACATGAATGAATGCTCACTTGCCAAAGCCATCCAATGACAACGACCGTGACTGGTGATTGGAGACCATGTAAGTAAAGGGTCCAGGCGTGTTCCATACGTAGAGAAGTTCCGGAGGCTTCAGCTACGCTGAACAGGTGAGGCAGGTTAGCAGGACGTGGCACCGGGGCGTTTTCACCTTCCAAAGTTGGTGAGCGCCTCGTAGGCATGGGTATCAAGTCACTCTATCAGACGTGACCGTATCCATGCATTGAAGGCAGCGCAACATGCCAATCTAAGGTTCGTATACCCAATGATGCATCACGGTCTTCTGAAACCCCATGAAGACCCAAACAGGAATGTTGGCAGATTCATGACATGTGATATTGATTAATGGTCCTGCCTATCTTCCCCATCGTCTTAAATCTCCCTGCTATCTCAACCATCTCAAGACGAGAAGGATACCCTTCGAGATATATCTCGAGAGATATATCTCGAAGTATGAGCGAGACAACTATATAAAGAGCTGAGGATGGAAGCAAGAAGAAGGAAAAAGATAAGAACAATGGAAAAAGAAGGGCATAAATCTTGTTCCCGTCACCAGCGGGGTTCGCTCTCCAGGGCTGGCGTCGTGACAGCATTCTTATCCGCAAAGGGGTTATCATCGTCATCATCAACTTCCTCCTCCGAGTCCGACACGGGAGGATGTGCCGAGGCGGTTGAGGGACCGGCGGCACGGGTGGGTGAAGCGGGCGAGAAGGGCTTTGATGTGTCGGACGGGCGAGGGGGCGGGGCTGGTCTGGGAGGGCTAGAACTGCCGATGTTTAAAACGGACACGTCTAGGGGGGATTGCGAAGCGGCTCTCTGATGTTTTTCCGTCATTACTAGAGAGACCGTCAGCCAAAGCGGGACATGTGCTGTAGTAATGCAGGGTTGATGCATGCAGCTTCTTCCTCAACATGGACTCAGGGCGAAGGAGACAAGGGGGCAATCAAGGTAATGCATACATCTATACAGGTGAGCTTGCTCCGCCAGCTCGTCGTCGGAGTCACTGTCGGCATCGATGGAGCGATCCAGCTGCTCGAAAGTCATGAGGGCGAGGACGAGACCGTCGTTGGCGTTAAGAAGGCTGCCCAGCCATTGTTCGTCTTCGACGTGGTGTATCTAACCGTATGGGTAAGCTGGCTGAAGATATAGAACTGGCAAATGAGCGGCAGTCTTCGCTCCGGGGAAGCGACTCACGTAACGCAGAATCTTTCTCCTCAGCCCCTTGCACTCTTCAAAGCGCTGGACAGCTTGTTGATTTTCCGAGATGCGCTCCTTCTCGCGGTTGATGCTTTGTAGCGTGTTGTTGAGGTTCGTGGTGGCGATGGAGCACTCCGCAATGTCGCTCTTCATTTGCTCCTTTTCGGCCTCCAGATTAAAAGGCTTGCGCTTTCTTTTCTTCTTGTCTTTGCTCTTTTCCTTGCTCTTATCCTTGGAAGATGAGCCGAAGAAGGAGCCACCAGATGCTGACGATGATCTCGCATGTTGGTTGTGGGCATAAGCGTTAGCGGCGCCTACCATCCAGGCATGGGGCGACCTGGACGGCTCCTTGGCAGTCTGAGATGCCTGAGATGCCGGGGTCTGCTTGCCATCTTCTTCTTCGTCGTCCCCAAAGGGATTTTCAGACTCGCGGACGGCACGAGACCTTTCCTGAGTGACGACCTGCTTGCGTTTTGGCAATTCCTACAGCAACTTCTATCAGCACACCGAGCCGAACTGCAAAGAATGTCCCAGAGCCATGCGACCGAGTCTTACAGCTTGAAGTCTCGAGATGCGATCTAGGCCCGGCGTTTTCTTGTACTGGGCCCAGCTGATGAATAGTTCACGGCATTTCTTCCTCACGGCCGGGTCAGATAGGTTTGAAGTGCCGCAGACGCGGAGGCGTTCCAGCAAAGGCTCGTCGGCAAAGGTGCGCTGGAATCTGGGACCGGCATTGGAGATGAGGCCGTCGAGGAGGGTGAGGGCTCGAAGCTGACGATGGACGTTGCCGTACTTGAGTTTCTTGCGTATGGCGCGAGCGGCTTCTGCGGGCCCTGTTGCCTGGAGCTTGATGACCTCGACGAGCTCGATGATACCGCTCAGGTCGTCCTCCTCGTAGGCTTCACTGGTAAGGTTCTCGATCGAGGTAGTGACGGCCGAATAAGGCTTCTTCTTCACGGGTTCTCAGCTTCATGTCGTTCGCGATAAGCGCCGGGCATGCGCTATCTGCGTCTCAGGCGTTGAGTCCGACAAACCTGTGAGAACATGGACATTCTGGAAGATCAGATGCCGACACTGGTTGGTGGATAGGCCTGTGGTGTATGTATGGTCGAGCTACGGCAAGTTCCGGTACTATGTCGGGTTTGAATACGAGCTTATCCAAGGTGAGTCTGACAGTGTAGACATGAGACAAGACTCAAGCTCGTAAGGCAGATGCAGAGGTGAAGTTCACGGCCGAGAATACCATCAAATGGCAAGTGGCTTGACGATCTGCCCTGACATGGAGGGGACGACGGCAGGGCAGGGACCGAGAGGAGAGGCATCTGATTACAGCTCAAAGATTGGTGGAACCAAGAATGGGGGGATCTCGTTAACAGCCTCAGGGCGGGGTAGGACGGTGGCTTGGCCTCGAGAAGGAAGAGAGAAACTCCGCTGTGAATGACGTCACGGTTGTGGCTAGATAAAGCGGGGGAGGTGTTCATACTGAATACCTTACCTTAGGGTAGTAGGTACCTTAGTACGGTGCTAATTACCTGCTTCCACTACCATCGTTCCTTCCTCAGACTTGACTTCGTGGTATTAACAGGTACGGACGTCTTTGTTCTCATCGAGTCATAATACCTGGTGATCTATAAGGTAGAGGTACCTTTGCTTATTGGAAGGAATCGCCGGCCATGTCACATTTGCGTGCTTGTCAGAAGCTTCATCTTTCGATGAAACACGGAGTCGACCCGTGTATTTATCTCGGGGTTGTTCGTTGAATCCCCTGTCAACGAGCGCACCGCTCTTCCTTTCCTTCCACCGTTCTGGTGGCGCAAATTATCAGAATGAACATGTAAGTATCTGTTGCCTTCGGAAATCGATACATCAAGCATCTTCAAAGCTCTCATGCATTCATTGTGTCTAGGTTTCGATGTGATCTCCCGACATCCGAATATGTGCGCGGCCTCTGAGTTTGCCCCTAATGTCCGGGGCGTGAAGCGGACCGGGACAATAACCAACCAAGCAAAGCGACGCCGAGCGGACCACCCCGATGCCCCGGATTTCATTCTTTACAACCCTTGTAGCGAGACCTCAGAAGGCAAGAATCGTCTTGGTCTTCCTTGCTCTACATCTTTGATATTGTCTCAAGACCTCGGTTCCTCATCCGACCCAGAGCAAAATTACGATTTCGTGTTCGCCGACATGGAGGACTGGTGGCCCAACACCCCATTAGGAACTCTTGCCACAGATGGGACCAGCCTCGAAAATGTCTTGCCTACTGGCGTGACCCCATGCGCCCGAGAGACTTTGCCTTGTGCATTAGGCTCAGCTGGTTTTGAACACAGTTGGGACAGACCCTCTGTCAATCTATCACCACAGAAAAGAGAGACATCCGCACGTTCGTCGCCGCCCTCTGATGCAGCAGTCCCGTCACAGCAATATGAGGTCGGGAGCTCGCAGACAATGACACCGAAATCTCCTGTAGACGAATACGCCATGGGGAGTGACGAGGAAGAGGAGATGGCCAACCTCGCTCCCGGCATCGCTGATATTTGCACAGAAGCGCCCCCACTGAGCGTAGCCCTGGACATGGATGAGGAATCAGACTACGATGCATTATTTGACCATACGCATCAATATGCGTCATTAAAAACGGACAGCACCATTCATAGCCAGCATAAGCACATTGACCTTCTCGACGAGGATATTGACTGGACCGACGTATCACGGGTCACAGAGTGCGAGGCTCCGGATGGAAGCGTGCCATCTGCATCGTAACATATTCCTACTATTATTAATGATCCGAAGTGTAGGTGTCCCGGGTGTTGACTTTATGGAGTATGTTTCTGAAGCTCCCCAGTCTATTTATCAACCGCACTTTCCACCCGCAGCGTACCAACCGTTGTTATTCAAATCGATTTCAATCAAGGGGCTTCTCGCTTTGGTTGAGAAAAGGGCAGAGGATACGACTGTACGCCATGTTTGAGCTATTTGCACGCGTCATCTGCGCAAGCCGGGAGACTTTTACCAAGCAGCATTTTCAATCCAAAGATCTTTGCAGGGGAACACCAGCTGCTTTGACAGGCATTTTCCGAGGCTAGAAGAGTGGAAGTCACATTGACATTAAAGCGCAGTAATTCGCCGGGAAGCTGGATCTGCCCCTGTCCGACAGAGTGCCTGCTGTTGTATGTTATGTGATAGAGAATTGATCCAGAAACGCGGGCTGCATCCCAACTATCAGGAAGCCGCGCCATCTCGTGTTGACAGTTGGACATGGGCATGCTACTAGATAGGATTGCCTTGCTTCTATGCCGCCCTACCAGCACAACCACGGCATGATACTTGAATTTAATATCCGTCAAGGTCTCGAACTTCTAGAAGAGCCGTCAAGAGACAGAACATCCTGCTTTCGCCGGACCGGGGAAAGCACTCAGCCTTTCCTTTTTTTGTCACTTTCTTTTTATTACCCAACGTGGGTGCCCTGGCTGGACGTTCTCGATGGATTGGAGCCACTCCGGTATTCCATATGAACCTCTTCAAAGTTTCGTACTGTACAACACCCCAACATCATCACAGGTTAGCGTGTCGACAAACCGAGAATCGGCACCGTCCGTACAATAGGGGAAGCGCCTTTCTCTCTAATCAGTGGCCTCTCAAAGTTAGAAAAGACAAATCGGCCTCTTTCTGAGGATCTGTCAAGATACTTGATCCTTGGGTCTGGTACAACATGATCATAGCGAAAGTTACCAGACCCAAAGGACTGCCTGGAGTCATAGAGAAGAGAGCTCAGTGGGTATTGCATCGGCGGTATCTCAAGCTTTGTCTCAGGTTCTCTCGAGAGGAGCATCTAGACACCACACCGAGGTTTGGCTTTGGATGTTGGCGATAGATCCAGGATGTGCGGACCCACTGTGGCTGTGTTAATGGCTCGCCACAATATGTGTTGATCGGGTGGCTCAACAAAGGATACCTATCCGTAATTCTGGGCTAATTTTAGATGGCTCTGTATCTACGAAGTAAGGTAATTAATTACTTCATGTCCGCCGTCATATTTCTCGCGCAGCTCCGCGTTCTTGTCCGATTGCACCATCCCACCCTCCATCACCACCCTCACCGCCCAAACTTGCATATCCTCCTTGGTCACCAGGGCGCCGACTGATGAGTTGGCATGTCCCTGAGCCAGGCTAGGCCGCATTTGTTACGGGCAACCATCCAAAACCATCCAAAGGCTCATCTATGACCTTTAGCTGCTGCCAGGCATCAACTCTCCATTTCACCGACTCCAAGATGACGGGAGCAGGCTGAGGCTGACCTGGTGATCTGCTGGGTTACACTTTTTTGCACCTGCCTGCCGGCCTGCTCTGCCTGCCTATTTTCGTCTACGGTTGGAGAGAAATTACCCCGCGACACGGGGATTTCTTCGACAACCGCGAGGATCAGATGTCATAACTAGGCCCTAGCTTCGACGGCGTGTTTGGTCCCTTGACGAGGCTTTGCTTGGGCCACTCGGCTATGTCGAGGCTTTGCATAGAACTCACCAGAAACGGTCTCGGAACGTTCCTCGGCGGTGAAGTCGTGACGGGAAAGGTGGGAACAAAGCTACTAAACCCCGTCGCCCTACCGTTTCACTGACGATCTGGCCGGCAATGATGCTTCTAAAAAGCAAAGTCGTCGATTCGTCGGTCGGCCGGGGTCAGTCTTATGGCGTACTTCGGGCACGTACCGTTTTACCGGCACCTTCCCCGGCAGATGCGTGTCTTGGTTTCCACATGACATATATAGCCTTGCTCCGATCACTGGGCGTTACGAGGCGGTCAGCGCCTGCTCCTGTGGCATGTTTCGGGTAGCCAACTGCACGAAGTATCATATCCCATCGGGGGACCGATGTAGCGGGAGCTGTGTGACGTCCTGTCGTGTCTCCAAGGGACGGACACTAGCCGCCCTACCGGCCCCGGGGGGTTTTCTCTTCTTTTCCCCTCCAGTTTTTGCTTGCTTGCGCTTTCTTGTCCCCCCCCCATTCAGATCCCATTATCTCTCTCTCGCCTGATCATGCGATGATTTAGTGGTAGTGCCGGAGGACAACTCTTGCCTGAGGAGCTAGCCGTTTCACCCTTCTTTTATCTTTCTGCTTGTTTGGTCCGCCATGTCTCGTCCGCTGGCTGCGCGCAAAGATGCATCCCGTGTGCATCGTGCCAGCCCAGTGACCCGGCGGTCACTCGAGGTCCTGCATGCCCGCGTCCACGCCATGCATTATGCCACCATGACTAGCCTCTGTGTGCATGATCCCATCGGTGTGGTTAACATGGATCCCCTCGTTCATGAGGTGTACAAACGTCGAGCATCAAGATACATCGAGGAATGGAAAGAGTACATCCACGGCTTGTATCTTTCTTTGCCTCTTTCCCATTCCTCCGTTCTACCAGGAATCACGCGAGGCGGTGGCGTCTGGCCAGCTCAGCGAGCGAGCTGGCATTCCCACAACGACATAGGTTGGGCATCGACTTGACCGCCTATGATGCGGATAGTTGGGTTCCCCGTAAGGAATGGAGAGCCCTGATACTAAGGGAACATGGAATCACAAGGTCATCGTGAATATCGTGTGGGCTGGAAGTTTCTGAGCCAACTGAGCGATGCGCTGCTAACTGTGACTGTCGAGCCGTGCCGCTGTTCACTCAGATGACTCACACAGAAACTCGATATCTCCTGTCGGTAACGAGACGTCTTATCATCAAGGCCAAGGGCAATTGTCGTCGAAACCGAATTTGGGGTCTGGATCCTCTTTGCACCAGTTAGCGGTCATGAGGTGTGACTCTGCTATCGTGTTCGAGTTTAGTAGAATCTTAATCGCCCATATGAGCCAATGTCGACTGTGATGATGGGAAAAGCCAGTGTCCGTACGGTAAGGTATTTCGATATTAGTTGGTTTGTAGGCGCAACGGAATATTATAGTGTGGTACTGTAGGTCCAATGGTCCCGTCCCCGCCTAGACCCTCTGACTCATCCGCGGTCATGTCACGCCGTGAGTCTCCCAACCTTCCAACGGCTGGGTTTGACGCTGGAAATCGCCACACGAAGTGGCTTGGCGAGGCGCAGAGAACCACTCAGACCACTCAGAGAACTCCATCGACTTCTCGTCTTCCTTTCCGCTCTTTCCGCTACACTCCATTCCACTTTCTATTTCATCGATCATCGTCTCATCTTGCCAGACATATCCCTCACCTTTATATATTGTCTAATGTAGGTAGGTAGCTGGCTCATCATAGAGACTTCTTATCATTACCGCGTCACTTTCGTCAGGCATACATTCATCCACAAGTGCACTCACTGTAGCCATCGTCTCGGCTCTTGCTGCCATCTTGTTCTGCGTTCGCAGAGTCTCATTCGTATTTGGTTTGAAACGTTCAGCTCAGCTAAAAAAAAATTGTTGTACATTTTCATTCCTAATCATTAGCCATTTCGTCATGGTCTCTCTTCAACAGCACGGTGGCGTCAGCCGTCAACAGGCGGTCAGCCAACCCTCTTCTCAACGAGTCGTTCCCAAGCCTGTCCCTGAGGCGCAGTCGAAAGACCCCAGAGGATACCAGCTCGAGCAGCTACGGCGCAGATATTTGTGTCAAGAAACGACACTCAAAGACGGCGCAACTTCTCTGGCATTCAGGCTTAAGCCATCAGATCCAGATTTCCCCTTCGACCTGGACCTTCTTGAGTGTGAGCTTCGAGTTCCCGAGCATTACCCGGAAGAGCCACCAACACTACGTGTGAGGAACAAGGACATTCCGAGGGGCTTCGCCATCAACGTGGAAAAGGGCTGGGAGAAGCTTGTCCGTGAGAAACCGGGGGCCACTCTCCTCGCCCTGACCCACGCTCTAGATCGAAATCTCGAGGTCTTCTTATCCGAACAGAAAGCCGAGACCATCAAACTTGTGGCCTTCAAGGACACCAGGCACCATGACGCCGTCGAACACTCGGTTTCACAAGCAGCGGCAATGAAGCAGGCTTCCCCGTCCGCTCTCAGTAGCGTGCAGCCGCCATCAAAACCTCAACGGTACCTGGAGCCATCATACTCGCAGGAGCAGATTGCCGAGGCCAAAGCCAGGCGTGCCCAGGAAACACGTCAGATCGAGACCCGCATGGGTCGCCTTTCGTTATATCGCCGCTCTGCCGATGGAATTGTCTACACGTTGCCCGTAGAACCGAGACGGCGGTTTGAGCTCCCAGCGGGCTTGCAGGGTGTGAAAACGATGCACTTCATTGTGCCGCTGCTTTATCCTCTACAACCCCTGAGGATCCAACTCAACGAGGTGGAGTCTCTCGACGCGGAACCCTTGGAAGAACTATTTGTGCAGAAGGCCATTGAACAGAAGCAGATGACCCTCATGAGCCACGTCAACTACTTTGCCCAGAATATGCATGTTCTGGCCAAGCAAGCCCAGGCGCAGCCGAAGCAACCTGAGGAGCCCCGGGAACCCGGACCAAAGTCCAAACCCGCAGCACCTAGCGTGCCGCAAAAGGCCGTTGTGAGCGACGGCTTGGACGACGAGCGAAGCCATATAAAGGTTATTCCTCGTCCTCCCGAGTGGGCTCGCCGAGCTGGTGACCCGGAAGACGAAGAAGACTCCTCGGACTACAGTTACGACTCGAGCTCAGACGATGGTTCTGATACAGACGGCGCTCCGTTGACGGCTGATCCAGGCGACTCAGTGCTGCCTTCTGGCTCTACCCGTGAACGCGGGATAGCTCTGTCCTTCCCAGGCATCGAGCTCCATGCTATCGAACTCTTGCGAGTCTCCATCCTCAGCATCAGCGTGAAATGTGAGCGTTGCAAGACGGTCAACGAAATCACCGGCCTGAAGGATGAGACCGAGAAAATGGCCTCCTGCCGAAAATGTGCCGCCGGATTCGCCGCCCGGTTCCGGTCAGAACTCGTCCATCAGAACTCGGCCCGCGCCGGATTCCTTGATCTTGCGGGCGCCACAGTGGCCGATATGCTACCGAGCACCTTCGTTCCCGTCTGCGCCAAGTGTTCCACACCGTCTCCCGGACTCGTCTCGGTCCGCGGTGAGAGCACCACGAATGTGTGCCGCGACTGCCACGGGAAATTCAACTTCAAAATCCCCGACGTCCGCTTCCTCCCGTACGCACCGGGGACTCTGACCGCCCCGGCGTCCGGGAACCCCGGGAAACAGGACAAGCTAGGGCTCCGCACGGGCGAACCGCTGCCCTCTCGTGGAGCCTGCGGCCACTACCGTAAGAGCTTCCGCTGGTTCCGCTTCAGTTGCTGCAACAGAGTGTACCCCTGCGACCGCTGCCACGACGAGGCGGAGGAGCATCTGAACGAATGGGCGAGTCGGATGGTCTGTGGCTGGTGCAGTCGCGAGCAGCGGTACGCTGTGGATTCATGCGGTTTCTGCGGGCGGAGTGTCATTGGCAGGAGAGGCAAGGGTTTTTGGGAAGGGGGCAAGGGGACCAGAGACAGGAGGTTGATGAATCGGAAGGACAAGAGGAAGCACAAGCGTGTTGGGCCAGGAGAGGCGGCGAGGAAAGACTGACCTCTTTTATTGCTACTTGATGCCTGACCTTCTTTGGACCATACCCTCATTCCGTTTGACATGGATCGACCTGTCGTCGTCAATGGATAGTCCATCGCCATGGCTACACCGAATACACGAAAAGTCGAGGTACTGTGCTCGTCCTTCTCTTGTCTCACCGCGACTCTGCTGCTCGCTCGCTCCCAGGGTGTAGAGTCGTCATATGTACTTCGTAATTCGCTCATTCCCCGGGTGAACACATGGAGTATCGTCCGCCCTATCATGGCTGCAGTACAAAAAGCACACATGTGAGATATCAGCATTGTCATTGGGCAATATCACCACTCGGGCAACCCATTCCTCTCGTTCTTTCTTTGCATCGATTCTGTTATGTTACCGAACAGTCATACGTCTGCCGTCCAGGAACCCATATCCAGCCTCCTCCAATGTCCGGACACGCAACTCAACCCTTCTGGGCTAGTCTGGAACGTTTCCCACGTCGGTAAGAGCATGCTATAGACTTTTGGTCAGTGTTCAGTATCCGTGCATTTACTTACATCAACCACCATACCAAGATTCGTCGCTTCGGCCGGGGGCAGTGGGAAATGTCACCAGTCAGTGCTTCCATATCCGCACGCCTCTACCCTAGGGGTTATTCCATCAGTGACCAGTGGCATGGATGGTTAGTAGGTCAAGGAATACCTGTGCCTTGTGGTCCGTTTTGGCCTTTTGTAAACCCCTGCAACATCTCAACAACGCCCTGCTGATGCCCTGTTGCCTTCTCTTATGGTGGAAACCCAGTCCGGCGGACTGGGTTTTCGACGACCGAGCGTGGAAGAATCTAGTGAAGCCATGAAGCCAAAGATGGGCTGAATGAAAGCCGTCTATTCGCCGCCTTGATACGACGGTTCCATGACTCGGAAGTGGCCCTGTCACTCCGTAATACCGACTTCGTATGAAGATGACAGGCAGGTATCAGATGCGCATGAAAGCAACGGCCTAGTGACCACTCTGCTCATTTCTTCCACTCAATACTTCCTTGGATATACTTAGGTCGGAGAGGAGGTTCTGTCCGTGAGCATCGCGCCATGTTCGTAGTCCAAAAGAGGAAATGTATGTATCCTGGGGCCCGGAGCTTCCCGGGATGCCCTAAAGACTTTCCCTTTCTTGCGACGCCAGACGAGACCGAGGACTGGTAGCTGGGTAGGCCGGTTGCTGGCGGCTCTGAGTCCTGCTTCCCCGGTACGCCTCATCCTTTTCCTTGGGACACTGAGTCCAAGGGGGAGGCCTCGTAAGGCGCGGTGAATATCTCAAACGGGCAAAGTGGGCACGGTTGAATGCATATATACGCCGGCTATAGGGGTCGAAATACGGAGTGCGGAGTACATATATACGAAGTAATATAGGCATAGAAGACCTCGGCTTGCTTCTATCGTCAAACTAATTTCCTTGGAACAACCTGCTGCTGTGACGCAATGTATTTCATCGAATCACCGTCTGTCATTCTCTCGCAGCTCTAGGCACTATGCGTAGGTTGTAGGTTGTAATACCGTCATCCTTCTCATCAAAAAGCCGGGGGGTTCCAAGGTGAAAGTTGGCCGAAACGAGCACAGAGCTTCTCAAGATCAGGTTCTTCTATTTCTCTCCGACCACGCCTCCCAGGATAGGTTTATCGCAATTCTAAATCAGAGCGCACATACGCTGTGTTCCCTGCTAAACATCGCATCATCAGGCCGCAGGATTGTTCGTGAAGGGCATCCATCTATCTGTATCTTCATTAATTCCTCTGATGCCTGTCGTGCTTTACAATCGCGATCGATCCAGAATCCGGGGAAGAAACGGCAAGACCCGCTGGTATCCAGTAGTAATTAGTATACAACCGGGCTAAGCTCAGGAAGCAATAGTAATACAATCAACATATGTGCATAGACAGCTATGAGCCAATATGGCCAAAGGCTCCTCGACTTGAGAGCGCGCTGTTGCTTTTCCAAAAGGTTTCTATACCAACGAATGAAAAGCGCTGTTAACGGGCAAATGAGATACCGGTAAAACCCCAAGGTTGACATGCTTTCGTGCGCATTGCGGTCGTCGAAGAAGAACATCAAGGAGATGGCCAATGCAAAGTGGAGAGCTTGGACCCTATGTCTCATTACCAAAGTATGTATAAAGTACATACGAATACCTCGCGGAGAAGAGACAATGCCCATTGTCTTTCTCTCCATTGTTTACTTTACGGAAGAGAGAAAACGGAGTCATTCACCGCCGCGCCGCCGTCATCTGCCCCGTGTCCCGATAGCCCCGATAGTTAATCAGCTGACCCGCTCGGACTGGCCGACGGTCGGGCGGGGTTGGGACAAGACGTTTGGAGATTGGCATGCGCCCATTGGTTCGAGACCTTCGCTTTAAACGATGCCATGTGATTTTTGTTACATACACCCGAGTCAGGGGGTCCGACCTCAGTACTCCACAATCAACCGCCCCCCTTATTCATTTACCCAAGACTGCCGGCATCATCCCCGCTTCTTGGATCTGCCCAGCACTGCGGAGACCTTCCGGATTCAGAACTGGTCTGGAACATGTGGAAGCGATGAGAACCATGGTAATGGGACAAGGGAAGAAGCCCAGGGCCTGCCATAATTAGTTCCTGGGATGTGCTTCCAGTTTTCACCGGGCAATGATGTACATGGACGTACACCGCGGACGTCGTATGTATGTAAGGTAGTATTTGGATGGGATTGCATGATAGAGACGCTACCGAGGATGATTGCAAGACAATGCCGGGAGGAAAAAGAAAGGGAAAAGGGAAATCTAATGCCCTCAGATTTGCGGGGCTTTTCTCGAGGCTGACAAAACCGACAGGGCATAACTTAGCCAGGCCTCGTCCTCTTCTAGAGTAACGACACTGAGCAGAGAGAATAAGTGCCATCCGGTCTATGTATATCGTGTACATTGTATGAGCTCCTTGGACAATGAAACAGGAACGATGAAGAAGAGGCGGGTGTTTTATTAGGTCTGTTGCTAGCTAGGGTAAAGGTTGAATGAAGGACTTTAGCCGATACTAAGTGTACTGAATGCGGAAAGGATGGATGAAAAAGGATAAGCCGATGAACAGAAACGGAAAAGATGATGAATAAGCCTGGTGGACGTCCCACAATACCGTCTTCCACCGTTTTGCCTCGACTTCAGACATTGGTCTTAACGCCAAGAGTTTGATACTCTTGGGCAGAGGAGTGTGGCAGTTGATACTCCCCAGCCAGGACCCAGTTGGGATAAGGGTGACCCAGCTCGTGTCTCGAAATGGCTCATTTTAGATGCCATACGTCGGTGCAGAGACGGCGTGTTGCATGTTCAGCGTGGGGAAGCGCAAGGAGTTGCAGGGAACGAGCCGTAATTATGGCGGCCCTACCCATGGTCGGACCCCGTCAGGCACCTACATACGAATACATGAATGAGGCGGCTGGGAGAAGAAGACTTTCAGTGAGACGGTGAGTGATCTGTCTGTAATTATTCTGTGTCCCCCGTTGGACGCTACTCGGCACTCGTTCTGACTGACGACTGGCAATGCGATGCTTCCTGTCAGCCTGCCCCTGAAGAACCCCTTTTTTTACGACTTCTCATCCGAGAGATGTGCATCATCATATTGACCACACTATGAAGATGTAGACCGAACTGAAATCTGAAAAAAAAAACAGGTGGATAAACATGCACCAAACAGCCACCCTCGTAACGTGATCGAAGTCGAAACGGATTGACTGCTGAGGTGACCAAACGAATTGTTTCGTCATAGTCACGCCTACCGAGTGGAGCAGAACGACGTGGACTACTCAACTACTCAGTAGGAGTCGAGGGTCTAAATTCTCGACTCGTCAACGAGGGGAGTATGCTGTACTGAAGAAGTTCGACTCGCAGCTCTTCAGGCATGTATGCCAGACTGGGGTCGATTTTCACCGTCGCAGCAGCGAGACTGCCGACATGTGCCAAAAAAAGAAAAAAACCCCGTTTCAGCCGCTCAACCTCCCAGTGGGCTAGACCACGTGCAAGAGCCGCAGGAAGTAACGAGTCTATGTTACCAAATTGAGGGTCGAGGAAAAGTCAAACAATCGGTGCCTCGAGTACCGGGAATGCAGGGACATGCTATAATTTGCGGACGTCCCCTTACACAAATCATTAAAAGGAACAGACATTCTACACGTGTACTTCGACTCCGTATGGAGCGGTTCATTAAGATAACCCCGAGTTTCGTCTCCTCCCATGGCCTAGTGTAGACTGCGGAGTGAGTAAAAGTACGTTGTAGTGCAGAGACTTTAGATGCCCCTTGGTGATCTCCGGAAGTAATTAATAAGTATCGGAGTATTTGTACCCTGTAGAACGTTTCCAGAACCTTTGAAACGGGAGCAGGAGGGCGAAAATGGATGCGGATTGGTGCAGAGAGTTCCACTAAGTGGAGAATGTTACTTGTCACTGGTTTGGGCTAATAAAACCACGAGGAAGCTATTGCGGGGTTGGCTCTATCCTGTTGGTTGCATACTCCGTATGTAGAGCCGTAAACATGACATAAAAACGCGTCCTTCCCTGTAATAAGTATTCTGCCCTGTTAACTCGACTTATACCAGTGAAAGTCCCTGCATAATTACATTCTATTTGAAGGACCTTGGAACTGGGAACGTGTTGACGTAGCCAAACTGCGTAATTAACCGCGTCCGACTGGTCTGCTTTGTTAAGTACATAAAGAATCACTTATGTAGGCGACGGCCCAAATTCGGGGAAATGGGTATAGCCACGAAGTACCGTGGCCGGTGTATCTTCAAAGTACAAGAGCCTCCATGAAAACATATTGTCAGCCCTTACGTCCGGGCGGGCGAATAACTTCAAGCGGGGTGGGCGTAGTCGGTCGTTGATCTTAACGAAGACCCTTGATGCTTGCTCCGATACCTACATTAACATGATTAAGATCAAATCTCGCGGCATGAAAGGGCCGATGTTGGGTGCCCGACTCTGGATGCCCAAGAGCCCACAGGCTTGTGTCCTACGACTACTTCGAGCTTTCTATCCGGTCTCTCCGGTGATAAGGGATCCCGCCAAGACTACGGAACAAACTTGGAATCAAATTCGAGGCTAGAACTGCTCGAGACGCGATTGATACACTCAAGGGACTCGAAGCCCATAAGAACACGGATTCCAAGTCTCCCTAACCTGCAAGTACAAAATACTTCAGATTGATGGGTGGGGTGATTACGGAGTGGGTAGAAAGATCGGTTTCGAGGTGGAAACCTGACATTTTCGTATCTGTGCTTTCGAGGACCTTGATAACTACCTAACACGTGTGTGTGCAGGCCTACACTCATCATGATCAAGGAAACATGGAAGACTGTACACTCCAGCCAGTGTCACCGTCCTGTCCGTCTTGTCGGGTCTGGGTGGTGGATAAGAAGTAAAACGACATAAACGCTCCAATGACAGAATTGCCATAGTAAGATAGGTACATAAGCATGGAATCAGATCTTATTTCGCAGTACACCCTCGAGGTACCCGATAGCCACTAAGCGAGATCACTGGATGATAACTAGGTGTGGACGACCTGCCAGTGCGAGCTATCAAACGGTGGACGAAATGGGCAGTTTGGCGTTTGCGAACGCCTTAAAATCGCCATTAGGGTATGCTTAAAAACAAACCGTAGTAAAAGTGGCTATTTGGCATATATTCTTTAGTGCTACTGTAAGAAGGCAAACTCGAGCCGCCAGACCGGCCGGATGCTATGATCGTCCAGTTTCGTGGCGGGGACAAGTTGGCGGATAAAGAAAATACCGGAAGAAGGGCGGGAAGAACGTTGTGACGTTCGGTGTGGTGTTTAGCCTGAATGTTGGATCGAGATGTACACGTGTACTCCGTACCCCACACAGGACGCAGGTCGCTGACCATTTTGTAATTAAGCCATCGGAGAGTTCGTCCACACTTATTCACAGCTCGAATACCTTGCCTGTAGTGATACGAGACGTAAAGATGAAATCACACTGAGACAGTTACTCGATGATTTTGGCCGAACCCCGGATTATGGAACACATGGAGTGTCCAAGGCCAGTAATTACATGATGTAGGTAATGATCCTAAAGATCGGGGAGCCGCCGGGGAAGATAGTAGGGCCCCCCGCGGGTGGCACACACAACAACTGCCAGACTATTTGCCTACGAAGTGTGGAGGACTGCTCAGCACTATACCATGCCGATGCCTGGACCACTGGTCTGTCCTGCCAAGATGAGCTCCGAATTGCGGGCTCCGGAACATTTTCACGCAGAACAAAGGCCTACGGAGTACAGCTTGAAGATTCATCATCCAGGACATATCAGGACATATCTTTAGCCGCCGGGGATAGACCTGAACGGCTCGTTCTCGTTATCTCCGTACGCGTCGGTCAACACATTTTTTCAACCCCCACCAATGGCACCCAATGGCGCCTTTTCGTGTCCACACCGACGGTGAGATGGAGAAGGTTCACGGTCAGTGTTAAGGACGACAATACGTATTCGTAGTTGACCGAGATCCCCCCCATATTGATGAGGTAAAGTAATTAATTACGCAGTGGGCACAGAGGGTATGTACTCAGGTACGACGATGTGGGGAAGGATTCGAATCTTGCGTTATGACAAGCTCCTCGTTTCGTCTTCTTCTCCAACCAACCCAGACCAGCGAGTTAGCAGATCAGTAATGTCCATGGGCCGTCCGCCCCCAATACCAAGCATCGCCAGGTCTGTCTACCTATGGGAGGATCTCGATAGATCAGAAGACATGCTGGACGATGCGTACAACGTATGTAAACACCTTGATTTGGCATGGGGCACCGTGATGGGAGGGAGGGTATGCGCTGTCAAGCTCTCAGCAACCCATCACCCTCCATCTCGAACGCAGTGTCCATCTCGACTGCCCACCCACAAAATAGGAACAGAAGAAAAAAAAAGGCAAAAAAGCACAAGTAAACAAAACGAAAGTCTTGCCGATCCCTATCGACCGGCTGCAGACTGGCGGGCACGTGGGTGGCCATTCCAAGTCCAAGAATTCCGAAAGCACGTCATTCGTTCGTTATAGGCATCCCGCAGGTCGGCAGTCAAAGATCGCATCTGATCCGCCCAGGGCACTTCTTGTGGAATGCAAGATTGAATAGGTATGTAATGGGTGTGATGTCATGCGAAGAGGGGTGAAGAATCCGGGGATGTCTACAATAGGTAGGTATGTACCCATAATCAACCACTGTATGTCTCTTTTGGGGTGACTTGATCGTAAATTCGCCATACCGTGATTCGGATGGCTTCGGGGGGAGCTTAATGACGCGCTACTTAACGAATAAGGTGTCAGAATTGGAGAGGTGGTCGTCTCGGCGCACACCACCAGCAGCCCTACAGTCGCTGTTCCAGGCGACCTGCGATACCTGATGCGTATCAGCGTGGCACCTTGCGTTCGCGTGACAGACAGATCGGGAAATGCCATCGTCTCTCTTCCTCGACGATCCCTACGCATTGAGTTACACGTAGTTGTGGCATTAATGGCAAGAGTCCTTTCGTCCGTCCTAACCAGAGCTGTCTCTACCCTTCACCCGATATATGTGTGTGTGTGTTGGGGGGGAGAGAAAGCGTGTATGTGGATACGCCGGCCGGCATCCCAACTCATCTCGATTCAAAACAGTCTTACCGTTTCGTTTTCGCGACGCGACAAGCACAAAGGTTGTCATTTTCTCGGTCCTCAAACATTCGTCCCGTTCACGCCCCCCTCCAGCACAAGCTGGCACCGGACGGGCCAAATGGGGTCACTTACACCGGCCAAGAACCCCTCAACACCTGCCCTCCTCACGAAATATGCCTTATCCTTGTACACACTCCTCCTCATCCAGCAGTAACATTCAAGTCGAGACCGATGACTTTCTCGACTCAAGTTTCTCCGTGCCCAATAATTCCCGATTTCCTCTGCCTTGATCAAACAGCGCCGAGGCTCGGGTAGCGCACCGCACTAATTACTGAGTAGTAACTGTGTGTGCGTTATTAGTGATGTCCCTTCGACCAACCTCGGCCCTCCGGGAACAGGGTAATTCCCACCAGGCTGGACCACGAGAAGAAGAATCGCGTCCTGCTCGGTATTTTCACACCGACACGTCCCCACCAACCTCTTCTTTATCACCCTGAGCCTGAGCTTGTCTCCTCTCATCCGTCTTATTGTGGCTTTCTTAGGCACATATCAGACTTCTCGGCATCGAAAACACTGTAGCAAACAGACTGATAATTACAAGATGATGCGAAGAACGTCATTTTCCTGACCCCTGTCGGTTCTCTGTCTTGGGCAGTTGCCTCGAGCAGGTTCGAGCGAGGTTATTCGAGGTACCGGACCTCTCTTTCTAATGTCGCGCCATTATTCGTCAGGACTAGAAATGTTTGTACACGTACATAGCTCAACAAAATGGGATTGCGCCCCTCATTTTCTTCTTTCTGTTCCAAGTGTCGGGCCGTTTCTTAACATGCGTAGTACATAATGGTCAAGTAAAGTGCCGGGCTGCAGGGCACATGGAAGAGAAGACCAGAGATGGCGTCTATTCCGATCCTGATCTGATGTCATACCAAAGGACGTGATGATTTTCATCTTCCATCCCTCCTCCTATCCAGATCTGGCTTCACCGCCCTTGTGACCTTCTGTTGCTCACCGTGTTGGTCGTCCTCGTACTTGAACGTGTCAACGGTCTACAGGGACACAAATGCCCAACGTGGGCTGAGCCACTGTCGCATACAACGTACCGGCACCCCTCCGTGTTGGCCCGAGAGCTAAGGGTTAGCCAACAACACAAACAGCCGTGCAATATTTATCCTGAAGCACCCGACCGCTTGGGTAAGCGAGACTCTATCAGGTGTGGTGCCTCAATGCTGTAATTTCCAATGTCACGGGTTCTACAAAAGTCAAAGTACGAAAAGTAAGTACTTCGTAGATCAAATAGATCAATCAGCACAGGCAACATGGAACTGCAAAGTGACCCAGACTCTCAGCACAAGCAATTACTGTTGCGATCGAGTGAACAAGTCAAGTGAACAAGATAAAGTAGCTTAAACGACGTTTTGTTTCTTTTTTTTTTGGCCCATGCTGCACTACTGCTGCTTTTGCTCTTCTCCTCCATATCGTCCTCGTCACCCAATGCGGCCAGCAGGGATTGTTCTTTTCTTTTTCCTGTTCTTTGACCATCCCCTAGCTTCCTGCGGCTTTTTGTTCGCTGGTGCGAGACGCCCTCCGGGAATGCCCCGCTACTAGGTTTCCCACCTCCTCTTCCCACAGTAAATGGTCCTTTCCGTAATCCGACAAAAACATTCATTTTCCCCCGCCCGGCCCCGCCCATGCGGTCAGCAGGCATCAGATAGCTCCTCCATTCCGCTTTCTTCAAGTCATATGCGGTGAGGTTGCCCTCGGGTATGAATCGTCTCGAGCCCTCCGAAATAGAAGTACACACTGTCATAGAAGAAAAACAATCCCAATGAAGTCCCTGGGTTGATCTCCTGAACTGAAACGTCGCTAGCAAGACGAGAAAAGAAAGACAAAAACTCCAAAAAAAGCAAGATCAAAAGTCGCTGGTATCATGCAACGAGAAACGCCCCCGTGCAAATGTCAAGGTAATTGGTGGTCGAAACCGCGCCGGTAACTTTTGTAATGCCTGTCATCGTAGGGCAGTGATGCCCGGAGAGTCGTGTAGCCAACCATGCCAATGGTCAGGTATTAAGTAGTAAGGTAGAAAATAAGAGTACCCTGGCTCGAAATGGATCCCGCTTCGCAATGCAATGCGCTCAAAAGCATCGTAGTGTAACACTGTACACGGCAGGTCCAAGGCCCGCCAATTACGTCTGTTCGCCCCCGTGCAGCGCCGTTTCCAATGGGCATGGTGTGTAGAAGCTCGTCTACCAGCCCTTGGAGTGATAACCGCCGAAGGTCTCCTTCTGGAAGTACAGATTGGAGCCGGCATCCTCGTCCTTATTCATATAGGCCTTCTCGGGGTACTGCTTGAGATTGGCCACATCATGCGAGGTATGCCTGCGCTTGAGAACGGCATTGGCCGTGGACGATTTTTGTTGACGTTCCCAGAGTAAGTTGCGGCGCAGCGATTCGGTGAGTTCGGTTGACAGCATGTTCCGACGAGTGGTCCGAGGCGACAGGGCCGCCTGCATGTGGGTGCGACCGGCTGATGCCAAGATGGGCTGTGCCGTGGACCGAGGAATTTCAACAATCGGCTTCAGCGGTGACTGCCGCACTCCGCGCTTCATCATTAGTGGGGCCTCGTCAGAATCGTTAGGTGAGGCAGCCAGGCTGGGACCCTGGGGGAAGCGTGCGTGGGGGATAGCCGAAGTCGATTGCGAGGCGGCATTGCCGAGCATCGCAGCTCGCTCGTTGTGTGCGAGCATCAGCGTGATGAGAGACCGTCGTGAGGTGAGGTTGACTCTCGAGTCGACGCGCCGGAACATCGTCTTCTCGTCGATACTCGACCTGCCGCTGTCCTCGATGGAGTCCTCCCAGTCGGATGAGTCGTCGTCGTCGTCGATTGCGCTCTCATCTACGTAGTCCGTTTCCGAGTCGTCGGCGATGGCAGCGTCGTTGTCGATGGTACGGGTCGTCACATGGTTACTGAACGACGCCTGCTTCTTCTGGGCCGAAAGCAGGCTGTTGGGCTTGGGTGATGCAAGGGCGCTCTTGATTGAGCTATCTTCTTCAGATGACCCACCAAAATGGAACATCTTGCGCTTTGGCTGCAGAGCAGGCAGGTGCTGTGTGACCTGAGGGCTTTGGTCCAGCTCGCTGGATGAGCATGAGCCGCCCATGACGAACATGGGCTGCTTCTTCGGCATGATCGTCTTGGGGGCCGGCTCGGAAGTCGGGTCGGGTAGAGGTGCAGGAACAGTGCGGGGCGAATCGGTAACGGTACGCGGAATGGGGATGTAAGATGGTGAGAAGCCGCGAACCACGGTAGTAGCCCGCGTGTTGAGTTCCGGTGATGATGGCTGCTGAGAAGGCTCCTCCTCGTCTATAGACGACCCGCTGGACGACTCGGTGGTAGTGGAGCCCGAGCGTCCGAGACTTGTCTTTGAGCAAGGCATCTGCTTGACGGCCTGTGTGCAAGGTGCCACAACTTCAGGCAATGGGGCGGAAAGAGGTTCCTTTTCCTTGATGATGGAGACGACGAGCTTCTCGAAGTCATCCGCCGTGATGTGGCGTTCACGGCCACGGCTGCGGTGACTAGCACCAGAGTCCTGCCGCCGTATCCTAGGGCGAACAATGTCGGCTGCGGATTCGTCGGAAGCGAAGTCGGGAGTCTCGTCATCGGCGATGGAGTCGAGGCTACCGGATAATTGAGGCAAGTCGGCAAGGTGGCTGTCTTGTGGGATTTGCTGGGGTAGGCTGGTCGCTGCAGATGATGTCTTGGAGTTGTCTGTTGCACAGCAAAATGTTTCTCGGTTCCAGAGACGCCAGCTGATATTCTCTAACCTCCGACCTTGCTCAAGCGATTCTGCGCACCGAGCAAAGACTGAATTCGAGGTGTCAAGTGGTAAGCCCCTGTGCGAGAATAAGCGGGAAGCAGGAGTTCGACTTACCCGTCCACATGCCATAGAGATTTTGGGGATTAGAGGTATCAACCTTGTGAAGAAGGTTGGTGTCCACTGTGAGGACGTGAGCATCGAGTGGAAAAGGCATGGTTGCCTCAGTAGAGCTGCTCGTTTTGTTGAGCAAGAGGCGGCGTGTAAAATCGTGGGAAAGTCGTATGCCGGAATGGAGTAGTCGACAGAGGGTGAGCTCCGTAAGTGAAAGTTTCTAGTTTGTATCCCTTTGATACAACAACGCCGAGAGCGCTACAGGAGAGGTCGAGAGAATGTGCAAAGACGAGGCGTTGTTTTAGGCGTCGCGGATAGTGCGTGAAATCGTGTGGGTGAAGATGAGGAATGATTACGGCGTGCGTATGCCCGTGATAGATGCCGAAATCTCAGCTGTTTAGGAGACGGATGAAGGTACTTTTTCACTTGCGTGGAGTCTGCCGGGTTGAGGTGTGTGGTCGAAATATCGTGGTGGGAAAGAGGAAGAGTGGGTGTGCGTGTGTGGGACATTGGGGAGGGTGTCAGTTATCTAGCATCGTCACTCCAGGGTAGACGGACCTGGGTGGGGAGCGGTGACTGACATGGGGCTTGTGGGAAAAGGAAAACAGGGCCGACTGGTACCTAGGGTCGGTACCCGGTGGGATGTGCCCAAGTACCCTAGTACCTCATCTAAGTACCGCCGGGGGTGGCGGCCAGGCCAGGGAGTCGCGACCAGGGGGGTGGGGAAGGAGAGCATGATTCGTAGTGGAGGGGGTGGCGGATTCCAGATTCCAGGGGTTCAGGAAGAAGTACCGGTCAACCGATGATGACTGGGGACCCCTGTCACATCCCTGGTTGTGACTTTCTCTACCTTCGGCGATGGTCGGCATGAAGGCACGGGGTTCTCCTCGGGAACGTAGTTGTACGAAGTAACTTATCCAGAGTGAGCGACTTCCAAAGTCAGTCGCTTCCCCAAAACGGAATTTCACCCTCCGTCACAAGATACCCAGTACCCGTTACGGACGAGTTTTTAACGTTACTGTCAATATTCCAAACTTAGCCTTTTATAGCACCATATTCTACATAACCTTGCTAACTGCTTTTCGGGAGCGGTCTGGGTTCCCCGGTATTGAGACTAACTAAGCCTTCGGAACTGTACCTGTCACATGACGGACGCCGCCCTCTTAATTACCACCGCCACCGTTTTATGCTGACCTTCGTCGCTCGCAGCGCTTCCGTTCACATTGAGTTAAAAAGTCGCTCACGTGTCGGTACCAAGTTTTAAATCTCCCACGGATACCTAAGGTAGGTACCGTTGTACAAATTACATTTCCTACCATGTAAGGTACGGATCAACACTTCGCTTCGTAGGTAATACCTGGTTGAGCCGTTGCCTACCTTAAGTTGGGGAGGTATTCATACGGAAACTGAAGTAGCTTTTCCCCTCTTTCCGTCATCTGGATCGTTAGCCTCGTATTGAGCATTAGTTTTCCCGACGTCCTTCGTCCTTTTCCTACTGTACAGTCACGAGGGGCCCAAGCCAACGACCTAGCTAAGGCTTCACAAGGCGGAACGCAGGGTCCCCTCCAAATTCAGCACCTTCGTCCCAATTGCCCGCGGCTTCATTTACCAATCCCTCGTGAACGTGGGACGAGTCTCCGACGTCCCTTCGGAGAAGTCTGGGACCATAAGGGTTAACACCGAATTGAATCACCAATCGCAACTCGTAGGAATTGCGACCAATGAATACGCCCAAGCCACCACCATTTGTCTCCAGGCAGTGGCTGTCGTGTTAACCCAGGCCATCATCCATGTCAGCCATCCAGGCGCTCTGGCTTGTTGATTGGGCTTCCCCTTAGGGCTCCATGGCTCGAATGTGATCATCGACCGACCAATACAATTGAATTGGCGATGAGAGCAACAATCGAAACCCGTCACGTTCGTGGATATTCGCCTTGCACTTTTCAGTCGTCACCCCAATGTTTAACGCCAGGATACGCCGTGTCAGTATAACCACACGTTGATGACGGACTCGGCGGTCTCCCTGGCAAGCCGCGTTTGTCCTCGTGATCCTTTTGGTACCTTGCTGTTTAATGCGTTGTCCGGTCGGCAATGTCATTCGACTCTCACCACCGTCATGTTATCTCGAATCATGCTCCTTATCCACGAATTATTGGCAAAGTACTAATGATCGTCTTATGGCCTTTTCTTTTCCACATAGCCTTACTTTGCCGCTGTCTATTCGCCCTCAGCGACGAATAGGACACTTGCTTGCCAGTCGCCCCATTCATTGTTCTCCCTATTTTCCACGGCTGGGGATGGTCGCGGGGGTGTCACGGGGCCGACAAGGAAACCCAGAATCTGGCGGTTCATTTGAATTCCAGGCAGACAAATGCCTCGCCACTATTGCCCCTATGTGTTGTCCCTTTTTTTTCTTCTTTTTTTTCGCTCACGAGACGACCTTTCCCCGCGCCAACTCACAGGGTCTGCGACATTTTAGGCCTCTTAGCGCATCCTGGCAGGGTCAGGAGTGAAATCCCAGATTATTCTTCTATGAAACTAAAAGTACCTTATTCTGTCGTTTTTCCGAAAGGATGGTTATGTATGGGCAGCAGTTTATCTTGGTCACAGGGGCAAGTTGTCGGTACACTGTTACCGCCTCAAAACTCCTCGCGAGCGACCTTACCATCTCCAAGGGTCTCGCTAGTGCCCATGAATCGTCTGATTCTGAAGGACAGTCCCGTCAGGGGATTATCAGGGTCCTCTCGGCGTCAAGTCACGAACCGAAATGATTGCTTTCTACCCGAAGGCGGCGGAGACATCCGTTTGAGACTTCTTCACAACCCCCCACGCACCCGTTTATGTACCTTCCGCCTCTCAGTGTCATGTCGCCGCATCTCCATCGTCTTGACAAGCCATTCAACCCATGACCTCAATCCGTTCATCTTCCTGAGAGACGGAGCCGGCCACCTTCCGCATTAAAAGGGTTTTGGAGGGCAAGTGCGGACAGGATACCTACCTACGCATCTCGTTAGCTTACCTACGAAGCAGCCAGTGGTGGGTCCCGCGATGTGAATGAAGTTAGAGCAAACACAAACAGCACAGATAGAGAGCTCAGGCTCGCCAAATGATGGGCCAACTACACACGTACATGCGTTATTTTTGAGCTGACTGAGTACGCATTACTGCGTACTTGACATGGCTTGACGACTTCACAGCCTGGCGGCAGAACTTGGGTGGATTCAGGTATGGATGTTAGCGGATGGATGCGAGAACCCCACGACGCAAGAAGATCATTATCCGCCTCGCATTCGTCGTCCCTGGACCCCGGAGAGGATCTGGAATTGTCGGCATCGTCGCAACCCCCACCCCACTCCTTCAACTGCCAAACATTCCCGATATGGTGGAATATTATTATCAAGTAATCACTTCCGTAGAATCGTAAAACGACCCGACAATATGCTTCAATGACATTGTGCACAGACTGCATCCTTGAGGGGCAAAGGGGCTTTGGGAAGGGTCCCAAGGAACACTGAAAACAGTTATTAACACGGGTGTTAAGTAATACTTTGTAGTTGCTCAATCAACGAATGTCATCGCTTGATACTGTGCCTGACCGGTAACAAATATCCAGTTCCTGTCACACGCGTGTTCGAGAGAGGGATGTTCCGTGTGGGGGTTTTGAGGGGGCATTGGCGACGCCAAAAGGGGACAACGGTCAGGTCCGTGTCCGTCGCCTACAAAAACTCTCCAGCAAAACGGAGTACAGGGCATACAATCAGTCTAATAATTAAGGAGTAATTACCTGATAAGAACGGCACCATAGCTTTGAATGACCATCTTCCGGTACAAAACCACCTCAACACGTATAAGGTGAGTACTCATATGAGCTGCCGCTTTGGGGCGATGTAAGAACGGGAAGGTCTTGATGTACGGAGGAGGAATTACATTACAAAGTAATGGAACGGCGTAAGAAGGAGAGCACCCCCAACTTCTCTCATCACATGTCACATCCCGGCAGCCACAGCCTTTTCCGCGACAAGAGAAAAGCAATGTTGCCGACCAGAAAAGAAACCCCCACACGCGAACGCTTCGCTATGATTGTTTCGCAAGGATACCTACTTCGCACAAAGTACCTGAACTCTTCACCCTTGCTTCTTCTGCGACGACTGCCTTTACGAAGTACATCTCCTGGATCATATCATGTCCCAATGGTCTTTCGCCTGGCATCGTTGAGGTTTCCCTTGGAGCCTAGGTAATTAGTAACAAACCAAAAAGGGGAATAACGGGCAACTCGATTATCTTTCCATCTTGTCTCCCAGGTGAATATTCGATATGTTGCAATCCGTATGGGGCAGTCGGATCTAGTGGCAACGCAGGCACAGACCAGTATGTTTTCCACCTGTCATTCCTGAAAGGCTAAGCTCGCTCCTGGTTTTATACGAGGGAATTAGATAATTATGGGTGATCATTTATCGAAGGCATTAACATCGGCGAACATCACCTCCCCGTCTTCCCCGTTCAGACAAGCGACCCTTCGTCATGGTACATTGAGTTCCTTTGCCTGGGACGGGGAGGGAGCGGGGCCCAAAGCTGGCATATCAGGTCAGCCCCTTCAGGTGCCTGTCGCGTTGGGCTCATTGCTCATCAGAGAGGCTTCCAAAGATGCGGTGCGGTCCCGCGGATCTACCACGTTGGCAATATCAGATCGAACAGAATTGCTGCTGGACTGGAGCCGGAACCCCAATCAGGCTTCCGCGGCGACACTGGCAAGGATCGCTCATGGGGGCCAGGGGTGGTGTGGGGAGTAGCACGAGCGTTTGATGGGGGGAGGGACAAGCAAAGCAAACGGGGCCTGAAAATCAGGGCGAGACAGGGTAAGACATGGGGAGGGGGGCGGGAAAAGGTACGGGGACGGGAGGAGTATATCCTCTTTTGCTACCCAGGATGATGGCATGATAGTGAGAAGTGATGAAAAGCGAGTTGTGTATGTTGCATGTTGTTGATTACGGAATACCTAAAGGTAGACAACATTAAGCCATGTTTCCCGAAATGACTTAGACACTGGTCACCTGGCCAATTTTTGACCTATACTTTGTAGTGCTGCCTACCCCTTTTAGTCCCACGCCATTTCGACGATTCTCATCTCGGAGTACCCCAAGTCCAGTGAGAGGATGTCCAAGATGCAATCACCTGCACATACACCACCAAACATACCCTTAGAGTGGACATCAGGGAGAAATGCGAGAGCAAGAATGTTAAGGCCAATGGCTGGTGTTTCCAACCAGCGAGGAAGGAGCATGTACGATCATGCAGCTGATATGCCGGCAATTCCAGGAACCAGTAGGTTGGCATAAAGAAAGCTGTCTACCTCACCTTATGCCCAGAACTCCCGTATTCGTGCCTGCAGAGATTGGACAAACACGGGACTCAGGATACTACCATGCAACAACAGACCACTGCCATGCCATTCAGCTATGCTAAAATAGCATTTACTTATTGTCTAAGGTAGTTGTTATCTGGCCTGACTTTAGACGCTATTGCGCTTTGTATAGGGGAATGGGATAAGTGACCGCGTGGGAATAGAGGGAACGAGCATCCAGCAGATACCGCACTGCCCGAAAACCAACTACAATGTAGGGGAATATCTGAGACTCAGCATTCCCGTCTCTTCCGATGCTGCAGTGGTCTAAGTCTTGCCGTCTCAATTCAGCGGCTCTCTCCCGCGCATTCATTCATTCCGTGTCGCGATGAGAGACACATCATATTCCATGCGCAAGGTACCTGACCCGCGATGCTGGATATATCATGTCACGTACCTTCAAGTCCCTCGCTGCAATAATTAACCCACGATTATTGGATATAGGGTTGGAGAGCCTCTCGCATTGTACAGAGGAATAGCTTGACTGGCTGCGGTGGATGCGGTGGGCGAGAATTCGTTTTGCTGTCACAGCTCGTGAGACAAACCACAGGCTACTGAATGTTTGACTCGTAGGAAATAGTGGTACTCCGTACCTTAGTGAGTGGTGGATGCGCAAACGCGTATAATTACACCAAGCGTCAAGCAAGCGATCAATATCTAGACCTGTCGTCCTGTCCCTTCCTTGCTCTTATTCGTACCTGCATGGATGGTGTTGTGTGGCTGGGAGGGAATCCAATCCCGAGGACAGGTTTTTGTTTGGAATTTTGAGAATCGTTCGCCGGATGTGCTTCCCCGGCCGGGGAGTCAGACACGGAGGAACAGAGCCCCCAGACCGGGTCTCCGGGGATGCGGGGCACAACCAGGCCGTTCCCATCCGTTGTATATACTTGTACTACGAAGTAGGTATCCGTATCGTATGTCCTCGGCTTCATTTCTTCTTCTTCTTTTTTTTTGTGCTTTAGTTTCGGGTCTCACTTAGGTATTCATTGTCTCCCAACTTTCGTGGAATTGAAGGTACTCTTGGGATGCAGCTTCTTCTTTACGCTGCCTTGCTTCGTATCTCCTACCCTTACTACCTAGGTAGACTAGGTCTTTGCTCCAGCATGTACAAACAGACCAAGGGAGAGTTGTCATGGACGACGTCCATTAGCATGAGACCATGCGACAAATGCCCGTGAACTCTAGTGGGATCTAGCTCGAGGACCGCGAAAGAAACCGAACAGAACCTACTCCGTACGGACATAGTCTGCTTTCATGTTAGACCTGTCTTTCATTCATTCATGAATTCTGCTTTGTTTTTCTGATGTTTGTCTCATACGACATCATATCCATACCTACATAGAGGGGTTATCTACTATGGGCCACGTTCCGTTGTTCTGGGATTGTGGGGCCTACGTACTCAGCGCAGTACCTCGTGTACGAAGGAGTGGCCTCGGACTTGCTCTATCCGCAGGGCTGTACTTCGTACTACTAAATGCAGTCTCAAGGACTCTTCCATCCGTCTGCAAACCAGGTACACACAAGATGTCCTTCGTGCCTAATTTGTCCATTGTATCAAATAATTACCAGCTTACAAGAGGAGGCCATGGGCAAAAAGTCAGGATGTTTTTAGGGAGGCATACATAAAGACGGAGACGAAGCTCACGTGAGAGCAAACACCATGTCAGGCTTTGTCAGGCTTCCGCCCTCCCTCGTCGTCTTCGCTCCCTTGATTTCGATCGCGTTTACACGACTTCTCTCCCTTGCAACCCAGTTAGGATGGGATACGGGGAAGTGTCTCCCGATCTACGAATAGATTTCTTTGTATTACCAGTAACCACGTGGGAAAGATGGCCAGGCTGGCATCCGTGTTGGTATAGGTATGGCTTCTGTTGGCCCGAGACGCCCATGTCGGAAGTCTGAAAACGATAGAGTGATGTGCTGGATATCGCGTCACTTGGAGCAGAGGTACTTACTTTGTAGAAGAGGTGCGAACCTGCATGTCTGGCTTGACTCAGATCTACGGTAGCGATCGCACATTGCTCCTGGGCGAGATACGTCACTAACCATTTACTCCCATGCCTGGCAAGAAGGCCCTGGCTGGTGCATCTGCTGTATAGGTAGGTATATTGCTATGTTTGACAAAATACCATGTTCGTCTACTTCGTGCGAAGATACAAACCTCATCTGGGAGATGGCTCCGCGGAGTTAAATTGGTGTAAGGACGATTCCATGTATTAACGGTGACCATGTGTTGCCGCGTTTTCATGCCGTTCTTTCAGCAGAAAGCGTTGGAGCGGCCATTCGGCATTCGGGCCGTGGCAGGCCCTCGGCATTCGTGGCTGCTTGCTGAGCTAATGCGCTTCAGGGTAATACCCTAAGGTATTTACCTCCTCACGACCATCGTTGATGCAGGACGGAGCGCAATGAATTACTCTCTGTACGGAATACTCCGTAACAATAACGCTGAAGGACCTGCCAGAAACTACGAAGTAATTACCTTAGGGTAAGGTAGGTAGGGAATGTGGAACATGCGGCAGGTTTCGAACGGGCCGTCTCCTCCTCCCTGACAGGTCTTGGTCACGCTAGCTGCGGGTCTAGAACGCTGGGGAGACACCTGTCAGGAAGGTACGCCGGGCAATTATAGGTATGCCTCCGTCCGTTACGGCCCTTCTCGCGCATGCCTGCTTCACGGTTATGATTGATTGTCCCGAAGTTTTTCCTACCGATCGGTTGAACCCCACAGCTAGTTTTAGTTCTGACAGCGCGACGACACAAATTTATCGACAAATTGACGTTCGCCCCAATTTTGAGCCGTTCTCAGGTCGGGAGCAATACCACCGAGCCATTTATCGATTTACCCCAGATGGACCCTGGAGACAAGCTTCGGATGCTCTCCCGGTTGAGAGGTAGTTAGACGCCCTCACCAAGGGTGCCGACAAATCCGATCGACAACTTCCAGATCCATACTTCTCGTACGAACCGTACCCCGAGTTAAAGTACCAACCTATAAGGGAGGGAGGGAGGGATGGCTTCGTGCCCATACGCTTGTGGACACATCCCATCGTTCACGTACAGATGCGCTGTACCAACGTCCCATCCACTTTACTAGGAGCTTCCCTGGAGCACTTTTTCCCTCCCTCTAAATCTCGCACCCACCGCCTATATACACCATAGGCGTATCGACGTCTTTCCCCCGCTCAGGGCTTCGTCTGACACTTCACGTGTATATTTGCGCGGTTTTATTTCTGTGTCCCCAGACAGGCCGGGTTGAAAATCCACATTGACGATGCCACTCTACGACCAGCGGGCTTCCCAGTTCTTGTGGCTTATTTTACGAATCTTGCTGCGCTAGCCATCCAGTTCGAGGATGCGCAAATAATTACTGGCGACATTGCGTCTCTGGACAAGCCTTTAGTCGGATCGCCAGTCAAGCACGGGGAAGTCCAGTCAAGGCCGTAGCATCCGGGGCAATCCTTGATTTCTGGCAGTCTAACAGCACCGTCCATCGCCACCGATCTCGTCTTTCGGAATGGAACCTGTCACTCACCGTTTTGTTCTGACCGTTAGCTCCCATCAACTCCCACCAACTCCCACCAACTCCCACCTGTGATTGTCACTCTTTCTCTCTGGCACACACTACTCAGCTCCAAACTTGCCTTTACAGCTAACTATCCCATTTCGTCTGGCTGTTGGAGGTTTACAGTTGCAGCCCCTAACATCCTTTTGTGGCAATGACTCCTTGTATATTGTTAGACGTGCATAAGAAGAGTGTGACAGAGACCGCTCGGTATAACCCAAACCCAGTTGTATCGGTACCACTCTATTATAATACCTTTCTTGCCAAAGGACGATGGTGGTATAGACACCACACCTCCATTGGCTCACCGGCTGCAAGTTGCTCTAGTAAGCTCTTACCTGGTTGTCAGCATGCCAATAATCGACCTACCGATCTGTTCTTTTATTAGTCGGGAGATCTTCCTACTCGAGCAGATCTGTTTTCGGATATTGGTATTACAGAACGGACGCATGTACCTCGTTTACTTGCACCCGCAACTTCGCTGCAGGTCATCCCTCCCAGCGGGGTAAGAATAGCAACGCTGTGCCCATGCAGTCTGACCGCCTAGCTATTCTGGGACAGGGCGGTGCCAGTGCGTTCCGTTGCCGTTGCCGTCACCATCGCTTTTCCATTGCCGAAGCCACTACACGTGTAGGGCTTGTTATTGTCACTGCCAAAGTTGGGACACAGATGCCGACCGTTCAGGTAAACTAAATCGGTCTGCCGTTCTGGGATACCTTGGTTTCTGTGGACTGGTACGGAGGAGGTAAGCGGATGCTCTTCTTGTTTGCCTTTGTTGCCTCTTTTTTGAGGCCAAATTGGGTCATTGCATGCGTCTCTGCTACGTCGCAAAGAAGGATCGCGACGGCGGAATTGATGGCAATCCAATACCAGTCCGTTGCTTGTATCGGCTTTCATGCATTTATCGCGACAGAGCCAAGCTGCAACCTCTTACAGCATGCAATGAGAAAACTTCCATCTAGGGGGCGGGGCAGGTCGGGCCGGAAAAAACGAGTAATTAGTCGGCATTTACCTAATAGGTAGCCCCACGAATATGTAAGCTCGGTTGTGTCCTCTACTTCGTTCATCTCCATTATCACGGAAAGAACGCATGTGCTTGAGCGCCACTTGATAGAATCGAGGCTACTTCAAGTATCAACAAGCAGCACTTGATAAGAGAAGGAGATGTGGCGGCCGTGCCGACTTGGTCCGCACCTACATTACGGCCGCCGACGGTCACCATTACCCCTACTTGGCAGCGAAAGCGAAGATGAGAGAGGGCAACACCTCTGGGTGGGCAGAGGTGCTGGATATATGGAGGCGTAAGCTAAGCTGGCTGCCGATTCCCGACCTCATGGGCCTCTTGCGTGCCTGCGGGATCGGACGAGGGAGGGAGCAAGATAGGAGGTTCCGATCTCAAGGCTCTAGAAGAGATTCCCACCGTTTCCATTGGACATTCTCGTATCTGTTCGCAGGCACCTACTCGGGGTACAAGGTAGGTACGTTGTAAGCCAAATAAGTACGTGACCACAGCCTAATAGAGAACGTGCAGAGGGAGGGCGAAAATGCGCGTTTGTATTGTTAGGCTCACCCGCCGGGATCTTTTTGTATCCATACATGAGTCCGGTCGTTTTCTGATGAAGACGTAGTCCACGTGCGTGCAATGAACCTGTTGGAAGCACTCGGGCGGAGGAACCAAATAGACAGGAGTGAATTGCTACCGGTCCAACGCGCTGGAAAACGCGGGGAGAAAGCGTGCCCATGGGGAAGAACGGATGAGAAGCACTGTTCACGCTCTATTTCTCCATCTTTTCTTTCCGAGGAGCCGGGAGACGATGGAGATGCCACGCGACACCGCGTATGTACCTAGGAATGTACAGGCCGAGGTCGGACGGACCAGACCCCGAATAACAGTAACGTCAATGTCCCATGCCGACATGGGGTGGTTGTTTGGTCTCTGGCCTTCCCTGGCAAGGTTCTCATCGGTCCGTTTTGCCTGTCAGCCTGCCGTCTCCGAAATACGTTGTACACGTTTCAATCCATCTAGCTCCCTCATCCTCATCTCTCTCTCCTGTGGGAGAAAACGCCACGAGCGCTGGCATGCTGCATGTGACTACATGTGAATGGTTGAATAACACGGCTTGTTTGCCGTGGCGAGAACTGCCGTGAAATGCGATGAGAGGTATCTCGCGGAAGTTACCATGTACCGCTTTTTATTTTTATTTTATTATTACCTATTAGGGAGGGAGGGCAGGGACGAGGGGAAGGATGGGCGGAGAGAGTTTGGGTTTACGAATTTTCATGCTTTCCCTTCCCTCCCTCACACTTTCAAAAGTACACCCCCCGCCGCCCCCCCCTTCCTCCCCCCCAACCGCCCCCCCTTCATGCCTTCATCTCAATTCAAACCTCACAATGGGGCTGCGCGACAATTTCGTGTGCCTACGGTGGCCCTGCAGCCGATCCGAGATTAAGCAGGGGCCGCGGAGATCGAAACGTTGGGTTACATCAGGGTCAGATGCCCACGGCACGCCCCGAACTGATGATGCCGTAAAACGGTGGTAGCGAACCTACTAGCTAACCGGGGAGCGAGATGGTGTTCACTCTGTTCTTTTTGAGAACCGTTGCGTGCTGACTATTAATACTACTTGCCATCGTCATTCTTACGAGAATTCGACACCACCGCTTCATAGAGTGGGCAGAACTTTCTATCTCCTATGACCCAGAGTTCACAATCATCGGACGGAAGATGCGACCGTTTGGCGCGGGGGTGGATTCCTGGCGCGTGGGAGATACTTTCCATTGTCAGCACCCGCCTTTCGCCGCCTGTGAGATCTATCTATATTCGTACTCGTACTTCGCACTGATAGTTGACGGTGATCACACCGGGGCGTGTGCTTCGAGGGCACTCTTTTAGGTCAGATTGGATTAGGCCGAGGTTTGTCTCGACGTTTTTCGTGGACGGTGGGCGGAGGTTATGGTTTTCCAATACCGTCCTTCCACCTTGATTGCCCGTGTGGTTACATCTACCGGTATTGAACCCCATGGGTGACGACTTTTAAGCCAAGCAGACACCTCTTCATTCGTACCTGCTTTATTGGTATAACGGTATTCCCCCCATGACAACGGCCGCAAGTTGAGGAAGTAATTAATTAATAAAACCTGTGCATGCAGAAGGAAGGAGAGACCACGTGGGTGACCTTTAAAAACGTGGGTGATTTCACCCCTGTCTATATCGCATTTTAGCGCGTGGGGCCCCCGGGGATGTCTGGGCCCAGCCCCGTCGTAGCGGCCCCCAAAAGTCCCTACTTTCTCTCCTTCTGGCGTGCTTCTCTGCATTGACGACGCGACCTACTTTCTTTCGTACACTCTAACCCCTATTTAATTGTTTAAAGTGTACGTGTTGCGGAGCCTGAATAAACCAATAGTATCGCGACAATAAGCGGAGTAGATTATAACTAGATATATTAAAAGGGCCCTACTAGGGCGCCCGTACAGATAAGTATTTTGCCCGTAAAATGGTGGGGCCCACTAAGCATGATTAGTGACCTAAGTACCAACCTATTTTGTATGTATACTTTAGGTACCTAAACACATAGATACAGGAGTAGAGAGTCAATTAAAGGGCAAACACAAACCGAAGCACTAAACCACTATAATAACTATCGCGAACTATCACGATAACCCTACTATTTAAGAAGAGCCGCAGGGTCGTTCTTTAGCTATTATAATCTGCTCTATCGTGGGTTATTTTGGTGCCTTAATTGATGGTGTGCGAAAAAGACGGGTGGGTGGATAAGTTAGAAAAGGTGCTGTATCTATGTGTTTGGGTACCTAAAGTGTACATATAAAATGGGCTGGTACTTAGGTCACTAATCATGCTTGGCGGCCCCACCATATTACGGGCAAAATACTCATCTGTACGGGCGCCCTAGTAGGGCCCTATAAAAAGCATGGACTTTTCTATATAAAATTATAAAGATTTAAAAGTGACCGGTTACATTAAAAGGGAAATCCCTACTAGTATAGGTACTTTTAGTAGCTATATAGTGGTCTGCACCCAGCTATCGCAACAGTCCTTCGTGGAGAGAAAGACGTTCCCTGTCGAACCTCTCTCCTCCAGCCATATCGCGATTTTATTAGTCAGTGCTAGGTACTTCGTGTATTCCGGTCTTACCTTATCGTATCTAAGCGACCTCGGTATCCCCCACGTTCACGAAATATGATGAACTCTTAAAAAATACTATATACCACGGCCACCCCGTTCGTTTTAAAGAACGTCTATAGCCTTCATTCCGTGTCGTACTTCGTATGATTCGGTGTATATTTCTATTTATACTGTCCGTCTCACCTCTGTGTAACTTGTTCACGACGAAACGTCAGCTCCCGGTCTGATGGCTTGTCACGCAAAGTCCGGAACCCGTGTCCTCGGGGGGAGAGAAAATCGACAAAGACCCGAGTCAGTCTCCTCTCCGCCCCGCCTGACGCATCCAAAGGCATAATTAAGCATTAGAGATCCGGGGAAGTATGGGGCCGGCTAGAATTTAAAGGGGCGATCCTTTGGAGGGTCGAGTCTCGAAGTACGGTCTCTTACTGATTCTGTACGTACGAATTCGGCTAACTATTCGGAACGGGTTTGTATCGTTCGATCCGAAATAGTTCGGCCGGCAGCAGCCAGGCTAGAAGCTCGTCTGCCAGGGACTAATAATTAACAACCTTAGCCATTCGCCTAGCAAAGCCGACTGACACGCAGGCTGCCGTTGGTTGAGGCCTCTACAGGATCTTATCGGCGTACATGGTACGAGAGAGAGGACGTTGCACACAGTGTGGCCGTGTGTTCCACCCGTGCTTTCTCTTAATGTACGTGCAGGCTGGTTCGGCGTCCAGAATAGTAGAGAATATCATTCACGACCCATTTGAGTCCTGGCTCTCTACTATCTTGAGTGCGTCTTGGTCGTGGATGTGCAAAGCCGCGATGTGAAGGGGTAGGTACATGTACGAAGTACGAAACGTGTGCAACGGGATGAGAATAAGGTACTGGCTCACGTAAGCGATTCCAGAGTTCCCCATGGGGCCTCGACTGCCGCTCTGCTGTTCCACGAGTTGCTACCGGTACCGTATAAAGCTCTTGTTCGGTAAGAAAAGGCAACCAGATGACCTACGGAGTAGAGTATCGGAGGATGCGTCTTCCCGCCGATACCTACTACCTTTTCACTTGTCCTGATCCCGTCTAATTGCTGGCGATACGGCAAAAAGAGGTTAACAACAGCAGCTTCTCACTCGTGTAATTCAGTTTTGAAGGCCGATGTCTTGGGAGGCGATAGTCACGACAGCATAATAAACTGCTTATTACGGAGTAATTCCCAGGTCAGTCTTACACTACATGCTGTGCCGTGATCCTATCTACGCGACCCTACAACGTTCTCTGTTTTCTAACTGACCGTTTGGCTTTGGCTGCTATTCGCTCTCATTACCGAGGTTTCATACTGATACTTTCCGCCTTTCCAAACTATCAGTCGCATCCTAATTGCCGAATTACGTGCCAGATCCGATAGAATGTGGTCAGCAAAAGCGACATCCATACCTACCTAGAGAGAACCTTGGCCCCCATGTTCTTCTTTTCCACCCACACCGGGGAACCTTCCCCGGTCATGATCTCGTGCAGCCGGTTGACAGCTGGAGTACGTGTAATAATTAATGGACAAGGGGCTGTCAAGCGCAGAAAGCCACGGGCGTCGCTAATTATCTCGTTATCACGCCGCCGCGGAGCGTGGGAGATGGGGGAAGGGGCCGGGGGGGAAGAGAACAGATGACCTGCGAGAACTTCCATCATAAAGTGATAAATTTCAGCTGCATCCTTTTCCGTCTCGGTCCGTGCCTAATCATGGAGCCCCCCTGTCAGCTCACACACCACATCGCCCTGGCAAGACGTCTTCTTCCTATGGGGGCCACTTCAGAAGATTGAGATGATTCTCCTCCAATCAAAAGCCTGTGAATGACCTATCAGGGCTGTCTCGAGCAGGGCCCAAGTGCTTCCTTCATCACACCGAGGTGGCGCAGGTAATTACTTGGTGAGGAGATGCTGGTACAGCGTTCCCAGACGATCATCTCTGACGATCTGGCTGACTAAGTAAGTCAGTGAGTAAGTTGGGTAAGTGGCTGATGTGGAAAACGGCTGTCAGTTTTAGGGGTTTGTTGGCTCGAGATGCGTTCGCTCATATCAAAATATCATCTCGATTGGTTTTCCATTTCGATTACTCGGCTATCCGTACTCCTAGTCTTTCCCTTCCGTTACATCTTCCATACCACCGGGAGCGAATTGTGAGAATGACAAGGATCCTGGACGCAAGTTTGCAGTGACTCCATGGTTATGTAATGTATGGAAGCGAATAATAGGATTCATCACACATATATATAGCACATTGTAGACACAAGATCGGCATGCAGCGTCGCCTAGGTATACCAACGCCAAGATCCATACCTTATATTTTCGTACATTATTGTTCATAGAGTTTATGTATTTTTGGCACCCGCGGATCTATCTGTGAACGAAACGACGGACTGCGGGGAACGGAGAGGAAGAATATCGTACAAAGGAGATAGGGACATAGTGTCTATTCGGAGGCAGAGCATTCAGCTGCCCAAAGGCCGTTTGTTCCATATCAAAACAACTCTTCGCGAAATCCTTGGGTCTGTTTCCTAGCCCCTATGGGAAAGAGAAGCGGGTGGACACAGACTCAGAAAAGTTCGCAAGTCCAAGCCAGCACCAAAGCACAATGACGATCGTCTGAGCAGGCTCGGTTCTTTTTATGCAATAGAGGGCTCGCTTGTCGAAGTGAGCGAGATGTCGGCTCGCGTGCCTCCCGGCTAAATGACCGGGTAAAAGGGAAGGGCCCCCGGCCACTGCGCCTCTCCGGCAGTCTGGCACCAGGGGTGTCCACGGGACAGGGCGTACAACGTACTTATGCAATGGAGGGGCCTGGAAGGGATAATGTTAGAGAAATAAAGCTTACGGCAATCAAGACACGGAGTGCCTCCAGTAGGATGGACCACGAGGCTTTAGACGAAGGCCTGTGGAGTTGTTGTTGTTGTGGGGAGAAGGGGGGCCTTTCCCCGGGTCTCGGTCCGCCAGCTTGCTGCCGCACCTGCCAGACAAGGGTCTCTCCATGGTATGGAATTACAGAGACTCACAAAGCAGAGGCAAATTTCATGATCATCACGCTGCTTGGTTAGCCGATGGGATATTCCGAAGCGGAAGATGGAAGATGGAAGATTGGTTCAGACGAGCGGCAGATTTTCCCTCTTCCATGTCAACTCCTATATTTTTTTTCTCCTTTTTTCTTTCTCGTCGGCTGGATGGCACAACTCGGATGGCATTTTTAGCTGCAGGACAATACATAGGAGAAGAAGCGTCGTGCCTCATCAAAAGGTAGACAAGGCGGTAACACTGTTGTATGACGCCACTAATAAGCCAAAGCTCTTGCAATTCTGCATCTTCCCCGCGCCCCCGGTCTCTTGGCTTGCTTACAACGTAGGCTTAATTACGATTACGACCTGGATAAAGAGCATGTCCGTACGCGTTTTGCACAGCATCCTATACACTCGAATCGGCAATCGGAGGCATCTCAGGCGCAGGACGTCAACTTTGTTGCAGCCGATAACGGAGCTGGGCATACGCATATCTTCACGTCGTATACTCAGAAAGATCGTGCCTATTTGAATAAGCGCGGAAGGGAGAGAGCGAGGCCGGTCCTTGTCAGAAAAACTCTTCCCTTCACTTCAAGCCGATTTTTGGCAGGCTGGGACACTTGCGTCCTGGGGTTGACTTTCCTGATAACTACCTAGTTATGAAGTAGATAGACCATAAACTGTTTAGGTAGCTAGATAGGTATGTATATCCGTAGCAATAAAGTACGGAATACCCTTCAATAATAGTGCTCCGGCAGCACTGGCGTCGCGTCGGCCTGGCCAGGTGTACAAAGTATCGCTTTTTGCATCACGGGTAAGCGCACACCGCCAGATGAGGCGTACGAGGGGAGCATGCCATCGGTCGCACAAGATGGAAACAAAAATAATAAAAAGGGCTTGGAGGGCGTACGAACTGCCCTGTCCTGTAGAAAGCAGCGAACAAGATAGAATTATTTCGCAATTCCTATCACCCGATTATTACGGCATTTTTCTATTGTTTGTTTACTATTACTTCGCATTATTTTATGCCGTTTACTGCATAGACTAGGTACGCAGAGCCGTAGCCCTCGTCCCCCTTTTTCCGCGGGGGATTCGCGTGAGAACGCGTAAGGATATATACGCTGATACCAGATGCTGGACACATCTGGTGACCGCATCGAAATGTCGTACTTAGCACCGGGCCTCCTCGGATGTTTTTATTTTTTAGTGACTTCTCTCCTCGTGGCCCGACACCCCGTCACCAACACCCGTCACCAACAATGCGGACACACCGCATGGGGGAAGGGATGGGCTACACCAGCCCGCCCTTTCGAATTGTCAGCATGTGTCTGGGGTACGGGGAAACATTTCCTCTGGGAACGCGGGGAAGGCAATTGAATCTGGTCATGGGGAAATAAGAAATTTGGATACGATCCCAAGGGCGCGGAGCGTAGGTGTTTGCGCATCCGTATATTCCGTTGGCCCCAAAATACCCTATGAATCCAAATCACTCGTCCGAATAGATAATTATTAGACATGGGATTTTACGCGGCCTGAGCTTTACTGACATGCTTCCCCTAATTACCGTGGCACCGGAATACAGGGCCGAGGCCGGGAAGACAGTGTGGCAAAGGGATATATATCCGTGCTAAAGAGGTCAACTGATTGTTCCCGATTCGGCAGTGAATTCCTCACCGGTTACTGAGTTGGGAAGATCCCCATTGCGACAAGAGCACCACCGTTCCACGTGTAATTAATAGGTTGGTATTTCTTTGCCACTAATTAGTAAAGGATGGTAACAAGGTTTGTTCGTTTGTCTTCGTCCAGCACAACGCTGATTAATGGTTCATCTACGATCTACCCGGGAGGACCGGTTAAGTCCAGTCACTCCGCAACAATAATCACGGGGGCGACTATCACTACTCTAACCTGACAAGTATATCCGCAACCAACCCGCCTTTATTGCCTGAGATGGATTGAAATATGCGTATGGTAGGTTGGTAGGTAACAAGGGACGAAGAAAGGCCCGAAGGGGATGTTGGAGGGACCCTTAACGTCCAATTATCCTGAGACCCCGGCGGCTCAAATTCTTTACTTCGTACTCACTGGTTCTCTTCCCTTCGACGTTGTCGATCAACTGCCGGAAATCTGCCGCGAGAGAAGAGGGGTGGGAGATGTGCTCTCGTGACAGAACAGCAATTTCTAACCTTGGGTCCTCAGTCGGCCACGTCAAGATCTTTTCAGTCTCGTGGATAGATAGATCCTTTCCATCTAATAATTCAAAGAAAACCCCCCCGCCCCCAAACAACCATAGCCCCCTTTTTTACTGATGGAGGCTAGCGGCGAGGAGGGTCATAGGGAGTGGTACGTTTAACCTGAGACACTTAACCGGCATGTCGGGCTGAAATGTCATGGAATTGGAAGAGGAGGGACGTATTGGGCATTTGCGGTCTCTAATCGAAAATTCAATGGGATTGGCTTTGGATTGCCGCTCGCAGTGGCCCCAGGACAGGACGCTCCTCGACGTCCAAACGTGATGGCCGCAGACTCTTGGTCCTGGTCGTGAGGATAATAGGTTTTACTGTCTGAATATACACGGTATCTCTGCCTCGTTTGGAGGAGGATGTTGGTACAAGTTGAGTTATCCTTTAGGAATTGGAACCAGTCAGGGACCGGTGGCGAAACGGAGGGTTCAAGTCGACGTTTGACGAAAGCTGCTGGAGCACTTGTATTCGCGGCTGCGTGGTAGATCACGGACTGGGTCTGAATACCACATCTATGAAGAGTCAAAACGAATAGCTCAGTTCTTGTCATGGTCTTAAGAGTCGCTGCACTCAATATGACATTTACTTCGTAGCATGGGATCTCAAAGCTTCTTTCCCATCCGCTTCAAAACGCCCGCTTCGAGACTAAATGATCAAGCTATCTATAAAATACAGGGCGCTTCCAGATGATCGCTGTCAGGATCTTGTTCCGGAGCATGGAGACAAGACCAGAAGAAAAGGAAGAAGAAAAAGAGAAAAGGAGAAAAAGGAAAAGCAAAAAATAAAAAATAAAACAATTCAGGCGAATCCAAAGCCCTTCGCGTTGTTAAGCGCCATGGCGAGTCTTTCCCGCAACACCTCCTTGTCTTTGTATTCCGGTAGCAGCAGCGTGCCGTAGCAGGTATACGCCGTGGGAAGGTGCCCGCCTTCGTCCTCCTCGCCGTTCTTCTGCACCACGAACTGCAGATTCCGCATCCCGCCCACGGGGACACGATCCGACGCTGTGACGAACTCGAGCAGTTTCCGCTTCATATCCTCGTCATACCGCTTGACAATCGACCAGAAGTCGCGGATAGCGCGGTGGCTCGCGTCCCAGCCAACGTAACGCGTGTACTTGCGCAGCTCGCCAATGTCGATTTCCTGGACACCCTCCACCATGGACTGAAGGATGCCCGGCGTGAGGAGGGAGAGCGACTTGGGGTGGAGACAGGCGCGGAAGCCGCGAGCGAGAGCTTCGAATTGGGGCCGGACCGACACGTCGGTCAAGTACCGGATGTAGTCGCTAACGTAGGCGTTGCGGTTCTCGTTGGTAACGAGGGACGCGTCCTCGGGATTCTGCGCCGTGCGCGACTCGTCGCCCATCGTAGCCAATTGCGGCCAGCTCGTGTACTCCGCTTTCATCTCCCGAGAGATGGGCTGCCCGAGCATGTCGACCGAGAACTCGTACGTACGGACAAAGACGTCTTCTACCGAGCCATGCGTTTCGTCCCACTCAAGTAGTTCCGTAAGACCACTGGCCAGGTCGGGCCAGCCGTCCGCGATATGATGAAGCTCGTCCACGGACTCACCGAGGAGTTTCCGGTAGAGTGCCTTTGGAAATGTGACGGGCAGCGTCAAGCCATTGTATACAGCCAGAGACACGAGAATCCCAACAAGCTCGAACTTCCAAGTCGGGACAAGGGAACCAGGGACAAACCATGTCATACGTGTCCGCTCGTCCACGGCGAAAGCGCCATACTCGGGGTCCAAACACTCTTCCATGGCGAGGCGGAAGAATTCTTGTTGAACGCCTCCGGAATCAAAACCCTCTTCTCCATCTTCTTCGCCCAGATGGACCTTGAGGGGTCGGAGGAGTTCTCGCTCCTCACGTTGCCACAGCTGGTCGAAGGCATCTCGCACCACGTGATCCCTGCTGATTTCTAGAATAAGGTACTTGCTGGATGCAGTCCTCATCATCTCCTGGAGAACCAGCCTGTGGTGGGCGTTCTTGATAAGCCCGTCACGAGTAACAATGGCTTTAATCCTGGTCTGTAAGGAACTCGCTTCTTCGTAGCTTTGGCTCATCCGTACCAGATTGATAGAGCGAAAATATGACACCAATGAAGACGGGTTGAAGATAAAGGGATAGTCCAGCAGGTGCTTGCTCCGCCTGGATGGGTTGTGCGACAGCCAAGCCACGGGGACGTCGATGGAGTCCAGACGGTCGGCAAAATAGTCGATACGAAATTGCAAATCCCCGAGGAGTAGCGATTGTCGTTTCTCATCTGTGACAAAAGCGTTAGTCAATGTTTCAGGAAGGAGACACGGGCACGGCTAGAAAGCGTGTCGGTGATGGTTGAGTTGATCGACTCGGTCAAGGGAGAACTTACACATGGCCGTCAAGAGGGTCAAGGCCCCGCCCAAAGGGCTATTGAAGGAGATGACCGGGTTCCCATCCCATTCGTCGAGAATGACCGTTTTGGCCCAGTCGAGAAGAAGGGTCGGCGCCCTGACCTCGTGCAACTCGCGTTCTGCCTGGGTGGCCTGAAGGCCAGGTACGGAGTTTATGCCGACGAGTTCCAGTTGTGCAAGAAGAGGCCGGAGCGCGTCAAGATCGTCGCCCGATCGGTCCGAGGCTTCCTCAACGGGAACTGCCATCTCCGCAAAGCATCGCCGAGCCGATATGGCCAAGAAAAGGCGCCTGGCCAGTCGAAGGAGGAGGTCATCGGAAAAGACGTCATGATACTGCAGACAGAGACGTGCCGCCGTGCTACCGCCCGCCAGCGTTAACCCGCTCGACCGGATTGTCGACATCTCGTAGAGCGACCTCGTGTCAGTGACGAGGGGCGCCGCCGCCACAAGAGCATGAAGGCAAATGGCTGTCAGGTGTCCAGCTTCGACATTGGTGAGTGATTTCTCGAGCTTCATGAACACCTTGGTCGTAGGGGAACGTAGAGACTGGAGAGACTTCGGAGGTCCGAACAGACTAGCCGCCGCAATCCAAAGACCATCAAAGACCAGCGTCGGCGCAACTCTTGTCAGCCTGACCATACAGTACCACAGGGAATGAGAATCGAGTAGCTCGCCGTTCTGAGCAAAGGATGCGATGAGCTTCTTCGGGTCGCTCAGGACGTTAAACAAGCTCTGCTCGATGAAGTATTTCCATTGCGTCTTCAGCCGCTTAGGGTAGGGAGATGCACGCTCCTTCGTTCGGCGCATTGCCCGAGGCCGTTCTACGAGCCCCAGAGACGAGCCCGTGATCTGTGGAGGTTCGAAGAGATGTTTCTCCGAGGTGCCATCGTCCTGCAATACGTCACAGACGAAATCCACAAGGTCCATGTTCAGTAACTTGAGCGATTGTGGAAGGACGCCATCAGGCAGCGTTTCTTCGATCGGCTCCATCTTCTCTGGCGGCGAGATGACTCTGGCCTTTTGGCCTTGTCTCGTCGTCGCAGGTGCCGGGCTCCGAGACAATTGGCCATCACCAACCCCGTTCTCGACGCCGCTGTGTGTTGTAGAGTCTGCCTTAGACCTCGGAACACCAGATGGCGCAGTTTCGTGGGGTCGGGGAGGAAGCTCGTCAAATAGAGAGGACGAAGGGGATACGTCAGGTATCGCACGGGTCTTCGGTGGACGTGTAGCCTTATCCGTCACAGCTCCATTCAAGCGCGGTGACGAGACGGTCGGAGGCGGTCCGTCCGAGTACCCGGGGCCTATGGTCTCGACGGATACTTTCCTTGACGAGGTCGTGTTGCATGCAGCCCGTACTTTCGCACTCGATTTACGGCGCGGTCTGTCTTTATTCGTCGAATGGGGCAGGGTTGGTACCGTCGGCGTCGGTCGCTCTGGCGCGTTCGAGTCGAAGGACGGCTCTTTCTGAGCTGTGTCAAGTAGTGGTGGCATATCTCGGCCCTGTTCCGAATGAGGCCTACTTGTCGACAGAGAAGTCGGGTTATCGGAAGCAGTCGGGGTGGATAAGATCGTACAGTCCACACTGGAAGACTCGTTCATATCCGCGTCGGCCTTCAGCGCTTCGTCCACCTTCCGAGACATAGACTCGAGGCCAGTAGGAGTTAACCATTCAATCATCTTGAAAGCGAGGGTGCTAAACAGGTTTGCGGAGAAAGATCGATGGTCCTTGCTAATAGGCCTCTCTGTCACTTTGAACGAAGGCTGCATGTCGCCGGTATCCGAATCAATGTATAACCTGCCCCCAGATGTCGAATTGGTCCGCCCAGGCCGGTTCTTGCTAGAATTCGAACCGCATTCCTCTCCCGTCTCTTCATTATCTGCCGTGGCTCGATGGGGGGGCGGCAACTTGTGCGCGACCGAGTTCTTCCGTGTCGTGGTACTCCGACCACGCCGTCGTGAAAAGGGATCGCTAAAGGGTGAAGTCGGTGAAGTCGGACGTTTCGGCGAGAAGACGAGAGAATTCAGAGCCGCCGGCGGTTCTTTGAGTGATTTGAGATAGGGGCAAAAGCCGGTCTCGGGATTGTCCTGACTGGCGAGGTAGACAGCTAGGATTCTTGCACTGGTAGGATTATAACGTCGAATCGGGGCCTTGCCAACAGTGCGACGGCGGCAGGTGAAGCAAGTCGAGGTAGTGCACAAGTCGGAGTCGCATCCGTAGCGAAGCTGGGCGATGTATCTGCGTGTGTGTGAGGTTAGTGGACGATGGCCTCGGGCCGACCGACGGGCGACGGGACAGACCCATGACAAACCAGCCTGGGAATAGAGATGGGGAATAACGTACCTCTCAACAAGCACTTGGAAATTATGACGGCGACTAGCTCGGTGAATGGCATAGACGCGCTTGGGGTTATCAAGGTCCTGAACCAGGTCCTTCAGTTCGGCCGGGGCGTCCGAGGGGAGACGGGCGAAGGGAGCCGCTTCCCAGAGTGATGCAAAAAAATCGGCTTCGCGAACATGGTCGGGCGGCACGCCCTGCACAGGGCGGCTGACGTCTAGAGTCATGACATTCGGGGCGTCAAGCAAGCGGAGGAAGAAATGTCCCGGGAATAAAGCGCCGGGGTAGGAGGACAAGGAGAAAACGGAGATGCGTGGACGGAAAGAACTGGCGGACGCGGAGGATATGAGTGTACGAAGTAGGTAGAAGCAAGCGTAACCCGATGATTTGTGAGCAGCCAGTTGGCGGACGGAGGGGGTGGGATGCGATGGTGTTGTCGGTACTGGCAAATGGTCCCAGTTCAACGAGTTAAGCGCTTGCGATGTGTGCTAAGTAGGGAATTTCGCTAGAGAGGAAGTTCTTGTCAAGGAGATTACAAAACTGTATAACAGAGGGCGGGAAGCCTGGATCCAGGAAGAGACATTCGAGATTCGAAGTTCGAAGGTGTACGAGATACAACGTACAGCTGTCTCAGGTTGTACACGTACTTCGTGCACCGGGAGCGAACCCAGAAGAGGCCTCTTAACCGTGTAGACGGCTGTATATGGACACTGTGTGAAATGGTGGTAAAATTCTACACTCACCCAGTGTGTATAAAGAATCTTCAAGGTAGATGACACTGGGCTGGGTTTTCTGACATAATCATGCGTGGCTTTGGAAACGGCGATAATATGGGGGTCATGGTCCGTCCACATTGGCAACCGCCACCCATAGTTCAAGGGAAGATGCATTCAGTCACGAAGCAGGTAGTGGAATGGACTCCTCAACTCCTTTTAGCAGGAATTTGAACCTTTATATCCTGGAAGCAGTGAAGCAGTAGGAACAAAAAGAGTCATCTAACTCGAGGAGAGAACATAGAAGAGCAAGGTACTATTAGATCGCACGGTGATAGAAAACACCACGCCGGAATTGTCGACATATATCTTTGTCCTCATCATCATCAACGGCAGTGCGAAGTACAAATATTTCGCAGGCGTGGGACCCTGTAGTTTCGATACCACTACGGTGTTAGGTAGTCGAGTTCCAAAGCCCTATGTTTCTGTGCTAAGATACGATGGGTAGATGATCATATTATCTCGCCGTCTTTTATAGGCAGACAGACCAGCGGGTACTAGAGATTGACGTCCCAAAGGTTCCCGAGATCCCATCTACAGGTCAGATACCTGTACCTTACCTACCTTATGTATCGATGAGTCAAGGAGGGAAGCTGGTGGTGTACTTCGCCCAGTACCTACCTTATGGAACAGAGGCCAATCAAAGATCTCTCATCCCAACTGTGAGCCCATCCTCGTACGAAGATTTGATACGAAGTTATACTCCGCTATAGGCACGAGAAGAGTCAACGGGTAGGCATTTACACTACACGTACTGTCCGATGCAAATTACGGGAGAGAAATGGACACGAGACGTTCTTGCGAGTCTACCATTACGTTACTACGTTACCAGTATTAGTACCTCGAGATGGGTTCTGTCATTCTTGTCATCGAAAGACTTCGAAAGAGGTGTATTGTGACGTAAGGCAGTCCGTAGACCGTACCTTCCGAAAACACCGGGATGACCAATCCACTCGCCCGGTTCATCGATGCCGCCACTCACAACCTGAACCTTAGGTACCCTCAGCTAACGCCCCCCTCTGATAACGATAAACCCCGCCATCGCGCCCACTAAAATTCTGCCTACAAGCAGAAATAGCCTGTTCTTGATGTAAATGGTGAACTCCCCTCCTGCACCGTTTTTTTTTCAAATTCCCTTCAAACAATCAACTTGATTGTTGATCACGGATTATTTTACACCCCAGCTCTCCGCAGACCGCAGAACGAATTCACAGCCAACTGTGTCATCTTCCTTGCCTCCATAAGCAACGTAACATCGCGACAGCCCGTTCCCTCATCATGGCCAGCTTCGATGTGGCGGCCCTTGGCTCCCTTGCCGTCGCCGGCGATTCCGCTTCGCACCCTTTTACCTGCAACACCTGTGCGGTTGCATACAGGAATATCGATCTTCAAAGGGGTCATATGAAGAGCGATTGGCAGTAAGTATAGAGAGCTCGCCCTTGTTCAATCTAGGACTTCCCAGATTCGCTCGTCCGTTCCTTCCCCGCTGCATTTCATGTGGGCGTTCCAGCTAACGCACCGGACTCTCTGTCCAGCCGCTACAATCTGAAGCGCCGAGTCGCCTCTCTCCCTCCCATCTCATCAGAGATTTTTAACGAGAAGGTCCTCCAAGCCCGAGCAACACAAGAAGCCGCAGCAGAAAAGGCGTTCTTCGAGCGCACTTGCGATGCCTGCGAAAGGACGTATTCGAGCGAGAACGCCTACGAAAACCACATCTCTAGCCAGAAACACAAACAAAGAGTGGCTGCCATGAACCGGAGGGCTGGCATCCCGGATGACGCCAGTGTCATGAGCTCTACTTTCTCTTTCGGCGACCCCATTATCGCAGATAAGGATGCTGCCCTGGATTCCGAGGTGGAAGAAGAGTTCACTCAAGTCGTCGAAGGCCTGAAGCACGCCAACATTGAGGACAGGGAACAGGGGCGTCCCTCGCCCGTGAAGCGACCTTCCAATCCTCGGCCATCGGCTCAGGGACAGCCGGATCAAAAAGAATCCGTAACCGACTCCGGCGACGGCCGCGAGTCCGGTGCCGCCACCCCGGTGGCTTCTGCCAAGCCCGAACTGGACTGGACCGTCAAGTCCTGCATCTTCTGCAATTACACCTCGCCCACCATGGAACTGAGTGCCCATCACATGGAACGGTTCCACGGCATGTTCATCCCGGAGAAGCCGTACTTGGTCGACCTGGAAGGTCTCCTGCGTCATCTCCTAGAACGTGTCCACGAAGGCCACCAATGCTTGTTCTGCTTCAAGACCAAGGCTACCGCCTTTGCGGTCCAGACGCACATGCGGGACAAGGGTCATTGCAAGCTTCCGTTTGACACCGAGGAGGAGCAGTTAGACATTGGCGACTTCTACGATTTCAGGAGTACGTACTCGGACGGTGACGTATCCGACGAAGAGGGGGAAGGGCAACAAAAGGGCGGTGCTAAGCTTGGAGGACGGCGCGCTGCCTCTAAGCTCACCAACCAGGACGGCGACGACGTCGTGGAGGGCGAAGATGGTTGGGAGACGGATAGCTCGGCCTCTTCTCTCGATTCGGCTGATCTCACGGCGGTGCCTGCTGAGCGTCACGACCATCAGTACGAACGCCTTGGCAAGCACCCTCATCATACGAACCGAGACCCCCGATCGCACCACCAAGCAGACGGATGGCACTCGCACGCGCATAGGCATACCCACGCCGTTTTCTACGACGAATACGAGATGCAGCTCCCATCGGGCAAATCAGTGGGACATCGATCCCTAAACCGGTACTACCGACAGAACTTGCACAGTTATCCCACGGCCGAGGAGCGTGCCGAGCGCCTGGCCATCGAAGCTGCTGGCCAGAGTGACGACGATGGCGAAAGTACGGAGACGGAAGGTAACGAGGATCGTCGTGTGGCGAGGACCGACGGTAGTGCTCGTAATGCTCGTAACGGGCGGGCCGTGGTACGCAGAGACGCGGCCGGCATGGTGGGAGCCACTGGGCCGCAGAAGCGGGAGGTCGAACTGGCCGAGAAGCGGGGTCGCACAATGCGTCTTCAGCGTGAGAAGCACAACGACTTCAAATACGGCAAGAAGCTCAACAACCAGAAGACCTACTACTACAGATACCAGATGGGTGGTTGAACGATTTCAAGTCTCCGGCTACGGGATATGGAATATGGACGGAGTTCTGGCGGTATCTGGGATCATGTCGGTTATGAGATGCATGAATGGAGGAGGGATGACATGCATGGATGTGACGGGAAAACATAGGATCATGTGAAAGTCACTGTTCTGTTTTGTTCTATGCGATGGATGGATGTAACTGGTTGATCGGCATGAAGACTCTCACGGAACGATATTCTGGGATGTTGCACTTGACGCGGTCATCAGTCGTCAGTGATCAACATCGACCAACATGTCCTGTTGCGCAGCTTAGAAGATATCATATGTGTTAACGTAGAGAACAAGAAAAAAAATACACTTGGGTATCTCGGAACTATCAACACTCCCCTACCCAATGCTTCATTTCATACATCTATCGTACAAGTCGAGAGAGGGAGAGAGCGTGAGATGAGTTGAGAGTGAGACCGTCTCATTTCGACCGATACATATTCTCGAGGTCCTCGAACGAAATTGTCTCTCCTCCCCACACCTCAGGGGTGCTCTCCTTCGCGCGAACTTCGGGCGGAACGTCTTCCGCTCTCTTCTCCTTCGGCTGCGACTTTCCCTTACCTCGGCCCTCTGCCTGTGCTGATAAATCAGCCATCTCCAGTATGGCTAGCCTCACACCCGCCATGCCGCGATGACCGCCCTGAGGATCCGTCTTCCAGGACCCATCCGCCTTGTCCATGTCGGCGGCCGTGAGATACACTCTGGGCACCAACGCGCCCTCCGGGACATCGCGGCACGCCCTCACTACAGTCCTCGCCGCGTCATCCATCTTTTCTTTTGTCCAGGCATGCAGCGCATTGTCCTCATTGTCCTTGCCCGTCTCCTCCTTTTCCGGTTGCCTCTTCTTCTTTTTATTTTTCGTTGTCGTTTTCCCCTTCTCGTCCTTGCCCTTCCCCGCCATCGCGTCCCGAGCGAGCTTATCCCCCTTGGTCAACACGACCAGCACCTTCCTCCCCAAGGACGCCACCATCCTCAGAACGTCCTGGTCCAGCCGGCTCACCCCGTCCTTCTCGACAGCCACGAGACACACCACGGCACGAAGCATGGTGCGGCCGCGGAGATATCCGACGATGCCCTCCCCCCACTCCTTCCGGCTCCGGAACCCGTAGCCGGGCGTGTCGACCAGCACCATGCTGTGCGTGGGCACCGACTCCCCGCGCGTGCTCGCAACCCGGGCTTTCATCCTGGCGCTTTCCTTCGCCGAGGGCGCGGGCCCCACGCCGTACGCGTTCAGCGACGTCGTATGCCCCGCTCGGGCGCTGGTGCGCGCCAGGCCCGGCTTGCGCACCAGGGCGTTCAGGAAGGACGATTTGCCGCAGTTGGAGGCGCCGACGAGGGCGACTTCTGGGACGGCGGAGTTGCGGCGGTGGGTCCGGAGGGTGGAGGCGGAGTAGAGGTACGTGGAAGGGTGCGAGGTGAAGAAGGACGTTGAGGCGGCGAGGACGGGACTGGGAGAGGTGGTGAGAAAAAGGTTTGAACTGGGAGGGGCCGCTTTTGTTGGCGACGGAGAAGATGACACCGATGGGGGAGATCTAGTCTTCTTGGACGTTGCGACGGGTGTGACTGGGTTCTGGGTAAAATAAGATGATTCGAGGTAGATAGACTGGGCGCGCCAGATGTCATGGGCGCTCGTTAGGATACCTTGCGGAATTTTCTTCTGCTTCTTCTTCACCTCTTTGTCTTCAGGTGCAGGTCTGGCCTTTGTCTTGTTGAACCGTCAATATACAGTGTCCTGTTTGAGCTGCTAATGGGGAGCACTCACAGTCTCCTCGGCACTACGGGCTGGCTCGACTTGGGATGCCGACTGTTCACCCGGAGTGCTCGAGTGTCGTAATACCGCTGCATTGTCAAGACCATGGATATCAGGCTGGCGCGACTCAGAGACGCAAGGGTCTTCAGGGGGGGTTCCGGTAGAGCGTGCAGATAAGCCCAGTGCTCCTCTCGCGCCCGGTCTAAGTCGCGGATATCTCAGTGCTGATGCTGTAAATCCCCGACGAGAGGGCTCCTGAGAGAGAGTATCTCCCTCGCACCATCGCCATAAACGGGGGCGGCTACCGCCGAGGGGGATAGTGACACGCCTAGTCAACATGGTAGAAAGATCATGTCTCTAGAATATGAGTGTTCTCGCATCAGGCGCCGAGGTGTGAGACTTCGTTCGAGTGAGCTCGAGTCCTGGTTTCGTGGTTTCGGGGTCTATACCGCATGCCGCAGGGGACACTGTAATAACTCGAAAAAGTCCCCATAAATTTAGTAGGTACACTCTATAGGCACGAAAAAAACACCCGTACGCTGTAGTACATATTCGTATATATGAATACCCTAGTAGTAAAAGAAAAGTCTATAACGTAATAACAAGCCAATAAGCTATAAGGAAAAATTTTCTACTACTATAACTATAACGCCACCGCTAGACCTAATCTTATTTTCACTCTTCAGATAACCACAGGCTAATAAGTTACCCCTATATCCGGTTCCGCGCAGGTAAGATCCATCTAAGGTAGTATCAGGGCTCGATTATACGAGTCTAACAGGCTAAGATTCGGATTTTACAGGTCCGGAAGATCAGTTTTAGTGCTTTAGCTATACTAGTCTAGGCAAGATGTCGTAAAACCGTTCCAGATCAGGGCTGACTTATTACGTGATAGGTTATATACTATCATATAAGACGAAACGGTTCTATACGTAAGAGGGCATAAGTAAATAATCTCTGGTAAGAATAGCGGGCGACGAATAGTACTAGTGGCCGACAGAAATCGATGGAGAAGAACTGCCCCCCCCCCCCCCCCTACCCAGCTAAAAGAAATATTAGGATCCCCGCTGCTGGATACCTTTATACTCGACCGTATATATCTATACACGCTCTGTATAGCAGTTTATTAACGATTCGATATATAGAGCTTAAATAGAAGTGCGCCAGTACTATCTCGTAGTATATAAACGAGAATAATTCCACCGTATATATCTTTATATTAATATACGATAATATACGCTAATAAGTATATAGATTAAACGTGGAATTACTATACGCCGTAAGTATCAGAAAGGCGCGGCTATTAAATTTCCTGATTTTAACATAACACGCTCGTAGGCTCTTTCCGGGTTATTCGTGTAAATATACGGTGACGAGAAGCGGGGCCGCTATCGGTGCGATAAATATACTACAGGAAAAGGCATACTTACGTCGTGTATAGTGCTAAAAGACTTCGGTAAAGGCGGCTACGGTAATTACACCGTCGACGCGGGCTCGTCTAGTTACTCGTTAGCCGGTAAGTTAGTTCATAGTGCTATACGATAATATACTAACTTAAATAGAAGTTAACGAAACCCCGTGCTTAAATAAGCGTAAACGTGTTACCGAAGATCCCCCCGCCGGTAAAAATAAGACCTTAATAACGCTTAACCTCGAGGGTATCCCCATGCGCTATATTACGAGCCTTAGAAGGGCGCTAATCGCGGCCGCTAAGGAGAGTAAGTGATATTCTCTATCTTATAATAATATACACCAGCGTACTAATAGATATCCTAGTAGGCGACGATAACGAGGATCTTCTAGAGGATAACTAGTAGGGTTTTTGTTTTACTTATATACGGCGGCGCCCAGGGTTTTTAATCCTCTAAGGGATAACGCTTTAAATAAAGGGCTTTTTAATAATAATACCCTTTTTTCTTCTTAATTAATTTTAATAACTAAAAGACTTGTGATATATATATTATATATAATATACTATAATATATAATATACTATAATATATAATATACTATAATATATAATATACTATA